AACATCTGAAGCCTATTTGCAACGTTCCCATGAAGCCACATTAGGGCCTCGGTGCCGCATGCTCCCATCAGTCTTACAGATCGCACTGACGTTCCTGAACTCCTCATCCGGGATGACGTCATTTACTCAGCAACGCCCGATGACTATGGTGAGCCATGTGTGATGAATTGGGGTCCTACTGACGCAATACTGGGAGGATGGAGGCTGAATGCTTCTGCGGGAAATGGGAGTCCCATGAGACCAGTCACGTCCCCTTCCTACTAAGGAACAGTTAGCATGAAGACCCCTTAAACTGAACCTGTGGACAACGCGCGGCTGACTATCATTTGCAGGTCAATTCCCTCACCCAAGTAGTCATATATGAAGACATCATAGCAGGTTATATGAGATCTACACGTACACATTAACTGCCACGGGCTAAATCAGCTATTTATTTGAAGCAACTGTAGTTGATCATTGAAATGTGTAGCATTTAACTATCAACTATTCACTTAATACCAATAGAATCAAACATAATCCACGTCACGGTTTACAAATCAGTGGTCCCGTTAATATTTGCTGAGCTCCTGCCTGTCAGTTTGACAACTTCTACTGCGCCGATAACCAGTTAGAGTCAAATCCCAATTTTTCTGGAGCAGAAAACATCGTACTGTTTAAAAAAAAAAGCACAATAGCGTATTCTACTTCCCTTTAAGATAAGACCACACCTTCATTTCGTTGCAAAGAATATCACACTAACAGATGACGTGCTGTAGAGTTACTCACTGCTAAGGCGCGATGGTCCTGGTTCATCAGAAAAGTCCAACACGGACAAACGCATGCACAATTCAATCGCTGCGCACTTACCAAATCCTCATGACAAGAAATGACATTTCCATGCAGACAGCCCTACGTTGGTAGAAACAAAATCATACACACATCAGACATGTCTAGCCTGGATCGTTGTTGTTCAGAGGTCCTAGTCTGCAGGAATGGGTACATCTGGAGTCCTTAATCTGTTGGTGGAGGCTCATCTACTCCGCAGCACAGACCGACGCATTGCACCTGCAGTGACTACGCTGTACAGAAGAGCCAGCCAAGATGCAGCCCAGCCCATGCGTCGCTCAGTAACCTCCGCTCCACTTCTCCCCCATCCCACATCATCATCGCTGCCCCACAACCTCTCCTATGCAAACCCATACACAGAGACACAGTGAGACAGAGAGGGAGGTTACCTTGAGTTTGGGTCTAGTAATGGGAGGCTGTTTGGGGGCATAACATTGATTGTGCAATCAATAAGAGGCCATCAGCAGTGCACAGTCAGAATAGGAAGATGCTTTCACAGCGAGCATTATGTGGGAAGTTCATCACGATGATGTTTCACAAGTCAATGCATCAAGAAGCACTGGATATTTAATACAGACTCTTCCGATCAAACTGCCTCAAAATGTCTGGAAAGTAGTTCAAGCCAGCAGTAAGACGAGTTTGCCGGCTGTGCAGTATCTGGAGGCCTAACACACAATCTATTTTGATCTGGGTCACGGTCAGACTGGAGTTACAATGAAAAACCTAATTTGGGTTTAGAGAAGAGAAATATGCAGGTTTGTGTTCACTGTATGAATAAAGGCTTTACAGCTGCGCTCAAATGCTGCAAGCGATCAATGTTATTCAAAAGAAAAACAAAAGAGGCAGACTAATGACTGCAGAGCTGACCCTGCAGAAAGGACTGACCCCACCCTCTGTGAGTGCTCTTCTACCAACACGAGCACATTATTCTACTAACCCATAGCATTAGCATTTCATTTGGTTTGATTGTATTACTTGTGCACTGCTGTCTTGTTGTCTATTGTTACACTGTCTACTGTCACGCACCAACCGCCAAGACAAATTCCTTGTATGTTTGACATATTTTGGCAATAAATGTTTCCCGATTCCTGATTCCTGACATGCCTAGTTACAAACATCCCAACGGGTCCACTTTGCATTCCGTGGGTGGGAACCAAGTCCCGTTATGCTGCAGATCAACAACGGAATTAAAATTATTTATTATCTTGTAAATATATACAAGATAAAAAGGAGCCCAAAGATGTCCAAGTCAGTTGTAAAATGCAGAAGAATACAATACAATTTCCCATATGAGATGTAATCAACTAGTAATAATAAGATTATCCAATTCAAATGAGGCAGATTACAGGGACATAGAATCTACTGTGGGAATATATGCAAGATATTTTCGGTATACAGTTCAAAGAGCGGTCCCATTTAGTTTTTGTGCTTTTGTAAAACATAATGAGCTTTCTTACATTCTGCTCATATAATTTTACGCCTGTTTATTCTTTGACGAGCTTAAAAAAGGCTCAGGTATCATCGGCTGGATCAATAATACTATCGACTGTATGTTGGCTGGCAGGGGGCTTAACCTCCTTTACCCAAACTTAAGGTCAGTGTAACAGCCAGCTGTGACTACGATGTGCAACCACGCCACTCATCAGGGAGGTCACTGGATGGATGGATGAATAAATTAACTCTCATCATGAAGCAAATCTATACGCACATGAACAACTCCATTAAATATGCAACATTAATATTTTAAATCATGCATGCAAGACTATATACAATATCCAGACTTCTTTACACACACACACACACACACACACACACACACACACACACACACACACACACACACATACACTTCTCTTTTCTAAAATAAAAGGTAATATCCAATCAACATGACAATAAGAGCATAAATGGAGCGTATCTGGCCTAAACTATTTAACACAGTAAATCCCATGGACTCATAGATATGAAAGAGCAAGAGCTGGGCTCTTTCCACATGATTAATAACGTGATCAGTAACGATGCTGCTTTCGTTCCCATGGTGATCGTAGCCAGTGTACTGCAGCCTTCTATCGGACGCCCTCTCGAGGGTGGGGGCAGTGGGGGCGGTGGATATGTGGAGAACTTGGCACCACCCGGACGAAGTCCGTCTCCTGGTCAGTCAGTAGCAGGAGTGCGATGTCGCGCCTTCATGTTACCGAGTCACGTACACAACCGTAGATACCTCACCGACTATCGTCGTATCGCTGCCGGGCAGCGTCTCCTCACAGCCGCTGACAAAGCACCGTCCTAACCGCTCACAAACGACCCGAGCGCGCGGGCCCCACAGCAGAGGACACGCGCAGAGACACTGCGAGCCGCCGGGTCACCGCACAGTGACGGGAGGCCCGGCAGCTGGAGCCGTCTGTGCCGAGGTGCACTGGGCGGCTCCCCGTCCGCCATGGCCGACCACAGCGCAGCCGCCTACGTAACCAGGCCATCGCCGCCCCGCTGCTATTCCATTCATCGAGGGAAGACGAGCAACTCGCAAAATGCGATTCAGCAACTGTTCCAATGAATATAAATACACCCGGGTGGATCCGCCTCGGTGTCTTTTGTGAACCAGCGTTAATAACTAGCGGGCTAACGCTAGCTAGTAGACCGCTAGCAGCTCATGACCAACCCGCGGGTTAACGTCCCGTTATGTTCGCTGTTAACGGTTTAACACGATGGACCGGCGCGAGCATAACGTTAACGTTGCGCTGTCAAGGCGGAAAACACGATGATCGTTGTGCTAGCGGACGTAAAATATGTCGAATAAGTGTTTAACGTTAATCAACCATTTCGTATTAAAGCAACGCCGCTCGACGGACGTTAAAACCAGCTGGTGCCGCTCGGCGAACGGTAACGTCAACACGGAGCGAACACAACAAGACGTCAAGTAAAACCACGGCCCGCTTATCGGCTTATTCCGTCGTTATTTCAACTATCGTACCGTAATAATCGGTGAAGGAACGCCCGCAGCTAACGTTAGCCACCGAGCTAGCGCAGCCACAGCGGGGACAGGAAACACATTTAAAGCTCGTAACTAAGTTGACGTTACAGTGTGCAATGTTTCCAAAGGGGCAATTCGGTCAGAATGGAAGAAATTTTCATACCTCGGTGGGTTTTCGACAGAGCTTAAGAAGTGGTTCTTGTCCAAGCGGATCGACGCAGAAAGACGCGACGCGGAGCTCTGGCTGCTGTTTTTTATCAGTTGTGACGTAATTCTCTGCAGCTGTACGGAAAGACCCGACAGCTACCGAACGGGCCCGAAGCTCCAAAGCATGACATGCTCAATATTACGTGATACCGTAGTTTGTTCCACATTGGTTATTATATTCTTATAATAATATTACCAGTGTCGCTGTAGCAAACCATACGTATATGCAGTAAAAGCTGGTGGGCTGGGTTGGCATCATTAGACCACATTATCAAAATATTCATCAGTTGAGGCAGTTTAAGACTTTCACATTCTCCTTGATTGTACACAAATACCCTTTGTAAAATATTATTATTTTGTATTAATATTTGTTTATGGCAGACCAGAAACACATGGTACTTGCTGCTCAGGCGCTTTGTCAGTCACACATAATATAATTAGTGCTAATCAATTCAGGTTGCTGTTTTGGTCTTATTCCTAGAAGCTGTGCTGCCATCGCTGCAGTCTCACACTGTTAATACAGAAAGCACCGTATCTTCATAAACAAACGGACTTCCAAAGACTGTGTTAAACTACAACCTTCACTGTTGTCTGAGCGTTCAGTTGATTTAGAAAATACATCTTCTGCTGACACGAGTCCTTCCTGACCAGTATATTAAGTCTGCTTCTGTCACGGCTCGGATGCTGCACCACCATTGTGTTCTTCCTAAAGTCAACCATCTCTCTGCTCCAGGCTTCAGAAAGCAGGTGGTGTTTCAACCCCCCATTGCACGACGTCAGCCTCTACTGCCCCGTCCTCCTCCTCCAGTCCATCCCTTATTCACCTGAGCAGTGCAGAGTCATCAGGGAGCTTTGCAGGTGGCGTGCTGGAAGTGAGGCTGGGTCCAGCGACGGTTTCATGTGGCGCCGGAGCTCGGCCAAGACCAAAACTGTTGTGTCAAACTGTACACTCTGACACTGTACGACCGGAACAAAATAAGCAATGAGAACACCGTTTGGATCAGGTAGAAAAACATTTAGTTGGTTTATTGACGTTACCCATAGTGGGCATTAATTACTCAGCGAATGAATGCACTCCGTGGACAACAACTATTCCATTAACGTAGGAAACTGCACGGCCAAGAGGTTTTTTTTGACACACTGTCTTGTGATGGCACCAATGTTTTCAGCTCGGTACAACCCAAGAGCACAAAACATTAAAGCACTTATTGTGTCACAGCTACAGAACTGTTTACACGTAAACAAGGAGACAAATCTATACTTTTAGTAAATATTAGTACCAGCACATCACATAGTCTGTTAACTGGTAATATTACTACTACTGTGAAGGGATGATGAAGATGAGCAATTCTTATTGATTTTGGCGAGTAAAACACTAACTGACTTTTCAGATCCAATCCTTTGTGTCTATAAAATGTCTTCATACAAAAACTGCCTTCTTTTGTTCAGTGTGTCCCGACTGACTTTTGCATAGCGGTGCAGTGCCACTGGAAGGCTCTGGTTGTACTGGTCCGGTCATCGGGCACGACGGCGAGGCAGCGGCCTGCATGAAGAGCTGTGAACCACGGACCCTCGGGAAGGTCATCAACACACCGCTTCACCAAGCGGCAGTATCCCAAACATAAGGACAAAGACATAAGGTGTAACTTGTGTTGGTGCATTAAAGCATCGGGTGAAATAAGCACACGCAAAGTGAAAGAATAATCTTCAAGATCTTTAACAAACACGTAGTCTTGACAACATCAAGCCCTGAGTGTACATGAGATGGTGGGGAGGTCTGTCCCAGGGTTCCTGACCCCAACGAGAGCCACTAAAGGCATTGTATAATCCAAGGCCTTTGATATTACTCCTGTTAGCCTGTTTAAAAGCAGGGAGTGAGAGCAGAGCGCTGACAGGCGGGCTGTCAGACGGGCGAGGCGGCGCCGCGCAGTGACCTGTCCAGGCCCAAGTCCCCGAACACGTCGCCGTAGGAGGCTTTAAGGAACTGGACGTAGTTCTGGAGACTTCGGTTGGTGCTGTCGGACTGCTCCAGACGGTCCTTCATATCCCGTAGTCGGCTCTGGTACCGCCGCTCCACCTAAGCGCCATAAACACACATGTTATAGGCACACTGACACAGAGGATATTAGATACCGTTAGCGGAGGCCTTCACCTCCTCCTTGCTGCGTCGAACTTGATTGATTTCTGACGTGGTCCTGCCAAGCTGAGCCTCTAGGTCCAATATCTTGTACTGGGTGGAGCGTTCTTTGGTGGCAGCGAGTCCTCTGCTCTCTGACATCTGGAGATAAATATGACCCACTGCACTTGAGCACTCGGCGAAGTCCTACTGAGGATCTACTACTGCGTTCTGTAAACACACAGGCGTCATTCGGACCTGCTGGTGAGCCTCCCCCAGAGCCTCCTCCAGCTGCCGGCTCAGCAGGCAACATTCTCTCGTTTTTTCTTCTAGGCGGCGCTGTTCGCTCTGGATGGCGTCTTCCCGTTTGGCGATGACTGCGAGAAGGTCGCTGTTCTGACTGCCAGCCTCACCCAGCTTTCTGTAAGAGGACAGAGATCAACAGCGATGAGCAGCTAGAATGAACAGCCAACAGCCCCCGACACACAGGATACACATGTTATAGCATTATGTGAGACTTCCAATGTCATCGTATCCGATGTCGTCGAGAATAAACGGCAATAGAAGGTATAGAAAAGTATGTAGACAACTGGCTGCACATCGTACATTTACTGTAAAGAGGACCTGCTGATAACTTACTCACCGACTCCATGCAACAACACCCCTGCTGTTAACATCCACCAAACCCCTTAAATTACGGGGGGCGTCCTACGATATGCGACTGGTCCGAACAGAGCGCCAAAGCCAGATGGAGGAACGCAGAAGTGGTGACTGACCTTTCCAAGTTCTCCACGCGCAGCTGAAGCTGTCGCTTCTCCTCCAGCAGCATCTTGTTCTTCTGTCTTAGAAGCTCTACTTGGCTGCACTGGGTCTCCACCTTGCACAACACAAGTCCTTCATCCCACAACTCGGACTGCGCAGCCCACTTACAGCTTGTATAAATGTTAAAATGTATTGCGTGTGGTCTGAGTCAAAGCTGGAGCAAAAAATTGAAAAAGTTACTGGCAACGGTTAACTTCAGCTTTAATTTGGATGGAGATAATAGTGGCCTGATGCCAATGTTGTTTTCAGCGCCACTGCAGTCCAACCTCAATTCTCCCCAAATCAATTTCCAACTAGCACCTAAACACGGAACATAAATGACTATTTGGTGATGCTAAATGGAGCATCGCCTGCTGACCTTCACGCGGAGCTCGGTCAAGGCGGCGCTGAGCTCGGCGCCGCGTCTCTCCAGGCTGCGCTCCCTGTCCTGCGCTTCCTGCAGCTGGAGTTCAGAGCGCCGCAACGCTTCGGGAAGCGGCTCCAAGGCGGCCAGCCGCCCCAGGAGCTCGCTGCGCACCGCCTCCATTTCCCGCTCCAGCTCCCCGCGCACCAGCTGGGCCTCCTGCTGCGCGCGAGCCAGCCGCGCCCGGTAGTCATCCGCCTCGGCCCGGGTCTTTCCAACCTGGAAAGAAGAATAAGTGGCTTTAGACTCTTTGAAATGACTTTTAATCATAAATTCAAGGAAGGCTGCGCTTGAAAGGGTTATATTGAGTTAGCTGTTATATATAAAATACAAATATGGCCACTAGACGGAATTCTAAGCATCCCATGGGAAGTTGTAGTAAGAGTTTCTTCTCTTCATTTAAGTCGTGGTTCCCTCTGTTCACATCATGTACAGGCCTATCTGCTCAGCTCCAGTTATCATTAACCATTTGTTAAGCATAATGTACTCCAGCCCTTAGCAGGAGATTCAATGTTATACATGTTACAGACCACACGTATGAACAATACAAACAGCCAGGCTCTTTAATGGGCTCAAAAGGTTTAGATTGACATGTTTAAAAGGACGCAGGAAGGAATTCGGCTTTCTTTTTCTTTGGTCATCCTGGGAAGTGATTCTATGGTGCCGCCTTACTTGACCCAATTCATCGTGCTGCTTTGAGGTGTGGTTCAAATATCCCTGCACTACAGTTTTCCTTCTTGTTCTCAACTTTCTTGTTACGCCGAAGATTCAGCAACTGTATATTCTGTACCAGGTCGTTCCAGGCAGCTGATTGGATACCACGCTGTGCAGAATAGTGGCAGTTTGTCCGTGCTTTAAGGGGCTTCCTGTGCGCTTCAGAGGAGTATCTTTTCTTATTAACCTTGCATAGTTTGAAGTTTTGACTTTTGCATTGTTTTATTGTATGTATAAGATCAGATGTCAGGTCAACCTCATGTTGTTATGTTATCACAACAGATTTGATCTGGTTGAATGAATATTCAATGCAAATGTCCCAGTGATGCATTGTGTGTTAAATACCTGCATCTTATAGCTGTCCAGCAGGCTGTCATATTGCTGGACTGAGACTTTGACCTGCTGGAGCTCGGACTGAGACAAGGCCAGTCGCTCCTCCACCGCAGACGATGTAGCCTGAAAGGAACACGCGTTATACCTTCACCCTGACCCTCCTAAGGACACATAAGCAGGGAGTCTGTGGGACGGACAGTGGGGACAGGAAAGGACATTTTGATCTCTGGCGTTTCACCCTGAGGGACTGCTTCTCCAGTTGGGCAGCAGTGGTCTCTGTGGTGAGTCCCTGCAAGGAGTCCAGCAGGGCCTCTCTCTCCGCTCGGCCTTTCTCCCCCGCGGTCTGCAGCTGCTGCGTCAGCTCTGCTATTCGGCTGCATCACACAACAACATCGGTCATATTTACATTTAGATGACAAGCGACTGTATACTGCTAAGAATGTTACATGGTTTGAGAAATATAACAAACAATGGGCCTGCCCGAAGCTCAACATAATAACATCCAATGTGTATCATACAGGAACAACCAGCACAGCCGGCTTCAGCGGCGACATGACAGGTTTATGAGTAATTGTCTCACAACGTGGTACCCGGAGGCTTTAATGACCTTGTCTGTTGTCTGACTTTGTCAACAATCAATGTTGACTTAAAATGATAATGGATATAATATAAATGGGTTAGTAAAATACAAAATAATAAATAAAGTTTAACTGGTTAATTATTATTGCACATATTTAGCACATCACCCACCAAACACACTTTTACGCTGCTCATAAAGACATGAACACCAGCTTTGATGCAACTCTTTGCTTACTCTATTGATGTCAGCCTCACATGGCTCGTGTGCAAGCAAGACAGCAAACATCTGGCTCCACAAGGAGCTCAGTGGCCAGACCGGCATCGCTGACACCCAACAGTCACGCCCCAAATGTCGCTCAGCGGCTCAGTCTGTCCCCCTGTCGGTCTATACCAAACACCTGCAGGTACTGTGGCCAGAAAGCACACATGATCAGGGTCTCTCTGCAGAAGCACTGAGCGTAACTTCCTCCCGCGTACCAGCACGCGTTTTAATCTTCTGAAAGTGATGTTACAGATGAAACACATGTTGCTTTCGCCATGTGTATTTTCTTGTATTTAAGTAAGTGCCCATTTAAGGGTTTGAGACTGGGGTGTTCAATGTGAGCCAATCAGGTCGTTGCTCTTTGCTATTCTTGTATGCGGATCTGATCATCAGCCGGAGCAGAGCTGGAGTTACCTGTTCAGCCATGACACTTCCGTCTCCAGTTTACTCCTGTCCTTCACCTCTTGAGCATGGTGACCCTTCCAGGACTCGGCTGCCGACAGCGCATCCACAACCTGCTTCTCCTGTTCATAGGAGGCAATCAAAGGTGCAGTGTTTCAAACAGAGCGAGAGAGAGATGAGGCATGGAGCTCTCTAACAGGTTACCTGGAACCACCAGTACCAAGAAGAAGAATTGAATGTCGTAGTAATTAAAGTGTTTCCTTAACATGGCCAGTGATCTCATTATTGACAAAGGCACAATGGATCATAGCGGCCTGTGCATTGTGTGTGTGTGTGTGTGAGTAATCAATGCAGGGCTGTGGTGCACTGTGCTCTGGGACGTGGCCCTACCAGGTCCAGTAGCTGGAGGCTCAACTGGCCAGCAGTGTCCTCGCCGCGCTGCGCTCGCTGCCTCTGGGCCCGCGTGGCCTGTTTCAGAGCCTCCCGGTCGGCAGCGGCCTGCTGCTTCAGCCTCACCAGCTGCTCCTTCAGATGCTCCATCACCCCCTTCCGCTGGCTGGCTGCTTGCTCCTGGTTCTGGACCAATGGAAAGCAGCACGCTTCATTTATCAACCACATAATCATCACGCAGACAACAGTGGATGAGAACGCTTGATGCCGCGACCCACAGATTACACGACAAACCTTTATTTGCACAGAGAGACGGTTGTTTTCAGCCTCTTTGCTCCGCAGCTGTCCTTGTAAATGCGCTCTGGTCGACTCCAGACTCTTGGACAAATCAGCTGCACTCTTTGCATTGTGCTGTGTTGCCAAAACAAAATACAATTGATATCAGCGCTCCACAGAGCCGCAGTTACAGTCGAAAGGTGTCACAAATACTGTGCTGTCAGCACCTTTTCAGTGTCTATACGTTTGGAGAGTTGATTAACCTCGCTGTCCTTCTCTTGAAGTTTCACCACAAGATGCTGTAAAAGGAAGAAAAAAATGTATTTATAGAGCACATGTGATACATAGCGAGAGGGGGGCGGATTTCACTAAATACAATAATAATAAAACATGTAATGATGAAGATATTGTGGTAGATTTAGGTTGTATCCCGCTCACAGCATTGTCTGCCTCTGTGGCTGCCAGTCTCTGGAGCAATGCGTCCTTCTGCTCCGACCATCGGCGCGACTCCATCTGCCCAACCGCCGTCCACCACAGTGCCACAAACACAGAGAGGGAGGGAGTCAGCGCGACTGATCTCGCGTTGCGGTTTGAGGACGCGTTACGCACAGTACCTGGGACGCGTGCTGCTCCCTGAGAAGGTGGCGCAGAGTTCGGTTTGTCGCTTCAAACGTCCCGAGTTTCTGTAGCAACAGCTCCTTCTGACGGTCCAAGGCCGAAGAGTCGGAGGCGCAGAGCTTCTTCACAGAGACAGACAGGGGACGAGGGAATAGGGTTACCGAACAACAAGGTGACATTTCATATCAGTGTTGACGTTTATGAAGGAACATGAGTGACACTCACGCCGCCAACAGACGCGCACAGTTTGGAAACCGTTTCCCGCAGGGCTGAGACTTGTTTGGCAGCTGCTGTCCCGTCCACCTCGGCCTCCACCAGCTTCCTGTGCAGAGCGTCTTTGTCTGTCTGCATGTCGTCCCCGTCGCATCTGCAAAGACACGGCGAATACAGACGGTCAGTGAGTACACATGCACATGGACCATGTAACCACGGTTACTGAGCGCATAATGTGATTCAATGACAAAAGAAATGTGTCCGCTGGTAACCAGGACTAACTAGTCTACTAGTCATGAGGGCTAAAAGCTAATTTCTTCTGCCAATCCTTTTCCGTTACAGATCATGTAGAATGCATTTACAAAAGACGCCCAGCTGGGTAAAGAAAGGACTTCTGAGGTCAATCAATTTACTTTAAACAGAGTATACCAATCTCTGAGTGAAAGGACACACAATTGTAATAAATGTGTCCTGGTTCAAGTATCAAAAACAATGTGAAGCTTGAATTGGAGTCAAGTTGGGGGGCTCAATCACCATGGCAACCCAGGTGCCCGAGGCTTAAATGGCAAATTGTAAATCAACCACATCCATCCCTTAAGACACATGAGACACGTCATGAGTCACGTGATGAGACACGTCATGAGTCACGTGATGAGACACGTCTTGAGTCACGTCATGAGTCACGTCATGAGACACGTCATGAGTCACGTCATGAGTCACGTCATGAGACACGTCATGAGACACGTCATGAGTCACGTCATGAGACACGTCATGAGACACGTCATGAGACACGTCATGAGTCACGTCATGAGTCACGTCATGAGACACATGAGACACGTCATGAGACACGTCATGAGTCACGTCATGAGACACGTCATGAGTCACGTCATGAGTCACGTCATGAGACACGTCATGAGACACGTCATGAGTCACGTCATGAGACACGTCATGAGACACGTCATGAGTCACGTCATGAGTCACGTCATGAGACACATGAGACACGTCATGAGACACGTCATGAGTCACGTCATGAGACACGTGTTGATTAAGGACAGCCCCTGCTGGAAGCCAGCATTCAGATCGATTTCCCCATCGAGTACCCGCTGCACCTCTAAATGTAGCTTCGGTTGTAACATGACTTGCACATTTAAGAGCATATTCTGCACACAGGGCTGTTACAGGAGATCTAAACCAAAGGGACACAACCCTGTCCCGCCTAGAAAAGCGCATTTCCAAAGAAATACACAAATCCTACAATTCCTGCATTTTCAACTGTGCACTTGTAACGTGTAAAACTGGAATTGGCTTTCAGAAACTGAGTGTTGTTCTTCTGGTCTTTATCGTGAAACCTCCAGCTGAATGCCACAAACCTAAAAACAAACACACACACACACACACACATCCATAACTGCCCCCCCTCCCCTCCTCATGTGAGGCACCACAGTGTTCAGTGGGATATTTGCCTGATGTGGTCGGTCTCCTCCAGCATCTTCTCCATGGATTGCCGTAGGTGTGTGTTCTCCCGCTCGGTCTCCTCCAGCTCCTTGGCCACTTCGGCCAGTTCCTCCTCCTGCTCGGCGATGACGCGCTGGGAGACACTCAGCCGCTCCGACTGACGCTCCAGCAGCTGCTCCTTCTTCCGCAGCTCCACCTGCACGCACACAACGCGTGGACGCGTGGAATAATACTATTAAAAACATGAAGTAAACCCCAAAGCTGAAGTGGTCTTCATGCTGTGAGAGGCCGTGCGTCCCATCCAGAATGGGGTTGCACATCGATTACACATCGTGTTGTTGTAGAATCTACACAGCTTTCTTGTAAGTGTCAACCGTAACCTTTATACATAATAAGGTGTGCAATTTCTCACTTTCTCATTCCTCAATGTCGCTCTAAAAAAATCGTTGAAAAATCTCAGCGATAAGGGTCTGTTTGGAGGGAGAGAAAATATATTGTGGAAATTAGATTTTATCTTGATTTCTAAGCAATTTAGATTCCAAGCATTTCATCACCTTGTCAATATTGGTTATTTTCTTTGTAGAATGAATTTCCAATCTGGTACATTTAATGCATCTTAAAGCGAAAGTACCCCAACGTGCTAAAAGGGAAGAGACCCGTTCACATAATGATGCCAGTGTTCCCCTCAATAAAATGTAGCTAAACTTTAAATGTTATTCAGTTCAACTCCTGAAAAGTTAACATATCACGGCAGCACCAGCATCGTCACTCATATCGTTAGAACTCAGCCTGCTACAGATCTGAGAGGTGAACAAACAGGGTTATTATTCCTCATTTTAGACGTAGAAGCAAGAGACATCTTCTAGTGACATACGGTCAGGATTGATCAAGCAGATACGAAGAAATACGGACTTTTAGTACCAAGCGTGTGGTTTGATTGGCTCATTTTTTAAACTAGCATTGACACTAGATTGACTTGATTAGATTTCCCATCATGCCACTGGGTACATTTTATCAGCATGGCGATGTGTCCATCTGTTGATGACGTCGTCTGCTCCCTTCACAGAAGATGATAAACTCCTCATGTTGAAATGAAAGTTCAGTTCAATAGATTTCTTACATTAGAATAATAATCCCAATAAAATGAACAATGAAAACAAAAATCTCTTTCAGCCTTTAAGTCCAGTGGGGACTCGATGAGGAAAAGGACGATGCAGAGGAGAATCTGACCTCGTTCTTCAGAGAGCTGACTTCAGTCAGTAAGCTGTCAATCTTCCTCTCATACTGGCTGATTCGTCCGTGCAGCCCTTCTTCTCCTTCCTCCTCTGATGTGAGGTCAGCTAGTCGCAGCACAGACTGGGAATGTTCAGGGAGGGGTTGTGCGATCTCAAGGCAGTGTGTTGGCCCCTTTGGTTCAAATGACACGTTAACTGGATGAGCTCTTTCACAATCCTGAGACTAAAACAATCGGAATAACAGAGGAAAACGGCGGATGGGATTTGGATGTACATCTCCTCTAAATTGCGTTACCTCCCACTTGTATGACGTGTCCCGTACCGAGGCCTTCCCTGGTGGTATCCATGGCACCCGAGTTTTGACCTTGGCTGTGGGGTGGAGGTCAGCTCTGTCGACCTTGGTCTTCCCCTTAAAACACACGTGTGCAGCAACATGTCATCGTCACCCGTTAGGCCCTCATGCTGCGTCAGAACTACATCATATGAGAACAGGTGTCGATTTTCAAGAAGACAAAACATTCCTATCAGGCAATGAAAAGAGAGATTAATATCAAAAAGATAATATTAAAAACGTGCACATGTACAGTAAAAACCAAAGAGATCCCTTTTAGAGACACATTGATAGATCTCGGACCTGACTCGTCCTCTTGCTCTTCACGTGCACGTGGCCCGGAGTGTCTTCGTCGATGTGCAAATGGATTGGAGGAGAACTTGAGCGAGTTCTCATGGCTTTCCTCTGTGAGACACAATGGTTTAGTATTTCAGCTCTCATACACATGTACAACAGTCATTCTTGTTGAGCCGATGAGTTCTGAGGAGTTAGCATGAAATCCTGCACCACACAGTAAATCACTTACTATAAACAAACATATATATATATATATATATATATATATATATATATATATATATATATATATATATATATATATATATAGATAGAGAGAGAGAGAGAGAGAGAGAGAGAGAGATGTGGATGATGGATTGTGTGTATATTAGACATGTGGATGATGGATTGTGTGTATATTAGACATGTGGATGATGGATTGTGTGTATATTAGACATGTGGATGATGGATTGTGTGTATATTAGACATGTGGATGATGGATTGTGTGTATATTAGACATGTGGATGATGGATTGTGTGTATATTAGACATGTGGATGATGGATTGTGTGTATACTAGACATGCGGATGATGGTGGTGACGCTGTCAGTCTAACGCTTATCACAAGACAACATCACTTGAACAAGAAATAACATCAATGTAATGTCCTACGTTAGCCTGACAGTAGCATTAGCTTGATAACCGACAGTAGCCGTGCTAGCTCTTCAATTGAGAAACAAATTATCTTTCTTACCATATGAAAAACCAAACGATGTTCATCAAGACTGGAAAGTAGGTTTCATTGAAGGAAGCTCGGGGTTTATTTAGATGCAGAATCAGTAACGCGAGGTTTACAAGGAAAGACTGCTGGCTTGAAGACTTGGATGAACCTCAACAGGTAGTAGTGACGCTAACGCCTCCCTGGTTGGTCAGTTCAAAGCACGTGACTCCTTTCCCTAACAGTGATTGGACAAGGCTCGACGTTTTAGCGTCACTTAGCAACTAAATCAACTCAACTCGCTGCGTGCAGTCGCAGCAGATACTACAAACGAACAATTACGTATTGAGCTGCAAACCAAGAACAACGGTCCACGTCTTATTTTTAAAAGCCTTTTATCTGTTTGGGAGCACTTTCTGTTAGAATACTTCGTGGATTAAGTCCCCTCGTAGACGTGTCATTGAGCTTCGTGGCGCAGTATCTCGCGTGGCCACTGGAGGGCAGTAAATCCCCTGCAGACGCACCGCCGTTAAATTGTGTTCTCTTTGCACTGAGTCCACCTTAAAAAGTTAATAAAAGTTTTGAAACTACTGTTAAAAATGCAAGTTAATGATGCACTCTTCATCATATGTAAGTTAGTTTTATTGTTACATGTTAAAGTTGCCATGGCAATCTCAATGTAACACATGTATATCCCTCCCAGTCCCACAATAAAGACACATCAGTTGTTTTATGAAGCCACATTTATCTTTTTCTTTATTGGCTCCATCTGGCAACACAGAAAAGACAACAAAAGAAACACCATCTGATACAATAATTGATCTCAATCACTGTTAAGATGGGAAAGCAAGAGCACATCAGTCTTTGGCACTTTCTATTCTAAACAAACATGCTGCCCACAATGAAAAATCATCTGTGCACTTTTTCTTTTTTAAACTTATGTTTTGAAAATACATTTGACACAGACTGAAAATCAAAACAAGCAGGTCACAAGTGTTGCTGTAAAGGAAGGCTTCACCATTCTTTTGGACATGTTTTAGAGTATAAAAAGGTAGAAATGACTCCTGCATATCTGGCGAGAAAACAGGATTGATCAGTCGGCAGTTATTGAGTTGTGTTCCCAAGAGGTGTCACCATGCTTCTCCGTGGATGTGGCTCCGTTATACTGAGCAGTGGGTTTTGTGCTTGCGGCATGTCAAAAACATGTATTCATTAGATCTTGTGCTGGTAGAACGTAATACTGATTATGTCTCACACCCGTAAGACGGTCTCAAAATCCTCCCTGTTATGTACTCCAATTTTCTCTGCTTCTTCTGTGCATCTTCATGGTATAAATGTTGGACTATGTGCACTGTAGCATCCTTAGAAAAAAAGAAAAAAGCTGCTGTTAAGGGATTATGTTTTGTGAAGCAGAGGTTTTCTGACGGGAAACTTTGTTGCAGCTGGTCGAAACAACTGGTTAAACTGTTCATCTCATCTTATCCTGGACCGGTCGGCGTGGGAATAAGTAAAGGCAGAAACCCCCAATGTGGGTCAGGTAAAGGGGACGTAATCATTTGAAATCCCAATTCTCAAAAACAAAAACAGGCTTCAAACCAGATCAGTTTCCATACAACAAGGATCTAGTACACAGCAGCAGTTTGTAAACTCCTTTCAGCGCGTGTGGGCTTTTAACCGGATTGTTAGTGTGCATTTATAGTACGGCATGAACTCCGCGTGATCTACATGAGACCTTCAGCTGCAATGCACAGAGGACCTATCGTGTGGTCCACACAGGTATCTCCTTAATCTCCTTTGCACAGAATCATAGTATATTTACAAAAGGAGGCTGTTTTATACAAGTCAATAAGTCGTTAATCTCTCGGTGGTCTGAGTTATCTGGTTATCTGGTCAGCAAAGGTTAGTGTCTCGCTTACGTCGACGTCGCGGTAAATATCCGTTTCCACAACTTCATCACACAAATGATGCCTTTCAAACGTCTTCATATTTAGTTCACACGAGTTATCTTTTTTATTTTTTTATTTTAAAAGAACTTCTCAGCTTCCTAGTGGAAACTAAACAAGCCGAGCCGATACACCGTCCAAATGACGTGGAGCAGGAAACTGCCAGACTCAACCGACGCACGCAAACAGACTCAACATGCTAAAAGTTCTTTGAATTTGACCGGTGTCACTTCACTGTTGGGCTTCTTTTCAATGAAGTAATGCTTAACGGTGCCATCGGGCCACAGACGTGATGCTCTCATGGATCTGAAGGGACACGGTGCAACAGGTTGTCGCAACATTTCTTTTTCAGACTCCTTCTATGCGAGCTATTCTTCTATGCGAGCATACAGAACATTAGTGTGAGGTGAACTCTAACGTGAGCACCGTCTCAGAGCACCACTGGCTAGCAGGCAAACGTGTGCGTGTGATGTGAACATGGGGATCGCTGCCCATTCAACAGTTTTTGGAAATCAGCAAACATGTTTGACACATTTCAAGTTGAGGCTGTTAAAAACAGCGACGGCTGATGACCAGTTGCTTTAAGAAAATGTTTGAAATCACCGACTCCTCCGAGTAAAAAAGAAGGTCACCAGTGTGAAGGGCTGGCATGAGGAACGCTCACATGGAAGGGTTATTCTCACAGCACGACGACGAGATCAGAACAATATTAAACTCCAAAAAGTGCAAACCTACAATATCTTAATCATCATAACACGGGGGGGGGGGGGGGGGGGTGGAAGTGGATCACAATGAGAAATGAAGTGTAGAAACGGCTCATTTTACCAAACAGATGTAAAATTGAGAAAAGCGGAACTCGGCCTGTGCAAGTCCTTGGAAAGTTGGAATGTCGCACATTTAAAAAAAAAAAAAATGACCAAAGAACAAAGTGGCCTCATTAACGGCTCTTCCTTAGGGGACCAGTGTGTAACACCAAGGGGCCGCGCTGGCAGGAGCGACCCTCATATTCCTCACGTGTGGGAATAATGAGGTTCTGCACAGCCAGCAGGTCCTCCTCTCAAGGGTCCACCATGTTTCTACGCAGGTCTCCATTCGGGGGACTACACCACCGAATCCTACACACTGCTCCTCTAAGTTCAACTTCATATTTCATCACACATTTTATAGACTTACTAAATACCCAACAAACATTTGTGCCAACACATTGCTCCATATCATCAGTACACGAACCGTAACAATGTCAATAAAAACTACTAACACAAAAACAAAATTCAAAAAGCTTGAAGCGTCACTTCATTCCGAACAATCCACAAACGGTGAACTACAGTTTGATGTTTATTGTTCTTGCCTGTGTGCAGTATCAAGGTCTCGATCAGACTGTCGGCCCGAAGCTGGTTTTTGCATTTCTAGAATGTATCCAGATTGGTTTTAGAAGATTCGACAGCTTAAAAAAAAAAAAAACCACATGCAATACAGTTTTTTTTTCAAGTGAGGTTGCAAAAACATCCGCAGGTGATTTGAAATGCATTTCTACATCTGCATCTCTGCTCCCATCAGATTCTGACTGTGGAAGTAGAAGTCCGATCTGACGCCCCGCTCGTGACGGTGCCGCCTGGATGCCGCCCGACCAGCGCGCATCTGCTGGCTTTTTGGATCGACGGTACGAGTGGAACCCGAGGAGCCGACGCGCGAGGAAGCCAACCGTGTTCCACACCACGAACGGAATAAAAGCGCCCAGCATTTAAGGTTACGGAGGTGCGTCACTTGAGGGCTAACCGAAGGATGAGGCGTGCGAGTGTGCCGACCACGCGGCCTCCCTTCACCTCCTCTGTCGCATACTGTGTCGTCTTCATTTGCTTACAAACAAGTACAGGTACGGGCCCATGCAACACATGCACCGGCTCCATCTACTAGCCAACCATTTCAAATCGACGAGCCTTTCAGAGACTCACAGCGCGATAAAAAAAACAACTACATGGATACATTTCTTGCCCTTTTGCATGCAAATACAGCACAGTGATATGGGAAAGCAACGAGGGCAACGGACAATAGAAGCTATTATACGGATCGCTGGTTTGTGATACTTTTTCAAAGTGATGAGGACACTCGACAGAACATGACCTCATGCACCTGAACCTGCTACGAGTCAAGCTTTTATATACAGCCAGTAACTGCACAACGTTACCGGCGAACCCCAGTAGCGTCAGCTTCTAAGCCAGCAGGCGATGTACTAACATCGTACACATTGTTCCAATGTAGTGATGCAGCCAAGGCTTTTGCCTTCATACACAGAGATACAGTCACGACTGGAAGATACTCAGGCTTCTTCAATTCTCCATATTTTAGGCGAACGCAACCTTCCCTCTAATAACAAAAATAAATCATATTTTTTTTGCAACGCAAAACCGAGGCGGCTAATAATTCTGTGAGCTTAAAGTAAGAGGCTGCAGGTTCTAACCCCACATCGGGATGTGGATCGGGGGGTCTGGGTTTACTCTCAGGCCCAACATGCGGATTATATTTTAAATGTTGCCCAACATTTGCTTCCACAAGTTCAGTAAAATGTGTGACGTGAGCTTCTATGTTCTGAATAAGTTATTCCATTACCTGGAAAAACAAAAGAAGGAAAAGGGTGAGGGCCCAGGCAGCAGAGTCTGTATGTACACAAGCCATTTGGCCCCGAGCAAAGATGCTAGTATGCTTCCAGTGAATCATCCCAAAATAGACTCTGCACGTCCAGCATAGTTGCCAGCTCCATGATATGCTTCTGTAGAAGGCTGTTCTCCACCGTGTCCTGCTTAGGGAGCTCAGGGTACGACTCCGGGAAGCTCTGGGACTCCTGCAGACACAAAGACCTCAAGTATCAGCACGCGTTTCAGTGTGGACGGAGGCCGATGGGTTAATTATGCGGCCCGCTAGGTAAAATACAAGAGCACATATGCACTCCAGTGTTTGTCCTATATTCACAGTGGGATGCTGGTCAGCCAACCTGCTTGCAGGTGTGTCACCAGTAGCAGCTCCATTGGCGTGGTGCAGTGGACTGTAATCTCCCTGAATAGATGCTCTGAAGTGTGCATCAAGTACATTGTGTGTTGGCATCTCCACAAGTGGGACGCGCTTTGTGTGTAATGTGCCCGATGGTGCGTGAGTGCACATTAAAGAGAACGGGCCTGTGCGCTGGGCTCTTATGCTAGATTTCTGCAATTGAAATGAACACGGCAACTTTTCGCAGGGAAACCACTGACGCAGGGACTCACCCGGAAGACTTTATGCAGTCTGAGTGCAGCTGAGCAGAACACAAAGCGGATCAGCAGCTGCCGGAGGAACTCGTCGCCAAAGAATTGCAAAAAGGCTTGATCTGAAAAAGCACAACGGTTTAGTGGGTTTTTGCCTTTTTCTACATTTCTGCCACAACCAAGGACTTTCCACTGGAACGTCGAGAGAGTATCTTCTCTTAAACGCTCTTGTTGTCACATACATTACACACATGCGGGTGGAACTCTCTACATTTAAACACTCCTAAAACTATCACAATATCAGATTTGCCACCTTAGTATTTTTTTTTAATCTTATATTGGAACAGCCCAGGAAACAAAAGAGATATTTGCTCCCACATTATGAAAGCTGACAGTACCCAAGGATGCAACCGCCTGCTCTCAATGGCACAAGCGAAGAGGCAGCTAGCTATATGAGCAGCAAAACCTCGCTCACTACTGCTTTGTTGTGTTCTGCAACATCTATGTTGGTCACGGAGTCCCACAAGGTCCTGTGCTCGGACCGATTTTATTTATCCCCTATATGCTTCCTGGATGAGCAGCAACTTTCTGACAACGCAGATGTTATTCTATTAGAGCGCTGATGGAATTCCTCTGGATGGAATTGCTCTGTAATCCAGTAGCACTGTAATATTGTAGTCATTGTAAATCAGGCAGTTCCCGTCTCAAAGTGATACAAAATAACTAGTTAATGCGTTTGTTACTTCTAAACTAGATAACTGCTCCGAAAAATCTCTTGCGCCTCTCAAGATGATTCAGGATGCTGCAGCACGTGTTTTAACACAGACTAAGAAAAGGGACGATATTTCTCCTGTATTAGCTTCTCTGCACTGGCTCCACTATTTGAATCATCTCCGTCGTACAGCTTTCACGTGGTTCATTCTGTACACGTGACCCCCGTTGCAATCGCTCCATCCAAGGAGACGGATCCTCTGCCGTTCGCACTAAGGTTTCTTCCCCTTTTCTCCCCTTTGCAGGGTTTCAGGACAGAGGAGGTCGCATGTGTGCAGACTGTAAAGCCCTCTGAGGCAAATTGACTTTGGGCTACACAAAATAAAATGAATTGAATTCCAGATGAGGTTATCAAGTGCCCTTCCGGCCGCAAGGTGCAGACGGGGGTACTCCTGTTAACTACTCCCACCACCCAGACTGACCTGACTGACCCCGTATTTCATTTGAAAAACGTCAAGTAAACGAATAAAAATACCAAGACACATACGATATTTCATGAGCCACTCTGTCCTGTAATGTCTGCCATTATGTCACGGAAATGAACAGATGTGCTACCTATAGTCCGTGACTGAGTAATCATCTGCCCAATGTCCCGGTAGACTTTCAGGAGAAACTCTTGAGCCCTTTCCCACAGGCCTCGCTGCACGCTGCTCAGTCCGCACACAGAGGAGAAGGCCAAGAGGGGACTGTAGAGGAACAGCGTGAAGAGACTCCCACGCTGGGACTGATCTGAGGTAAGATCAGAAGGGATGACGGGTGAGAGCATAAACACATGTTATACAACAGGCAGCGGGAGCCCACCGTAAAATTCAAACCAATTGGACATTTTAAAACCCAAATAAATAGGTTGACTGATAAAAACTGATTCATAAATCAGTTTGCATTTAAATCTATGTAAAACTTCCAGCTAATAGATGCAACCTTTCGTTAAAGCATAAGCGTTTCATACAGTTATTATCAATGAATCTCATAAGTAGACCTGAACCAACCAATGAACTATTGATCTACAGTAACACACACACACACACACACACACACACCTTGAACACTCTTGGGATACACTGCAGGGGACAGCAGGCACACCAGAGGCTGCCCAAACAGATTCGTGAAATGCTAATAAAAGGACAGAAAAGGTCACATTAGTTAGAAGAGTGATCATATGATAAACACATGTCAGAAAACAAGGGCATTTGAGGCTTTTGGGAATGTACGCAGGGAGTATATCGTGTTAAACCCTTAAGAGCCTCCTCGTTGCCGAGGGACGAGGGGCCTTGTGGGGCCGTAGCCGCCGCGCACGGCAAAACAACACGTAGGTGATGCTTGGAAAATGTGTCAAGAGGTACTAGCACATGTAAGTGGGAGAGAATCAAGTCATTTTTCAAAGTAAAATGTTTAGAAAAAGATATATTTTTCTTTCTTTTTCTCTGCAGCCCGCGGACCGGTACCACTAGTGTAGAGAACAAGTTCTGACGTTCAAACAAATCCTGTCTTCTGGTTCGTATTTCTTCTTTATTTTTTATAAATGATTTATTGTTGTGACAGCTGAGGTCCCATTTAACCAAAATATACATGTTTTTGTACACTGTATTTACAAAAAATAATAATTACAACCTTGTGCACTTTCTTAAGATTCTTTGCACTGTGAATTTTCACCGGCAGCTGTTTTTGAATAACGGGTTGGATTTATGCTTTTTTGTTTTCGATTCATCGATTAATAAAGATAATCGTTAGTTGCAGCCCTAGATATGATTTCCTCATGAAGTGTCAATTGCACTGAATTTAAAATTGTGTGTGTTAGTTGAGATTTAACTGAATTGACCTTAATCGCCTCTGTGAGCAGAGGTCATCCAAAGCTGCCTCTCTGCCCCTCACAGGTTGACAACTTGTCACAGATGGGTTTGTCAGGTAAGTGAAGTATTGGCATACCTTGTAGGCTGCGCTGTTTGAAGAATCTACAATGACAAAGAGCGGCTTCCGGGTGAATGGGAATAAATCCCCTGGGTGAAGGCTGCAAGATGAAGGACAAGTACGTCAGGAAGTCACATTTATGTCCAACAAGCCTCCAGTGAGCTGGAGATTCTAAGCTTGTCACACAAACACAGTTATATGAATAAAATACATCTGACGAATGAATAATCACCAGTGCATTTCTTTCTGGGCCTGATTCCTCTTCTGTACCGTCTCTCCGTTCACCACGTCTCGATTTGTATTTGTGAGAACTCCTCCAAAATCGTATGGTCCTGCAGGAAATGGTCAAAGATTAAGCTCAATTGGTTCAACTTGAGTAGACGTGATGATATATAAATCGTACATTTCCCTGCTACTCTACATTACAGTGGTCGGCCTAGTCCGTGTTTGCTTCTAAAAGAGAGGATGTTGCTGCATTAGGGGCACCAAACAAAGTGGTCTACCAGACACATGTGTAAGCACTACGACTCTGGAGAGAGATTGTAATTATCTGTGAACCTTTAACTATAATAATTAGGGCTGTCAATCAGATTTTAAAAAATTAACAAATTAATCTCACATTTTAAAATTCATTAATCTCGATTAATGGCGATTAATGAATGTTGTTGTTGTTACAATGTTGTTAACAAATGTTTCTTTCTTCAAAAGACTAACGTTAAATCTTAAAGTAATGTGTAACTCATCGCACTTTGCTCTCAACTCGCCATAATTGTGCCAACAATCTCCCCACATTTAGCCAGAACGTTTTCAAACCACGGTGTTTTAGGTCTTTAAGTCTGTTAACAACGGTTAAAGATTTGCGAGCTTTTGCTCAATAAAGCTAACCGTGCGGCAGGAGCACCTGCTTTGCTTTGCTTTACACTTCCTCCCTTTCTTATCCAATACATTGGATGGTTTCATCGGCTTGTCTTAGTTATGTCTTTATTACCTACATTTTTGAGACGGCTTCGATTTGGCATCTCGGTTTGAGATGGAGCAAGAACATCCAGTTATGTGGTTATAGTTATAATATCACTGATCTTCACTGACTGAGTCCAGTTGAAGTCTAAATGAAATGAATGATCATTATGAGTGAAGGGGACAATCATTTAACATTATCAGCGATGGAATTGCCTGCTTGTCCAACGGACGTGCTTCACGCAGGTGAGCAGGGATTTTTAGATTCAACCGGCCTGGTTTGAAAGTAGACAATCCTTTTTCATAAAAAGTCCATATGATATTAAGAAGAAAATGTGGGGTGTGACATTGACATCGTACCTTCATAATCTGAATTGCCAGTAGGAAAGACTCCCGTCGCCGACAGGTAAACAAGCAGAACGCTGTTGGCAGGCAACTCCTGAGAAGAAGAAGATGCTTACGTCAAGTTCTTAGATGAAGGCAGAAGAGGGAATAGTGGGTAAGGGGTGCGGAGAAGCTCCAACAAAATATTATTTGGATTTTGTATAACATCAACACTATGAATTTCTTACTTAAAAACTTAAAACTTAAAGTTGAAAACTGACCTTAAAAGAGGCAGACAAGAAGGTAAAAAGCTGGCTGAATGTGGGTTTGTACAGCAAATACTTGTGAGGGTTCTCTCTTTTAGCCGGCTTCTCATTGGGTTCCTGTGGAAAGATAAAGTATTACTAATTCACATAAATACACAAACATACACACCGTGCCGTGAAAAAGTATTTGTGCCCTTCCTGGTTTCCGATTTGTCACAATAAAATGTTTCAGATCATTAAAGTGATTTTTATATTAGACAAAGATAACCCGACTAAATTAATGCAGTTTTCAAAGATTATTTAATTTATTATTATCATTATGTATTATCCAAACCTCACTGGCTCTATGTGAAAAGGGCATTGCCTCCTAACCCTAAAAACTCCCTTAATAATAATAATAATAATAATAATAATAATTGTACATTTATGAAATGACCCCGCCCAACTGCATGCTGGGTACGGCTCGCCCGCTATTATACAACAAGAAGAAACTCTGTTGCTGCATGAAAACACAGAAAAGAGCCATACAGGAGGAACAAGGAGAGACAACAACACAACTTGTGCCCAAGAGAGGAGCTGTGTCTTTCAAGTTAGACCAGAGAAAGATTTTGGCGTCAATGGATCAACGCTGCGGCTTCTTTTGCGGGTTTTATGAAATGTCGTGTTACTTTGACACCAGATGCAGCAGGACACACACCGTCCAAAAATGTGGTCTCGCCAGTCCACAGAATATTTGCCCGAAAGTCTCGGAGATCATCAAGATGTTTTTTTGGCCTTTGTGTTGTTGTTGGTGAAGAGTGGCCAGTCTCTTTCTTATTGTAAGTCATGACCTCTGACCTTAACTGGGGCAATTACTCTTTTCACATAGGGCCATGTAGGCTTTTTTAACCTTAACGTATGAAATTACAAATATTTAACTGCAGCTGTGCAAAGGGAATACTGCTGTCAAAAAACAGCACTAATACGAGTGCACAATACACCACATTTTAATTCATTATTACATTTTGCGCATTTGCTTTTAATCACATAGATTCTTGCGTAAGTAATCGTGATACAAAGTTATAAACGTTGCCCAGCAATAGTAAAATCCATATTTCGCCAGGGACATTTAATCACGAGTCTTCGAACGTGACTCACCAGCGTTCCCTGCTTGGACGGCTGCATCGCCAGGTTCACCGGTTCCCTCTCCAAAGCTTGAAGCATGCGGAACATGTCGATGGTCAACTCGCTGAACTTCACCTGGAAAGGGAACAGACGTGACCTCAGCATCGGGAGGATTGTCATTGAGGCGGCGCGCTTTTACAAGGCTTAGTTTTTGAAGTGCACATTTCATGCAGGTGGACAAAGACAAAGCTGAGCTGCCATAATGAGAACTGTGCGAAGACTATATAGAAAAAAACATCTCCATATCCGTTTAGGGATTTAAGGTTTTTGGTCTTCGACTACTAGCAGCACCTCCCAAAGCTGCAGCTCCACATGCTTCACCTCATTCTAAACAAGTATAAGATATTTAATTAAATGTTTACTTTAAAAGGTCATTTCTGTTCTGTCTTTAAAAGGTTTACAACCGAATTCACTGAACAGACCAATCAACTGACGGCGCCAAAAGAAAAACAAAGCGATTGAGTAGGAAACGTCCTTTGGAACGGTGAGCAACAGTAGACATGACAGTGTTAAGTGTTGAAACGGTGTGAGATGAAGCAGTGTTTCCCCTCCGTCTGCAGCTTTTGGGGGAGGGGGGGGGGAGTGTGTTTGTGTCAAAGTGTGTAACGGAATTAGTGGGTTAAAACCTGGTTGTTACAGTTGCCGATGATTAGTGCATCTGCAAGGACGAGCTGGCCAACCACCATGCCTTGTTCCAGGGGAGGCACGCTTCCCTCCTGCAGACGGTTGCTGGTGACGACAACAGAATTGTTGTCATTCAGAACCACCACCGGATCTGCCTGTTTCACAAAGAGAGGCAAACCACAGAGAGCCACAGGCGATGAGACAATGACACACCTGCCAGGGGGGGCATATGAGCTCCCTGCTCTCAGTTCAGGAAGAGCTGAACTTTCACAAAGTTATGGGCCGTCACCTTCTTTCTATATCACACGTCAAGGCCTCGGTGGACCTCAGGACGATCACACAGATTTGCAACTAGCATCACGGACAATGATCTAGAGGACAAGCGTGTTACATATTAAGGCTTCGTTACCTCCACAAAAGCCGCCACTTCCTGGAGAACCAGGTTCCATTCCAGTTGGTCCTCCGTGTTGAATCGCTGTGTGTAATCTTCGATTTCATCAGATAACTCCTGCAAGTAGCAAACAGACGCGAGGTTCCATATAGATCCGTGCACAGTTCAAAATGCACTTTTTTCAATTCATAAAATCAGATTCATACAGATTGTAGGAGGCCGGCTAACTTTGCCCAGTATTGTGAAAAGGGGAAATGGGAAGTTGTGTGTGTGTGTGTGAAGGCAGCGCGTTCATTGGGCTGAGTATTCTCAGGTCATACAAGTACTTTTCTTCATCCACTTGTCAAAGAGCTGCTCACGCTGGATCATAAATTGGGGTTGGAGGCAATGGAGGTTCTGGTTTCAGCACTACTGGTCACAACAGTGCCGGATTTAAAAAAAGACAAAGAAAGGTCCAAACACAAGACACAAGTTCTTCTAGTGTGTCTCCGTCACTAAGGTCCGTCTCTTCTCTGCAATGGTACCGACGCGCCAGTCAGCTCCAATTCCAGTATGGTGGGACATGAAAATTAGGACGTGTACATAGATCTGTGCTTTTGGTCAATGGACCTCTGGACAAACAGAGAAGTAAACTTCTTTGAAACGCTCAAACTGCTCCAATAACTCTGATGGTAAATACTGAACAAATGAGGCACAAGGATAATTGTTAATCGACATGTCAGAAATATGCAGGTGGCCAACGATGATGTTTGGTGCAGGTCAACCCCAATCTCACTTCCCCACATCGAGCCGGAGATGATGCCGTGTTGCTGGAGGACGTTACGGTGTCATGCTCCTCAAAGCAGAGGGCAAAGAGATCGCTCTGCATACTTACAGAAGGAGAATTCCATACCTTCACCAGAACTTTGACCAGGTCCATCTTGTTCAGCAGCAAACAGACGACTATGTAGCGAGCATAATAACGAAGCTTCTTCACCACTAATTCTGGCCTGGTGAGAGATGAGAGAGGACAATATGAAGGTTTGGATCCCGACGGGCAAATCAACTGATCGTCTTACTTTGCTTGCTCCTGTCTGTGGCTGACAGATGTAAAGAATAAGACCAATGATGTTCAAGTTGTTGTTTTTAGTTATATCTTACGTTACCAACAAATCCCAAATCAACAACAATGTATCTACTAAATAGCTATTTAGAAAAGTGTTGTGTTTGCATGAAAGCTTCACAGAATCCACTACAATACACGCAAGCCGACGTCGGGCTTCGTGGTCAGATGAGGTTTAATCCACTGCCGAAAATAGTCCCCAACGAACACAATGTGTCCTGTTTGATTAACATACACTAAAAACCATAAGAACTGAGAGATGTGCTTTGGCGGGATTGGTTGACAATAAACAAACATATAGAATATAACCAATGTTTTCCTTGTCTGCACACGTCAGTGATCTTGGGGTTAAGAAAAGGGATATTCAGCACAAAAACTTTTAAAAGAGTGAAAGGTGAATTATACACCAAGCAACATTTCCCTAAAGACATTAGTGGAAGTTACCTGTCCTCTTTGTTGACCTGAAAGTAGTAGGAGCGCTGGCGGATGGCGGAGTAGAAGGAAAAGGCCTCGTTCAGGTAACTTGTTTCTGAGGTCCGAAGGCTGTGAGTCGGGGGCAGAAAGCAGAGGGCTGTTACAGCGGCGTGGAAGGACAGATGAACGGCTCCACACACAGAGGCTGCTCCTCCTGAAGCTCATGCAACTACAACGTCAACACTTCATTTATGTCCACCTGTTTAAATCAACATCAATGAATCAGACATTTTCTCAGCAAAGCAAGCGCTTCAATTCGGTTCTAAAATAGATGAATGTATCCTTCAGTGAAATAAAGTGCCCTAAAGCTTTCTCTTAGATTTGATTTGCTCAGGTTTTTGGATGACTAACCGACTTTTCTAAAGGTTTCCCCTCAACACATATATTGCGTACTCATTCCCTAATATTTACCCTGCTGGGATCCAGACGTATAAAGTTATAAAACTTTAAGTTGAAGTTATAAAAGTATGGAATGGTCTGCCTACACTGAAAAAGGCTCTGTGCCCTATCTGCATTTTGAATAACTATTTGAATTGTATTTAAACAACTGTGATGGAGAACCGATCATGACATAATGTATTCATAATAATAATAATTGATAGCAGAGATACAGTTTGACTTACTAGTAGTGGTAGTAAAGCTGTCCAATTTTGGATGCAACTTCCCCAATCTGCCATCTCCTCAAGCCATAGCGACTGTCCAGGACCTGCCTGTCAGCAAACACATGATACTGACATCACTCACACGGAACATCTGCGACCGTCGTGTGCAAGTTAATCAAATAAGAGACTTCTACTACGTCACAGTTTGTCCTCATTGGGATTCGTTTCCACCCTGTTCAATGCGAATACAGCCAACAAGTGTATGTTTGATGTTTTGATGATGTTTGAACTCGTTGTGATGAATCAGCACACACACACACACACACACACATGAAACACGGCACCGTCGTCCCACCGAACCCCAACCGGGAAAACAAGAAGAGGTGGAAGTAACCTGTGCTGCTGCTGGAATTTCCACAGCTTGGTGTAGACGTCAAACGTGCGTCCGAAGTAGGACTGCCACTGCTTGTGTCCGTACTGAGGCAGGTCTCTGCAGCAAAGGACACACACGCCTTCTCATCATCGTCTCGTCACCTTTCACACACCAGACACACTTCGAAGGTAAAGTCACAAGTTATGCAGACGGCGGAATTCTATCATCTCTGTGTGAACATTTCGTTTGACAGTTTGTCCGTAAGGCTTTTTTTTTATGATAAATTGATTTCTGTGGAAGTGCCCCCCCCAGGAGAAGGGTCTCAAACGGTTGCTTTCTTCTCACCAAACCGCTCACAGTTGCATCAAAGAGCAGTAGATCCTCACATTAAAAAGCTGCGACGTGTGAATGTTTAGAACATTTTCGACTGACGGGCTGTGAACACTGTTCCTAAGATGTAACTTTCTGTTATGCAAGAAATACAACTGATTACGGGCCCATTATTATAGACCTGAATTAAGGATGTGAATGATTCCTAACAGTAACTCACGGGGGAAGACCTGTATCAGCAAATGTGAACCCGATTTATTGCAATAAAACCGTGTGAGGAAATGAAGCTCTATTTAACCCATTTGGTCAATTGGTCCTATTATTATCAGTCCAGTTCAGGAAGCAAGCCCTTCCCCTCTCCACCAGAACGGTCCTGCCTGGCCCGCTACTCAACGGCTCCGGCTTCTCCAGAGGGCCAACCTGCCCGTCGGCTCCCCGGCTGCACGGGTCGCATTCTCGTGTTAACGTTGCAGTGAAAACATCCACGTTGTGCGTCAGCGTCGAAGGCACCTGGAGCTCGGTTTGCAGAAAGAACATTCGCACGGCTTCAAGTTGACAGCAGACCTGTTACTTATTCTACGTGAAACCAGTTTGTTTTGTCTACCAAACACCAACAATAAACCACAACAGGCTTCTCCTCCAAATGCACGACCTGCTGCTTTCTCAGCATGCGAGGAAGCCGAACCCGCGCGTGTGTGTGGACGTCCCAGTGAAATGCCAACGCCTGGTGGGCTGACTGGCGTTCCCACGAACTAGAGGCTTGTGGGTAACGCTGGCGCTGTGTGTGTACACGTATTGTGGCTCCGTCGATTAGCCACCGGTGGGGTCCCGTCTGCGCACATCTACCTATTCCAGACAATACTAGACAGACTCCATCCAAGATGACTAAGAGCACTGAGATGGAACGCCTTAAAAAACACATGATCTTGATATCAGCAGAGCGTAATCAAAGCTTGCACACGTGTTTTCATTGGCTCAGAAAAGGCCTTTTCCATCTACATGAGGAGCAGCGCCACGTTTCAACAGCAACGCCCAGCAGACGAACGCTGGAACTCGCTATTAACGGGATAAATAATTAGATGACGCAAAAGAGGTGTTTTTTATCAGGACTTTTGTGTTGGTGAAGTTTATTATCCCTCTGCAGCGAGCGTCTCATGCGCCGTGCAGACATGAAGAACATCTGCCCATCTGGCTTTCAACACCGACTATTATATATATAATGTGTGTGTGTGTGTTGACATTTAAAAATAATAATACTATTCACTCAACTACTTTTTATGTTGTGCGACCTTTATATCTGCAGAACTGGTGTTAAACACAATGACCCATTAAATTGCAACTCCCAAAACCAGTCCAGTGTTATATGTATATGTATATATATATATATATACACATATATATATATAAAATTATTATATCGTGGGGGCGTCCATCATATATTTATTTATTGGGGTTTTATTGTAGTTGTTGTTGTGCATTGCCTGTGCAAATAGGGGAGCGTATAGAGTGTACACTGAAGTATAAGACATTAAATACAGTTTAAAAAAATGTCAATTGAGTATTACTATAAATATAGTGATAATAAATGACTTAGATGAATATACAAACATTTTTAGCCGGACACTCACGCGGCCTCACACAAAGGACACACCACTCCCTGTATTGAATACATATAATCATACATGTGCATTGCATGCGTTTCCTACAACTACACACTGCGTGTCCAAGCTGGATTATGAACACGCAGCAGACACAAGACGTCCAAACCTACCGGAGTCCATTGAAGAGTTGTTTGGACTTGTCCAGCAGATAGCAGAAATCTGTGACCGTCTTCCTCTCGCCTAACGGAATATCATCCTCAGTCTCAGCTCCAGTCATGACACCGACTTTTCACACCTGATCACAGGCAGAAACAAACGAATTTTGGCTTAGTTATAAACGGTTACAAATATTGGAAGCAGGGGCAACGAGACCAGACAGCGTAGTCGTCTTGGGTACTTCTGATTCAGAGGAAATACATTTTGACGTTTAAACTATTGCCACCAGACGCTTCTGGAAGCGGATAGCAGAGTGTCCTACTTAGATAGTAATAGAAATACGATAGTGAGGAGGAAACGTGTCACGTGGTAACCCTTTTAGGTTGTCTTGGGATGTCCCAGATTTCACTCACAGTGGCTGCAACCTCCAATTAGCTGAGATGGAAGAGCAATCAGGTCGAGGCACAGTTAGGTCACGATGTTCAGCTATAACCGAATGGCATCGGAAACAATTGGTTTATTGTGCCACAGAAACATCGTAGTGTAATAACAGGGGTCAGAGGTCAGGACAGCTCACCTCCTCACGTTCAGCTCAGTAACACAGTTCCAAACAGACCAACTGTCCTGAAGTGTCTTTATTCAGCATCTCTGCACATGCAGCAGCTCTCATTGAGCTTTAGAAGCGCGACAACGAGCCCATGATCATTGGAGGGGAAGCTTAAATTAATGCATGAGGTTTTAAGACAATCGATACAATACAAATTTGGGAGAAAATCTCTCGCTGGTGCATCTTTTCACAGAACTTCTTTGTAGATAGAACACTGCAGCGTAGACAGCGATGGTCTGATCGATCCGATCATTCACCGTTAGCTGCTCGTCCCACACCGGGCCGTTCACCATTAAGCCTCCGGTGGGCTGAATGGAGCGCGGACACCACCTTTCCGCCGTTGGAGCTCAACGGATCGCGGTCCTTCGCGGGGAGGACACCGGCAACCGTGGGCGGCTCGCTGCCTGCGCGTGGCGGCGTGGAGCCCCGCTGCCTCCGCTCGTGTCGCTCGCGGTCCTCCTTACCTCGCCAGCCGGCTAGCGGGGACGAGCGGGCGGACGTTTCCACAGGGACGCGCCTCACAAAGCTGCGCGAAAGCCACGACGAGCTCCGTGGGTGAAACGCGCCTGCCTTGACATGTCCCCCGAGGGACGGGACACCGGACCGACGTCCACCGAGCCGGGACCCGGCCGCGTGCACCGGACAGCTGTCGCCTGGAGCCCGAGCGAGCCTCTGGATGAAGGGACGCGCTCCGGTGGCAGGTGAGGAGGCAGGGCGAGGACAGCGGCTGGCACCGCGCTACCACAACTGGCTAGCTACTTCCGGGTCAACATTTTCAAAATAAAGGCTTCTCATCCTTATCATATCATATCATAACCCTGTTATACATATGTCAACGGTCAACCTTCACTGGCAGAGCAAGTAGCAAGCATCGATATTCAAAAATGTTGATCGAAATAAAATGCAATATTTTATGTGAGAATTCCTAAATCTCAAAATTCATAATGAATTTCAAGTAAAACATTTTCTCCAGCTTATTGAACATGGTACACTATATAGTAAGTCGTTGGTTTGCTTGCTTAAAAATAAAGGAAACAACAATCATTAATTAATATACAAAAGAAGCTTTTACAAAAACATTTTATAAACAATAAAATTATAGTATATAATCTACCAGACTGGAACACAGCCCCCTCCCCAGTTGAAGACATCCAGGTGACTGGGATCTATATTCATAAAGAACCATGTTAAACTGATGTAAAAAGAAATCTCCGTTCTGCTTAAGCATTCCTTTCTTCTCTGCTGAAGTAATGATATGATAAAAGAAGAGAACCTACCAAATCGATCACCAAAAGTGCAACAAGCCTTGTTCCGTCAGCAGAAAACAAAACAAAAAGAAATATAAAGAAATCTGGCTCGACAAGTAACTCAGTTTTGCGCAGTTTTTTGTTGCAGTAAATGTTGAATATCGAACTACAATTATTGCCTTTTGATACCTTAACGGTTTTGCATTATATCATTCAGGGATGTTAGCTGAAATTGATTGGATAGCACCATTTAGAACATTTTCCACCAGCCGCTACTGGTTGATACGTTGATGTTCATAATGCTTAATTGGTGTTTTTGGAAGCAGTACCTGGAGGGACTTAGGACCCTGGGGGGGTTCAGGTGATGGAACAACCTGGGGGAGAACGTCATGGCTGAGTTGCCCGAATAGTTAAGAGCAGCTCGTTTTCACGCCCTGTGTGTATTAAAACACGACAGTGGAGTTTATTAACCACTTTGTTTCTATCAACCACCGTCTGGAAGAGATTGCCTCTCTCCATTTCTCTGCCAGTTGTTTTCTGTTTGGGTCCATCAGAGCGCTGCAGCACGTTAAGACCCGCCCCCAACGCTCATTGGCTGCGTGATGACGCCCCTCCCAAGAGAATACTGATCAACATCCCGCCCTCACTGTAACGGCCTTTCTCAATGAAAAGTATTTTTTAAGGCGCGATAAAATACTTGTTAAGTGTTAATAAATGAATATTTAATTTAGTAGTAGCCTATTTCTATTTTTTTTATTTCCACTGTAAACTTACATTCCCAAACGTTTAAATGAAAATGAGATGTGTAACTAAAAATACTGTATCATTTCAAAGTGGAGTCGGTGCAATACAATTTGTAGATTGAGTTACACTGTACTTAACATTGTTTAACTTAACATTAAAGGTAGAAATAAAAAAAAAGTAATGTCAGAAATGTCATCAAAGATGTGTTTATATGTATATAAAAGTATGATTATGGTTTCTATAGCTAAAAGTAGCGTAACCAGAGTCCACAAAAAACACAGAAGAAATAATGTTTAAGAATAGAATAGAATAATATAACTGCTGATTGAGCAGCAACTTAATAGTATTTAAGAACCTTGAAAAGAAAACTAGCCAACTTGTTTAAAAGGCAACCACGAGATCAAAAAGGCTGTGATTATAGATACATCTGTGCAGGTTTTCCCACTTAAAAAGCATGTAGGAGTCTGTCATTTTTATCATAGGTACTCTTCAATTGTGAGTGATGGAATCTAAAACAAAAATCCAGAAAATTACATTGCAAAATAATTTAATTTAAAAGAGACTCCTACATGCTTTTTGAGCGGGAAAACCTGCAGAATGTGCAGTGTATCAAATACTTGTTCTCCCCACTGTGGATATAGCTATATCACTACTTGAACATGTACTATTGGCAGTTAGCACCAATTTAAATGTTTTATTTGCTTCATTGGGATACATAAACATCGAGATCTAACAAGTCCACGTTTTATCAACAAAATATGAGGAAACTTAAAAAGGTATCTTCTCATTGCAGAAGGTTTAAATACAGAACAAGTGAGTGTGGTGCAAACAGACTGTAGCCTTAGAAGGAACCTGTCACTGTTCAATATGCAGTGGACCTGAAAGGGCCGTTACTTTGTAAAATATGTGAGAGGACTGGCTCTTGTCTAGAGGAAGTAGGGGGTCGTAGTTCGGGGAGGTATGACACGCTCTGAGTCGGGCACGGCACGGAACAGCTTGGGCTCTCGTCTGTTGACGTCCTTGAAGACCATGATGGACGCGATGTTTCCGCAGCGATAGCAGTAGTTGGGCGCCGACCACACGGTCACCAGCTTCTCATCGAACATGAACTTGTAGCCTTCGTGAACCAGCTGATGTGCGCGGCAGATTAGCTTCAGATTGTTGATGTGCACAAACTGTGAAAAAAATCTGAGGATTATTTTCAATCAATAGGTAAAATTTTCCATTGATTTGTCTCAACGTTTTAAAACCACATACCTCATTGGTAACCTTGGAGCCAAACAGCCAGCCTGCACCTCGCGGACTGATCGCCCAGGTGTCCACATCTTCTGGATCTGACCACACAAGGTCACAGAAGGCCCCCTTGTGGGGGATCTCCTGGTTGCGTTCGATCGTGCGGATCTGGTCCAACGTCTTGATGTCAGGCGAAAGACCACCATGGACACACAGGACCTGCTCATCTATCAACTGAAATAGACATGAGAGATTAGGGGCGGGAATCTCTTGGTACCTCACGAGTCTATTCCGATTCAGAGGTCAACGATTCGATTCTAAACCGATTATCGATTCTAAACCGATAAAACGATTATCGATGCATCTCGATTTTCAAAATTTTCTCAAATCTGAGTTTGCTACTCAGAGGTTGCTAATCACTTCCTACTTTATTTGATAATTAAAGAAAATCAACAGATTAATTACCTTCTCTAATTTTTTATAAGAAAAAAAAATGTTTGTCACAAATATGATTTTCTATCAACAATGCAAGAACCAACGCAGCTTGCATTTCAACACAATATGGAAGTAGCCGATGTAAAAAAAATATTAAACAGATTAATTTTTCTTTTAAATGAAGAAAAAGCTGCTCTTAGTATTTTTAAAATACCGGAAAAAAGTCCAAATCTGTGAATATCTTGCCAACTTTCAATACGGATCGACTTTTTGGAAAATGGAAATAATGAGGTAAGATGTGCGCAGGATCCTCCATAGTTCGGTAAAGTTATTAGATATTTAGATTCAGACTGACGGACTGGTCTGCGAGCTGGACGCATTGCTCTTAATGCGCCGGTAATGATGGTAAATGATGGTTGTAGCTGGTTGTCGTCTACCGTCCACTACGGTTACCGAAGGGGGGCGTTTGTTTTTTGACAACGTTTTATCTCATAATTTCGACTTTCTATCCCCTTTTTTTAGTGCAGAAATGGGCTTCTATAGTTGTGTGAATGCATCACTCCAGCCAATCCAAAGACGGGGTTTGTAACCAATCAGGTGTAGAGACCATGGTGACTGGCTCCGCCCCCTTACTGTCAAAAAGACCCCTATGAGAGATGCTATTATATAACTGGCTGTCCTGTAAACATCAGTCAATATGACCCAAATCATGATCTTGATCAGGTTCTAAGTGTGAGAAACCGTAACAATATGCCAATGGAAGGTTGGTGGGGAATGTAGGCTATAGATTACGTTAGGAGACAATGTTAGCAAGGAACACATGAGCTCTGGTGAGCAAGGAAAACAAGGACAGCTCCACTTGCATCAACTAGGAAAAGTTTCCCAATAACATTTAATTGTCTGAACCCTTTAGAATCTCTAAATTGCTATGGGACAGAATTGACCCATGCAGCTAACATGTTCCAGCTACGTTCAAAGAGAGGTTGTGATGTTACCAAAGGGAAAGAACCACAAGTAGACTCACGGCTGCAACAGTCAGCATGTCGAACACTTTGGTGCAATACCGCCAGGCATTTGCATTTCCATATTTTGTTTGGCACTCATCTAAAAATAAGCAACAGACATGGCAACACGCTTCGATGAGCTGGTGAAACAGAAAAAATGTGCATGTATATAAAAAGCTAACCGTGAAGCATGTGTACTTACCATAAAAGCCGTACACTTGCGTTATCTGTCTGCTCTCATGGTTTCCACGTAGAAGTGTGATGCGATCGGGCCACTTTGCTTTTAAAGCCAGCAGATGTGTAAATGTCTCCAAGCTATAATATCCTCGGTCTACGAAGTCGCCCTAGATGAGGGAAAAGAGCGTCAAAGAGCCTCCATGTAGGAAATCAGGTCATTACGTTGAATATAGACCCAAACACAAAAGACTTTTCATTGTGAGAAGATTCTAGAGCTGCAAATCGTTTAGTGCCTCATAATTCAGTTCTCAAGGGGCGGGAAAAAACTGCAGCAAGTTACATAAATACCACGAGGGACGGTATTTCCGTTCTTATGTAAATAAGATCCCCGTGTCTGAACCGAACCTTTGGTTGGACGTCGTCTTACTAATGAATTCTTACTCGTTTGAAAAGACCACAACATAAGAGGAACAACTTATTGGGGAAGTTGAGGCGGGAAGGCGTCGGTACCACACCGCGCGCATGCCAACCATCTGAACTACTACGGTCACTGAATTTAGGAGACGATGCTACAAGCTTCTGTGTTTGGAGCCGAGGTAGACCACTAAATATTTGGTTGAACAGCGAAAATGTCATGTCAGGATTATATAAATGAAATAGGGTAGTGTCTTACAAATTTATAGAGTTTCATTTCGGTACAGAATCTCTGGTTTTATTTTGTTGGGCCCCACTTTCCCCCTCAAATCAAGAAAAACTAACTTACCATGAAAATGTAATTTGTGTCTGGAACTTGGCCTCCAGTTCTGAAGAGCTCGCAAAGATCATAAAACTAGAAGAGAACATTAAAGAAAATGTATTCTTGCTTATTAGGGAGGAAAAACAGAGTCACACACTATTAGCATTATAACAACAAATTCACCTGGGACGGGAGATAATGCAATAAAATAATTTCATCATGTTTAAAATAGAATTGAAATATTGTGCTACACAGAAAAACATTTTGCACCTGAATTCTTGAATGAGAATAAATCAATACTTTATCAGTCCAAAAATATGCATCTAATTCATTCATGAGTAAATCAAATTGTAATCATTTCATTTAGATTATTGATGCTGATTAAATCATCCGTGGAAGAGGAGGAAGAAACCAATTGTGCTTACCTGACCATGAATATCTCCACAAACAGTAACTGGAGTAGAGACTGGCTGAACATTTGATTCCTCCAGCAGTAAATCACATACGTAGTCACATAATCTCTGAAAAAGTAAAACATGGCAGTCGTTATTTGCAGCCTCAGCCAGATTATCCAGAAAGTTCCAAGATCCTGAAAATTCTGACGTGGATAAACACTGAACGAGTCATAAGTGATTACGTCTTATTGATTAGACTGCCGGCATTGCTAACGTTGGCTGCAGCGGACACCAATGGATGTAAACGGAGCATTTCTGCAGACCTTATTGATAATCAAGGTATTTAGTACGGATTTATCGGTTCCCATTTGGAGGCGGGTATGAAGGGCGGAGTCACCCCTCAAAGACCCTGAACATCCTCTCATGTCTGAAAGCACGTCTCACTATCAGTGCTTCTTCGTCCAAAACGTGGTTGGGAGTACAGGTGGGAGTCTGACCATCTGGTGTCGTGGTACAGTCAGAACAACCTGGAGCTCAACGCTCTAAAGACAGTGGAGATGGTTGTGGATTTCCGGCGGAACAGAGCCCCACCCTCCCCCATCACCCTGTGTGACTCCCCCGTCACTATTGTGGATTCCTTCCATTTCCTGGGCTCCATCATCACCCAGGACCTCAAGTGGGAGCTGAACATCAGCTCCATCACCAAGAAGGCTCAGCAGAGGTTGTTCTTCCTGAGGCAGCTGAAGAAACTCAACCTGCCAAGACGCTGATGGTCCACTTCTACACGGCCATCATGGAGTCCGTCCTCTGCTCCTCCATCACAGTCTGGTAGCTTCGTTGATGCGCTTTATTTTTAAATTATTTATTTTTAAATAAACTAACTCTTAGCCTTATACTACTAACCCATAGCATTCTATTTGATTCCTCGTGCACTATGTTGTCTTGACGTCCATTGTCATACAGTCTGCTGTCACGCACCAACAGCCAAGTCAAATTCCTTGTATGTCTGACATATTTTGGCCATAAATGTTTCCCGATTCCCAATTCCTGTTAAACACGTTTGTTTCGGATCAGAGCGGCACATGAGACCCCAGGATTCATTTTAGCCTGGCTGTTAGCCATGGTTACATGGTCACAACCACGTCAAAGCTAAATTCATCCAGAATAACCTGAATATCCCGGCTTAATCCCTTATCCTGGTTTTGTGCAATAGCCCTCAGCTCTTGGGAAGAAAGAAAAGCAAATCAAATTTAGCTTGTAGCTTTCGACGCTTGTAGCTATATATATATATATATATATATATATATATATATACACACACACACACACACACACACACACACACACACACACACTCCGTGTGAAACAACAGAGCTGCCGTATTGTTCACAGCAGTATTGTGTGATCTGTGGGAAGCTAGCCTGTGTTTACATGTTGCTTCGTGGTCAAATATTATCAAAGTTGATGGTTTTTGTTTACGTAGATGTTACAATGTTAAAATTGCAATCTTACATCTGCCCAAAGGATTTTTGGATTATTGTTTTTTACATTGCTTCTGATGGCAACCTAAAAAAGGTGGATGATGTTTTTGGTTCCTACAACTGCATTTTATTGTGTTAGCCTGTGTAGAATTTACTTTATAACTTGGGCTGAATTAGAATTAGAGAGACACACAGAAGAAAGCAAGCGGACGACAGGAGACGGCACGATGACGATATTGAAGGGAACTAGTTGAGATCACTTCTCTTCCTTATAAACAATAATGCAGAAGATGGTGCAGCCAGTATAGTTCCGGCTATGCGACAGTGTGATAGCATGCAAAGGACCAGATTACGGGCGAGCAGAAGGGTGAAGGAGCCATTCGGAGCGGGCTTCAGCTCCTGATGTCTCCAGTGAGGATACACGGAGCTGCTGATGCAGCCTCGGGAGGAGAGCTGCTTCCGGTACTTAGCTAGCGCTAGTAGCTAACGTTAGCTTAACTCGTTGACTACAGCGTCTTCTAGAAAAGCCTGTCCAGACTTCCATCGGACTTTGTTAGCCGGAGGTCGCTTCCCCGGGTACGCTGGTTAAAGATACACACAGATAATAAGCCTCTCTACGTCAGAGCAACAACTAACGTTGGGTAATAGCACTGACTTCATTAGCCAAGTTTGAGGAACAAACCTCTACTTTGCGTCCACTTAAATCAAACGTTAGGCTACTTTTACCTGAGCTACTTGAACTCACCTTTAGATCATTTTCCGGCAGGTACTTGCAGTGTCTCGCTATTTCAACGTAATTGTCAAGGTCTAAAGGCGCCATTGCCAACGCGCTAAAGTAGTTAGCCGGCGGCTAGCAAGTTCCTTTTCTTCTTCACTGCTCCTTCATGTTCAACTGTCATCACTGGTGTAAAGTAGACATCAACTTAGTCAGCCACATCCTGTGGAAACCTTCAAAATAAAACGCGTTAACGACGAAACAGTCCTCTATAAATAAGGAAATCTATAGTTAAGTCCAAAATTATATGTTAAAGCAACATTTGACGTATTTATTCAATCGTTCGATTTTTAAAACTTTAACGAAAAGGCAAGTGGCTATTTCTTTAAACCTTTATTTTGAAGGAACAATTACAGCGGCATTCTCTACATTCAACTTGATGCTCTATACTTCGATTGCTGTGCAGGGCAAATGCAACAGCGCCCCCTGCCGACGCCCACTGATCCCTAAGCTGCTCGAGGTGCATGTAACTGTAAACTTCTGTTGGTTCTTTTATTTTCCGTCATCCGCCCGAATATGGATTATGGAATACACAAGCGGTGAGAAGAAGGATCGTTGGAGGTTCCCAGCAGGGGTCATTTCTGTAGGCTCCACGTGCACACCAACCAAAACAAGCAGATTTATTACAGATGATCAAGTGCCATTTGTGATAAGAGTTCATTTGCGACAGTCTTGTGAGTAATATATACAATGCGTGGGGCAGACGGGAGACATACATATTAGTAAACATGTCAACAACATACTCACAAAGTTTATGGAGAGAAAAAATGAACAATATAAAAATAAATAAGTTAGCAAAGACAATACCAGGAACATATATACGAAATAAACGTATTCATACTAATTGATAACCTATAACTCACCGCGCTCCATCCGTCCTCCTGCGCGCGGAGCGGAAGGGGTTAAATCCGCGCGCAGAGCGCAGTGCCGTCGGGGGAGGACAAAGGCACCCCGTCCTGTCCCTCCGCTCGCACCGTTACTCCCGCACATTGACCCCGCGAGAGAACAAGATGCGGACTGCGCCCGTCGTGTTTTGCGGGATCTTGCCTCTGCACCTTTTCCTCTGCGTGCATTCTCTTCCGCTCAGCGGGAGGTCCGAGCAGCCACAGGTGAGTCCAACGCGGACACCTGAGCATTACGCAGAGAGAGCAAGGGACTTTATTAACGTGAAGCGACCGCACACAGCTGGGCAGGCAGACAAGATGATGCAGTGTGTGTGTGTGTGTGCGTGTGTGTGTGTGTGTGTGTGTGTGTGACAGGAGAGATCAAGACAAATCAGTGGGTCTTCATGTAATTTATTGTCACCAAAGCCCAGATAAAAGCTGCAGTCCCGTGACAGATTTCTCATTAAGCCACAAGTGGTTCAAAACGTTGAGAGAGCCGTACACTCGTGTCTCTTTAACACATGGCCCCCTGCCAGCTTTCAGAGGTCTGTTGTTGTAACTGCTTTTGTTCTCATAAGCTCAACCCAACATGAAATATCTGAAGTCATTATTAACCCTGTGAAACTCGTGAGTCCTGCAGTTGTTTTCTCCGTTTGTGGATGAGATTCTGTACTTTTGTTGATTCCTTTTCCAGAAGTAAAGATGAGACATCGTGCGCGTTATAAGTCATTGTACTAAACCTGTACTCAGAAGCGGTGCTGTTTGCTGACTCGGGGCGAACGGCAGAGCGGAGAGCTGCTCGGAGGGATCAGGGGAGTGTCTGCAGAAAACAGCCGTCCAGAGAGGACCACAAACACAGCTTTTCATTATACAATCCTTCATCGTGTTGGTCAATCTTCCTAAAATGCAAAGAAACCCGAAAAACATGTTAGAGGCCACCACATAAAAGCCTTTTCTTTTCCTGTTATGAGATTACATTTGGTCCATTTGGCCTTTAATCACTCACAGGGAGGGCCGTGCAGCGAAGGCTCACATGCAGATTGGAACCCAGTAAATGGTGCGTCCACTTTACCAGCTGGCACCCCGCTGTGAAACGTGTCTTCAATGAGAGACGTCCTGACGGTCATTTGTCTGACCAATTCTGCCGCTGCTACATGGACACAACCCTGCAAACGTTACAGCTGTAGTCGAGGTAATAGATGGCTGATTTAATCTTAAGGTTACCGTGATAACTGTATGTCTCCGTATCAGCAAAAAGATTTTCTATTTCTTTGTGGTTCTAATCTAAATCTAAATGCCGGTCATCGGTGCCTACGGGTCATTTCTGAGCGGAATTCAGATGAGATCATGCCAGAAAGCCCTTCAGCTCACACTCCAGCGGCGACTCCGACGGAGGCCGAGTTCACGGTGGACGCGCGCTGAGAAACTATGTCATTCATACTGTAACTAATCGATTCATTGAAAAATGTATCATCACATTAATTGGTAATGATAATAATCATTCATTTGCCCCCCCCTCCCCCCCGTATGAAGCATGTTGTTATGATATATCCGTGAGCAGAATGTAGGCGACATTGGAATTAGATTAGAGGCATCATTTTATTACATCACCACACTAAGATTCCTGTTCAAGGTTTTGCTGCAGCGTTACAAATGTTTGTACTGGAGTTGTAATTTATGTTGAGTCTGAACACTTTCTATTGAATTACAATTTATTACTGTAACAACAGTTCACTAAATCTATGATCTTATTCTTTGTTATATTGAGTTTGAAAAGGCATTAACCTTAAACGAGTCAATCCTCAACAGAATAAAGTCCCGTACAAAGAGTGAGGCATACAGTCTATCAACGAAACAGCAGCATTGAAGCTCCGGTATCAGGAGTGAAAGGTTGAGTGGAGAAGAGGTTTAATGAGCGATCAGTCTGTCATCTGTTCCGCCTCAAGGCTTTTTATCCTGTAAATAACGTCTCCACCAAACAAAGAATGCTACTGTCTTATTTTTGTGGTTCAATATCCATCCTTTTTTGTACGAGCCTGTCTGTGCGAGTAGATCTCGTCCCGTTCGTAGTGTGATGAATTAGGTGGTCATGTCAGAATTGCACGTTAGTTATGTGAACCCGCTCATGACACGCTCCCTGCACAACACGCAGGCGGCCTGACCTGACTCAACAGGGACCTTCCAGGAATCTGCTTACTGTGTGTGATTAAGCTTTGCTGAGCTTTTCAGAATACACTCGTGTCTGTGTGTGGGGGACATTTTTTCCATCTTGTGCGTGTTCATACCTGCAGGCACACATTGTATTTCCATGTTTGTAACAGATGTAACCGGTGCCATCTGTAAAGCAACGTTCCCCCCGTGAAGACGGGCTCACCACTTACTTTGGGTTGAGGCTTGGCACGTCAATTTGGGGCGGCGTTTCAAGGAAGCCAGGGTCCTGTGGGGACAGGTTGGCTCTGTCTCCAGGAGTCCCCCGGCATACCAGACAGCTTGGTTTTAATGGGCCTTTGTGTTTATACATCATAAGTCGCTTCTTGCCCACACGTGTGCGATTGTCCCTCACTGAGCTGCCTGTCAGCCTCTCGCGGCCCGTAGCCCCAATTTTGTATAAGGGGTCAAAACGTCTTCAATCCAGGTTCCAGTCATGCAAGCTGGGACTTTAGTCAAGCAATCGCTTCTGTTAAAACAATAATAACCCCAGTGTATCCTCTCATTGGGAATATTTGCTGCTTTTCTTTGTCATAAACTATGGTTGAAGGCGTGAGTCCTGCGACTCTCTAACGTAACTCATACTTAGCTACACCGTTGTCCCTATGAGGCTCTTTGTTTAGTGATGCTCTCTCTAACAAACTGAGGCCTTCACAGAACACCTGTAATTGCAGACGGTCACTCATTATGTGACTTGTGAAGCAATTGGTCGCAGCGGATCTTTGTGAGGTCTAACAGATAAGTGGGTGAATGCTTCTGAGAGGCACTCTATGAGATTTTAGAAAGTAATTATTGGTTCATTCCTCTGCAGAGCCGTGTGGTGTTCAGCCCTCTGTAGCTCTCATTAGAGGACACGTGATGTCGTGGCGTCGGGTTGGTGCCAGCGTTGGGCCCTGAGCTTTGTGTGGCGTGCTGGGGAAGCAGCGTTAAGGAGAGGCCCGTTGGACAGGCCGGTAATGAGCCATTTCTATAGTTGGATTCCCTGACGTCAGCGACACGGAGACACAGACGCTAAACAAACACTCACTCACCACGCAGCGCATTTACCATCTAGATGTCTCAGTGCTGCTCAACAGGTGGACTGAAGAAGCCTTTTTGCATTTATATTTCCTGGGGATGCACAAACCAATCGTCTCGTTTCGCTGTCTGGGCAATTGTTTCTGATATTTTGTCACATTTTGTGCCACCACTGCATCACTACCACACACGCTGCACGTATCGGTGAGGGTGAGTGAGAGAGGAAGCTCACAATGGGTCACAGCGGAGCCTCAAACGGCCCTAAAACCTTCGGATTAATTCACTTGATCAGACACGTATTGCTCTGTGAATCCAACCTGTCAGTCGGCAGCAGAGAGCTAAACGGCGCTAACGGAGGTCACATCGGAAGGGAATGCGCCGCATTCGCGTTTCCAATACTCGATTTAATCAAAAATGTTCGGTAGTGTTTCTCTGATCTCTGCGTCGGATGTAAACAGCATCTTCATACAGACATTCCAATGACTCATGAGCAAAAAATACACTGCTTTAATACGTATTTGTTGACGTCAGCCTTTCACAAACAATATTTTATTGTTAAGTAATCTCTCTCTTGGTCATCGTGGGTGAAAGAGGACGAGAGGAATGAGGGACGTGCAGTGACAGCTCTCTGTATACGTTCTGCACCCACTTCACTGACTTCCAATTCATTATTTGGTCCTTATTATTTGTGTCCTGTGTGTATCTGTTTTGTATGTGAAGCTACTGGATTCCGTCATTGCCAAGAGGATTAAATAACGCATCCATGAAATAAATGACACTGATCGTAAAAAGGGGTCAAGGACCACAAAATGTCCCTTACGGTCTGCTGCCCGTTTCCTTCTCCAGAGCTTAGTTTATCAGTGAATGTACATTTTAAGTCCTCAATGCTGCTAATTGTATGTAAATATTTCAGGCCTTAAGTCCTTCAGGCTTTAGTGATGACCTGTGACGTGATGTAGTCTCACAGCGCTGAAACTATTGCTCATATCAGATGGAAACGTTTAAAAATGGCCTTGTTTTGTTGGATAAATCGAAGGCTCCTTAATATGACAACTAGTGAATCCGATGATGAAAGTCAATAGAGACTTTCACCCACGTGACAGTTCTCACCCAACAATTTCCATCGTCTCCACAGCCGCGTCTACTGGTCCAGCTTGTTGTCTTTGAAATGGGCTCCTCAGCAACTTTGAAGCTGAACTGTACCAATCATAGGCTAATGGGACGGCTGACCTCGTTGACTCCAATTGTCAAATCAGCAAAACAGAACCGAGGTGTATCAGCAAGTTAGACTGTGTGAGGAGGAAGGATTGTGGCAGCCAAACACGGCACAAACCCTAAAGTCGACTGCGACCTGGGGAAGTAAAGCCACGCGGCAATGAACGATAGAAACGGAGATTGCAATATTCAGTTGGGAAATGAAATGTGTAATTGATCATAGCTGCCAAAGAGCCTGTTCCTGTATGATGACCGTCATGGATGTGCCTTTGTTTGAAGGTATGGCCTCAAAGCAACAGGGGGACACATGAACAGGACGTGCTAAACAAAGAGCACCATCTGAGGTCTCCATCGGAGTCCAAAAATGGCACCAGGTTCTGGCGGCGTCCTCGCTGTGGAGTTCCAGACTACTCCACCTTCATGCAGGTTAAGGTGTTGCACCGTGACCTGAAGAAGGGAGGCCTGAGTCGAATGCAGCGCGGGAAGCGATTTGCTCTGTTTGGACGCCGCTGGGAGAAGACGGACCTCACTTACAAGTAAGAAACACAAACCTTCCGCCTGTAAGTACATTAGTTTGCTATGCTACCCTGCATCTTCCATTACTTTAATGCGTTTTATTAACTTTCTTCATCCTAACCTTTGATTTGCCGAGGACCTCTAAGGTCTTTACCAGTAACGTCCAATGGTTGCAGAATGAGTTTGCTTCAGTCTGGTGAGGCCTGGGCTTGTTTACATGAGGCTCTCTGCTACATGCGTAACGCAACATACATACAACACTAAATTAACAAAATAAAAAAACAACTAACTCAAATGAATCTAGCTCTTCTCATTGTTACGGCAACTTAGATTAGTGCACACAGCTACACACTAATGTTTCTCCTTCCCCAGGTAACGTCCTAAAGCATCTGCTTAAATAGGGCCTTCAATTAGCAGCATCTAGTTTGCACCTTATCCAGGTGTAACTAATAACTGTGGTGCAACCCCTATGACATCACCAGTGATGTCATCAAGTGCACCAACAGAGGAAACGAGACAGATGGTGTGTTCTCACCGACTCTGTTAGTCTTCAGATGTTATTTTTTGGATGCCTATACGGGTTTACAGGATGCAAATATTCATAGCGTGTGTGTCCAATAGGATTGTCCGTTTCCCCTGGCAGATGAGTGAGGGCAAAGTGCGGCACATACTCCAGGAGGCATTTGGAGTGTGGGGCGCAGTGACTCCTTTGACGTTTAAAGAGGTCAACACTGAGAGAGCTGACATTATTATCGACTTCAACAGGTAAGAAAGAGGCACCAGAAGTATCTCATGAGCTGTAACCACCCTCGCTGCCAAGGCACTCCCAGAGATTAAAATACTTACAGAGTCACATACTCCTACTTACAGCAAAGCGCATGTTATCTCATGATTACTCATGAAGGCTCCGAGCAGGATTAGCCAAACAAAAGTATCATTGTCTATTTAGTGAACAGCCTTACAACTAATTCAAGAAATATAAATGAAGTCCTAAGGAAACACCACTAGAAAAAAAGACTGGTTAGAAAGTCAAAATTATGACTACCCAACTGACGGGACGATGTTTGTGTGGCGAGAGGTCTTAGTCCTGATGGACCTCAGCCTGCTGCCAGATGGAAGAGGGCTCACAAAGTTTGTGTCCGGGGTGAGAGGGGTCGGCTACCATCTTTCTTGGCCGATGCAGTCCTGCAGGGACGGCAGATTGCAGCCGATCAGCCTCTCTGCAGAGTGGAGGACACGCTGCAGCCTGCCCTTGTCCTTGGCTGTGGCTGCAGCGTACCAGACTGTGATGGAGTAGAGGATGGACTCGATGAGGGCCGTGTAGAAGTGCACCATCATTGTCTTTGGCAGGTTGAATTTCTTCAGCTGCCTCAGGACAGCCTGATCTCCAAAACCTGTTCGGAAAATGTATACGAAAATCTTGAAGATACAAATTCGTAGTGATACATACGAAATAAATACGGACTGCAACAGATGACGTCACCCTATTCAAAGTGAATGGGGACCTGCACCCCGTAAACACACTTTGAGAAGTCTAACGTAAAGTCTAATGTAAAATAAACGTGTTATGATTGCATTTTTAACGAGAAATCAATGTTAAATTGTAAGAATACAATACTAACCCTAACCCCCTCAAAAAATCCAACATGGCGGAGAGATGTTCACTCAAGAATCCAACATGGCGGTGAGATGTTCACTCAAGGGCCGTGGTTAACCACCGCCAGTTAGTATGTATTGTTACGAATTTCTATGTCAAATATTTCGTATACATTTTTACGAACAGGTTTTGGAGATCACGTTGCTCAGGAAGAACAACCTCTGCTGAGCCCTCTTAGTGATGGAGCATATAGAATTAAACCAGCATCAGCTTCCATAATCATTTAATTAGAATTTTGATGCACAAGAACTAGGGTTGTGTCATCTGCAAACATTTTTGGAGAAAGGCTTTTTGATGCACATTAAAATATCATTGGTTGTGCAGGTACTTAGTTATAAATGTTTTTTATTTGATGTTTTAAATTTTTATAAAACATAGACAAATAGCTGTATTTATTTATACATAAATACAGCTAGCGAGAGAGAGAGAGAGAGAGATTGATCTACATAGATTTACTTTTTCTGTTGGATCTTTTTTTGCTGCCACTTTGAGCTCTCAGTTAAAATATTTAAAACCTTTAGAAAAGCTCTGGTGAAATCACGGTAGGAAATGAAGCTTAACTCTGGTGCCTGTATCGTAGACTGGTTATTCGTAGGATCAGCCCAGGCGGCCACAGATAGTCGCTGGCGAGCAGTGTGAGAAACACATGGTGCCAATGGTGGTTCCTCGCACTCATTATTATTTTATTTTTTTTGCATAATAACTCCTGCTCACTAGTTACCTACAAAATATTTCTCAATTAGAATTGATAAATGTGTGTTGAGTGCCAACAAAACATTTGTCTACATTCTCCCACCAGGATTTCCAACATGCTTAGCATATCGAATTAGCACCATGTGTGTTACATTTAACATTGCTTGTGTATAATAATAAAAACCGCTTGTGTAGATACTGGCACGGCGACAGCTTACCCTTTGACGGCCCTGGAGGAATCCTCGCACACGCCTTTTTTCCCAGGACTCAAAGAGAGGGCGAAGTCCACTTTGACTATGATGAGAATTGGACAGTGGGGAACATTACAGGTGAGTAATGTTTGAAATAACTTGAGATCCAATATTGATCCTGTTTTATGTTCTCCCTGTTCCCACACCGCAGAAATAACAAGATCCATGTTAGTTAACAGATGAACAGCCCCAGGCAAAGACCTATAACTGAATAATCTCAGGACACATTACCTGAACTAAACCCAGGAAATATGGCACAGACTGATAGTGATGTGATCAATGAAAGATCAACATATCTTGTAGAAAGCAAATTCTATTTATCCAAACAGCAGTGGTTTCAGAAAAGGGAGAAATACAACTCATCAAACATCATGAGGATGCAGAGATCCAGTTGGTCGTACACATTTTTACATTTTCAGCACAGAAGACAAAATATCTTCTTTACAAGGAAACAAATAATTGCAATTGTGGTTTAACAAAAGGATCACACACGCTCATCAAATCAAAAGTTGAAGATAAATGTAACAAAGTGTTAAATTCGTGCTAAATTCAATGAGGTGTTTGGTGGGAAAGGATTGTGGGGGCAGACAAAACGGCAGTGAAAGCTATGGATGAACTAGATCTATGTTAGATTAGAGTGTGATGTATCGGTCAGCAGCAAGATCCTCTTCAAAAACACAAGATGAAATCTAATATCGGGCACTAGGCTTCTGAAACAACTCCAACGGCAACACAAGTGGAAACGGGTGAAATGCTTCTAGAATTACAAAGAAAGAAAGAAAGAAAAGAAAGAGTTGGCTTTGAGTTATTGGGCTAATGTTCAGAAAGCCCAATGACCAACTGAACTTCAGTCCATCACTTCCACTACCAGCAATAATACAGTGGATAATCCCTGATGCAACAGTACATTTTGCATTGCTAAAAAAGAGCAGCAAGCTTACGTCAAATTTTGTATACAATACAGACCCACATTGACAGTTACAGTTAGAAATAAAGAGTCTAGTTGCAGTAGTAGTAGGGAAGGAAAAGAGTCTAGTCGAAGCTTTACAGTAGAAGATGGAGTTGCACAAGGAAGCATAAATTGCCCAATTGTAGGGCTCTTTTTTCAATTACGATCATTGATATCTTTAGTAAGGTAGATACACAGTTAGGGTTGGCATTAGTATCTAACATTATTGTTAGAAATGTAAAAAAAACTCAGACTCAAGCAACACTTTAGTAAACATCTGAGGTATTCAATCAGACACAAAACCAGACGTTATTATAGAAATCCGACACTTCTCTCAATTGAGAAAAATTGCTTTTAGTTTTTCTGCACGAAACACAGGAAATTATTCAACGTTTTCTCAAGATTGACCCTTTCATTACCCCTCGACAATTACATTACATCACATGTCATTTAGCTAACGCTTTTATCCAAAGCGACTTACAATAAGTGCATTTCAACCATAAGGACACAAACTCAGAAGAACGAGAAACAAGAAAGTGCAATTTAATCAAATAAGCCAATGTACAATTTGCTATAGATAAGAGCCACTATAAGTAGAATGTGAAAGTAGTAGAAAGTGCTACAGTTAGTGTTTTAGTGGAGGCAGAGTCTGAAGAGGTGTGTCTTTAGTCTGAAGATGTGAAGGTTCTCTGTGGTCCTGATGTCCTCAAGATGATTATCTAAAATCCCCTTTCCTCAATATGCAATTGTTTTGAATTGATTTTGATTGAATTGATTGAACTATTTACATTTCTTGTCATTATTGCAAATAAGGTGAACCTCAACTTGCATTTTGAATGAGTAAATACATGAATGTTGAACAACTGTTTAAAAACTCATCATTTGTGAGATTTTAAAAACCCAATTCAACTACTTACGTTAGTGTCACTGTCCCCTTATGCTTTGCTGTCATGTTTAGGCACTGATCTCGCACAAGTGGCCACTCATGAGTTTGGCCATGTCCTTGGCCTGCAGCACTCCCTGGAGCCTGATGCTGTGATGTGTCCTTTCTACAGTGACTCCTACCCTCTGCAGCTCAGCGAGGATGACAAGAGGGGCATCCAGTATCTATATGGGCCCCCTCTGCGCGCACAGCCCGACGTCACTGAGACCAATGAGATTGACATGGTGAGCCACTGGGAAACTATTCATTAGTGTTTGTACACGAATGAGCCGGCGTCAAGCGGAAATCGCTACTGAGACAAGCATTATTTCAACGGAAAAGCTTACTTGGATATTACACAGTGTAGTACTTTGTAATCCGTGTATATTGCTGTATGTCGGACAACAATGATTTGATCCTTTTCTTATTTGTACATCAATTTTGTTTGACTCAGTTGAAAACACGACAAAGATACCAAATATCATCCAGTACAAATCCCAGCTGTCGCTCGCTATGATGAATTATGAGTTAATCGAGCCAACACTGGTGGATCTGCATTATTGCACAATTCTATAATCATCATGAAAAAAACGATGTATTGTCCAACAGAAGTAGTTGATAGGACCGTCCCAATGGACTGCAAAGATATGCATTGGGTTTCAAGAGTTCGTCAGTTGAACATGCGTATTAGTCCACAGACGAATCGTTCTGCCGTGTGTGTTGTTGTTCCCCAGTTCGACGCCTGCAGAACAAACTTTGATGCCGTCTCCACGTTCAGGGGAGAGCTGTTCTTCTTTAAGTCCCGGTATGTTTGGCGTATCCGGGATAGGCAGCTTCAAGCTGGCTATCCCGCCTTGGCCTCACGTCACTGGAGAGGCATTCCCGACCGAATCGATGCTGCGTACGAAGACACGAATGGCAACATCTGGTTCTTCCAAGGTCGGTCATACAGAAGACAACTTGAAAAGACGGCAGTTTGAATGTGGAAAATAGGATTGAACGACTGAATGAGATTTTCAACGCATGTAGGTTACTAAATGAAGATGATAGGGAACGCAAAATGGGATTACTGAGACAACTAAAAATTCAATAGAGCTTCTGTACGCCCCCCTTTATTTTCTGGGAACACCCAACTTGTGAGAGGAGATGGTTAGCCACAGGCTGTGAAGGAGTGGGATGTCTGGAAAACCCTCAGACTGACTTACAGTGAGTCAACTATAAAATATTAAAGTGTAGTCTCGGTTGTGTCGTCATATATGACATCACTGCTGGATGTGGCTACAGGTGCAACTGAGCAGCGCTTCTGTCCAACACCCCAAATGATTCATGGGTGAAGCTGGGTTTGGTCAGAGGGGAAACAGATGCTTTCTGGAGGGTACTTTATATAAATCAGTTATAGTAGACCATAATGCACACAATCCTATTCTGCAAAAACACTGCGTTCAATAACAAAATAGAATGTTTTGTCTCAAATATGTAAAAATGATATTAACAGTAGTCTATGACATTTAAGGTGCAGTTTGGGTTTTTACTTATGTCTTTCTACCACGACAGGTGACAGCTACTGGGTGTTTGATGCCGAGAAGAAGATCACAGGACCAGATTCAGTGCGGCAGCTCGGTCTTCCTGTCACAGATATCCAAGCGGCTTTGAAATGGGATGAGGACCGTGTTGAGAAAGTCTACATCTTCAAATCTGCTTCCTACTGGCCCTTCGATTCCCAAGTGAATCGAGTGGTGGATGTTCATCCGCGCAGCATGCACCAGTGGGGAGGAGTGCCCGGCCATATCGATGCAGCTTTTCGAGACATATATGGTGAGACTCGGCACCCAAAGGATACATTTGAGGCCTAGTGAGTGGTAAAAGTCCACAGTTGACTGTGGCCTTCTCTCTTCTCTCGCCCTCTTACAGGTTACGCTAATTTCCTGAGTGGACTGCAATATTGGAAATTTGACCCCGTGGCGTTGAAGGTGCTAGAAGGCTACCCTCGCAGCATTGGGATGGATTTCTTTGGCTGTTCTGCCGGTCGCTCTTAATAGGTTCACGTGCATGCATATGCTAAACGTGTGATTTCTCATCTTAATTCCCCATAACGAGCATTCTAGCTATTTTGTAAAAGATAGTCATTAAGACGACTCAAAAAGCATATAAATACATCTAATTCTTGCCAAAGTCACTGCCAGCTGCACCACACTTGGGTAACACTTTACAACACGGGATACAACATTTTGAGTAGTTACAAAATGAGGAAAGCAAATGAGGAACACTAGAGATACTAACTGCCAACAAAGCATTAGTTCATGAGAAACTAATAAAAGAAGGCTTGACAATTAATGAGGCTTTAATGAAATTAACCCTAACCCTATTATTTTATAGTTATTTTAATCAGGTTAAATTCAGGTGGTAAAAAGAAGAAACCAGAGTAAACCAGCCCACTGTGAGGACAGCAGTCGGCACAGCCTCAGGAGACACAGCAACCAGTCAAATCCATCCAGGACAAATGCCAGAGCCCCGACCCCGGTGCCCCAACCCTGGTGCCCCAACCCTGGTGCCCCAACCCCAGAGCCCCGACCCCGGTGCACCAACCCCGGTGCCCCAACCCTGGTGCCCCAACCCTGGTGCCCCAACCCCAGAGCCAAACCCCAGAGCCAAACCCCGGTGCCCCAACACCCTGGTGCCCCAACCCCAGAGCCAAACCCCAGAGCCAAACCCCGGTGCCCCAACCCTGGTGCCCCAACCCCGGTGCCCCAACCCCGGTGCCCCAACCCTGGTGCCCCAACCCTGGTGCCCCAACCCCAGAGCCCCGACCCCGGTGCACCAACCCCGGTGCCCCAACCCTGGTGCCCCAACCCTGGTGCCCCAACCCCAGAGCCCCGACCCCGGTGCACCAACCCCGGTGCACCAACCCCGGTGCCCCAACCCTGGTGCCCCAACCCTGGTGCCCCAACCCTGGTGCCCCAACCCCAGAGCCAAACCCCAGAGCCAAACCCTGGTGCCCCAACCCCGGTGCCCCAACCCCAGAGCCAAACCCCGGTGCCCCAACACCAGAGCCCCAACCCCGGTTCCCCAACCCAGATTAGGGTGCTGGGTATGGCCTGTATATCAGCAGCACAAAGTCTATTCACTATGGTTTACTTCCTTGACCTTAGAGTACTTCCGGAGATACACTTTACCGATGGCCTCACATATCTACACACCTTGGCCTTTTTGTAAAATTCCCCAAATTCCCACTTCTCTTATTTGTGCTTTGTAACTAATTTTCTCCTCAGTTTTATTTCATCTCAGTCATTATGCTCCTCAACCATTGGTCATTTAGCTCTACAGGCATTATGTGAACACAAACAGAATGGGAATTACTGAGGCAAATCATTTTACGACAAGATATCAGGAACAGAAAGGAATATTCTTCTTCTTTCTGATGCAAGGCAGCGTTGTAATGATGTATTCAAATAGTTCTCTGGTTTAGCAGTATGTTGCTGTTTTGTACTGGAGGTGAGTGGTCACAAATGAAACAGGAGATTTCCATTGAAAAAACTCCAAATCAGTTTATTTCTCTAAATTTACTGCATGTGAATGAATGAAACGCGTACATCTTTGATTACTGAAGATGCTCTTTAAGGTTCCGCAGGCGAGATCAATCGGTACCTCATATGTTACACACATTTAAAAAAAAAAGAAGTTATTTTCACTTCTTGTGTTATTTTTGTGTATTTCATAGAGCCATAAAACAGTTCTGATTGTCTTCATTAGAAGAATACAAGCCACATTATCATTGGCTGCACATCATGTGTTTCTATCCTAATTAGACAGTTTGAGTAACTATTTCTTTTTATAGCGATTTCCATGATTATTTGTTTTCAATGAGTTACTGTTTGTAATCAGTGCAGGACACTGACTAATACATTGACTAATACAGTATAATCCACTGTGGTTGCACCCTTGTGTCAACATGTCCTGAACCAATTGAAGATATTTTAATACATTTTACACTTATACTGCTCTGTCTGCATTTATATTCAATTGTGTCAGTCAAAATATGTATTTGATATGTGAATAAATCAATATAGTTTTTTGTTACAACAAAACCAGCTCCTCCAAGTCCTTTGTCACATGTTAGCAAACACCATTTGAGGCCGGGGGTTTTGACCAATGAGGTGTGCCTCCTTGGGCAGGATTACCGTGAGGTGAAGGGACTTAATATAATATCTATTAATCCCTCATTGGGCATTTGATCTGCATTATCTGGCCAGATGTCATTTCCTGACCGGCAGCCCAGAGTTGTAAACAACATTGAAGTCATTGACGGCAAACACTGGTCAGCCGAGCAGCAGTGATGAATGTGAAAATGTGTGTCTGCCCCCCGGGACTGAAAGCGGAAGCTGGTTCCACAAAAGAGGAGCTTGATGCCTGAAGTCTCTGGCTTCCGTCCTCCTCTTGACTCTAAACAAGCAACCCAGCACAACAAATGACACTGATCAGAGATGTTAACCTACATGCTGGAAGCCGGAGAGATTCCACCCAGAGTAACTCAAACTGTAACAAACGATAATGGATACAGAATAATCCTTTAGTTTACCATCAGGAAGCTGGAGGTCAGTTTTTATGTCTTGTAATCAGTTGGTCATGATTAACTTGCTGAATGACGACCCAGGATTCATTGCAGTAATGACTCAATATTTTTAGGATAGATTCTAAACAATATTGACAATTGCAGATATGGTGGAATCCCACTGACGTCATGATTTTAATTGGAAGGTTTCAACTTTTTAAATGGACCTAAGCGTTCTTAAATAAAATGGACCAATTTTAGTCTAAAGTTATTTTCGATATTTATATAATTTATCTAAATACGGTTGAGACTAGTGTTTCTCGTAGCGACTACACACATCAGATTCTGCCAGTGGAATGATGTGTACTTTCACTTACATTTTGCAGGAGAATAGTTTAAATATATATTGTACAAAGTTAGTAGAAATTAGCACAATATATTGTAAAAAGAAAAGACACAGGTCAACAAAACGATATTTCAAACAAGTTCTTTATATAAAAACAAGTCCACTATAAAGACAAAGCCATATTACAAAAGAATAGAAGCAATGGTCCCTATGTTAACATAATCATCTGGAAACTGTTCAAGTTGAAAATCAGCACTTTAAAAAGACACCACGGGTTCTTGTCAGCTTGTATTTTTAATGTGTGCTCCTGAAAACACGCAGTAACAGAGATGCAGCCTGCTTATATTGATGCAATGTGAGGCACGCTGCAAACAGCAGTAACAACGGCAACATTAGTCCCTCATGCAAAGAGGACACGATGAACTAGCTATGTCTTAGCATGCAAATGAACACTGACGGGAACCAGAGTGAGTGTGAACACACAGCAACATTACCAGGGACTCTGGTTTGTCTTAATAGCCTTCAGGCACAGTATATATACAAGGAGCTAAACAATTGAATGCGGCTCACTCACATGTAGTGAAGCCTGCATGGATTAACAGGCTTAAATGACTGCAGCTTTAAAAGTATTCTGGTGTTAGGAGTTTTCTGTTCCATGGCAAGTCACACCATCCCAAGGGGTATTAGAACTTCTGTTTTATCTAGTAAAGGTTCTCCAACCACCAGAAAAGTTTGAACCACTAGTATGTCCAGGGATACGTGCAAAGATTTGCTTGGCAAGGCCAGTATTGAATGATCTATATAACAATACAAACAGGGAAAGAAGGATCATTACAATTTGAAATATGCTGGTTTGTATGACGGCAGACTAAAATCCAAAGATATTCATCTTACAATGACTTTTGACTAGAAAACAAGATGGAATCAATTATCAAAACCGTTCATGACACATTTTTGCTGATCCACCAGATGATGAACCCACTAATGTCAACAGGCATTTTTCACAACACACTTGTTTACATTTAAGTGTATCCCTTTCATTTTTAGCACATTGGATAGCTCAAAAAATGAATATTTTCTTCTATTCTATTCAATTAAAACAGGATCAAAATTAGACCGCTGATTCATAGATTATTTTGTAATTTCAAGTGGATCTTAAACCGAGAAAACAGACCTGTGGCATCTGTGATAAAGGTCTGACAGTTATGAAATGAGGGTTTTATGCAAACACATTCATACAGTTACACTGAGCTCACTGCGCGGTGATGGAAAGTGCATTGCTTTGACACGTGTTGTGTGAATGTTCCAAGCGCTGTTGTGTGTAACTGCGACATATGAGGTGACCATGGAGACGGAGCACCCGTGGGTGCAGGAACATCCAGATGCTTCCTCAATGCTGAAGGACGACCCGGTGTGGTGTGTGTTGACTCAAAGTATTTACCGGAGTAACAGGAGTCTCCTGAAGACACTCGTGTGTCCCTTTCTGTCGGCTGCAGCGCTGCGTTGCTTTCTACCAGGACGGAGCGGTGTTGGCCAGTCTTCTCATGCGCCTACAGAAACAAATTTTGCCCACATCAATTCAAGAATTCTACAGGTTCATTTACCTTTGTGTTGGTGACAGGGTGATGTTGTGGTTTGGTGACAGGGTGATGTAGTGGCTTGGTGACAGGGTGATGTAGTGGCTTGGTGACAGGGTGATGTAGTGGCTTGGTGACAGGGTGATGTAGTGGCTTGGTGACAGGGTGATGTAGTGGTTTGGTGACAGGGTGATGTAGTGGTTTGGTGACAGGGTGATGTAGTGGTTTGGTGACAGGGTGATGTAGTGGTTTGGTGACAGGGTGATGTTGTGGCTTGGTGACAGGATGATGTTGTGGTTTGGTGACAGGATGATGTTGTGGTTTGGTGACAGGATGATGTTGTGGTTTGGTGACAGGATGATGTTGTGGTTTGGTGAAAGGGTGATGTTGTGGTTTGGTGAAAGGGTGATGTTGTGGTTTGGTGACAGGATGATGTTGTGGTTTGGTGACAGGGTGATGTTGTGGTTTGGTGACAGGGTGATGTTGTGGTTTGGTGAAAGGGTGATGTTGTGGTTTGGTGACAGGGTGATGTTGTGGTTTGGTGACAGGGTGATGTTGTGGTTTGGTGACAGGGTGATGTTGTGGTTTGGTGACAGGGTGATGTTGTGGTTTGGTGACAGGGTGATGTTGTGGTTTGGTGACAGGATGATGTTGTGGTTGGCTATGCGTGTGATCCCAACAATTCAAGTCAGTTTGTTCAACCGACTTAATCAACTTGTGCCAATTATGCCAATTTGTCATTGCATGTTTGTTTCGATACTATGAACACTTTACTATCTAGTTTGAGTCTTCTTGTGTGGAACCTTTTGGTCTCTGAATAATGTGCGTCTTCATGCAGCCAGCAATATATGGCGGCTAATGATATTCTGCCAAATGCCCACAGCTCATGAAACAACAAATCTCCTGCAGCAATAGATACAATGGAGTAGATCTATATATTTACAGAATGACAGACAGTAATCTGACAGTCTCACCTTGTGTTCCGGTCCTGGTCTCGGATCTTCTTCTCCATTTCAGCGTCTGTGAGGGTCTCCAGCAGGGGGCACCATTGATCTGCATCACCCGTGTTGCGTATGGCGATCTCCACTGTCGGGAGTGGGTTCTCACTGTGAGCACATTGCAAGCGAGGCAGTACTGGATCAGTCCAACATAAAACCATGAAGATCATCAGCTCATGATGGGTGGAGAAAATAAGGAATGAGTCCAAAAAACGCTTTCCCACGAGGGGAGGTCTGACTGTCCTCCCAAGTGGAATGAAAGTTTATTTGAAGTTCATTCATTCTATTGCTGCATTCATCATCGGTTCCGAGGAGCCTGTAGAGGCGGGTGGCTGAGTTACCTGAAGGCGTAGGTCCTCTGGTGCCAGCTCAGCTGACCGCGAATGCTGTAGGCGATCGTAGTGACGAATTCTCCACCCAGCCCGAGATCAGAGCATAGCTTCAGTGCAAAGGACTCTGGAGAGTTCTCCCTCTCTGACATGTCCCACTCAAACTGGTCCACCAGGGAAATGTTCCCCACATGGATGTTCAGCTGAGGAACAGAGAAAAGCAAATCCTTAAACTCACCCTGGTCTAGTATGTTCCCGTAAAGTGTTGGTCCTTGGGTTCGGCAACGCACCTTGATGATGACTCTCTGGTCCGCCTGCTCCTCCAGGATGCTGTCAGTGGGGTAGGACTCAATCTGCTGACGAATGGCTGAGGCAATGGCGGGGACGAAGGCCAGAGGATTCAGGTCCAGGTCATCACATAGAATCTCCGCGAACATCTCTGGGGTCATCAGTTTCTCTAAAGAGGGACGGATTTGGGAGGTTAGAGAAGAGTTTAGTAACTTGAAATACTGGGACAGTGAGACAGTAGACGACACTTTCTGTTGTGGATGTGGGGAAGCTAGTTGACGTGTGCATTAACCATTCATGTTCCACGTGAAGGCGTCTCGCAGCTTCTGTCCGTCGATCTCCATGTCTAGTCGAATGGGAACCAGCGCCTCCACCTGGGCGGCGTTCTCATGGATCACTGCAGGGTCGTGGTCATCGAAGCTTAGAAACAAGACACAGACAACCTCTATGTTGCATTATTTTTGTGTATCAAAATTTTCAAAAGTTTCAAAGAGATGTAAATAAACACCAGAACATGAAGATATTACAGATTTGACATGATGATGATCCATCTCTCTATAGGGCTACACCTCTAAGTGGAATCCTTTCAGAGAGTCGGTTCTCTTTAAGTACCCTCCGGTACAAGCTCCCTTTAGCCAGAGGATCTACCGTTTCACAGTGGTAAAACTCTCCTACCACAGGGGGAAGGTCCTTTTCTTGTCGCGGCCCATTCGGTTGCGGTTGATGGTGGTGGAGCACGGCACAGCGTCCAGGTGGTGGGAGCTGTTGGGCAGCGTGGGGACCCACTGACTGCTCCGCTTAGCTTTCTGCTCCCTTTCAGTGCAGAGGAAAGTATTTGGGGTTGGTATCTGTCACAGTCTGAGGCCGCAGGGTGCATCTCGCATCACACAGGATAAAAACAGATGTAAAATGATTTTTAAAAGCAGTGAAGCTACCTGAGGTAAGCAGGGGGCTCAGTGCTGATGGACACCGCTTTGTATTTCTCATCATTACCCTCGAAGATCTCTTCACATTCTGACGCCTTCAGCAAAGTAACACTGGTGGCTACAGATGGACAGTAAGCAGAGAAACAAACACAGATGCAGGTCAATCTTCAGTGCTGACGATTAACTTACTCATTGTTAGAATATTTGGGGATATTTGTAGTGTGAGTAGGTCTCATTTCGTTGGCTTCGACTCGACTGTCCCGTTCTGAAGGTGGTCGAGGGACGCAGCCCTTCAGGCACTGATTTCAGGACACGCATATCCCATCATGCAATGCGGGCGAAGGAGGATTTTATTTATTCAGGACGGAGGCACGTGAGCCGACAGCGGCTGAAGCGGGACTTTTAATTGTACTGTAAAAAGTACTACAATTCACTCAAATATCTACCAAAAAAAATGTTCCAATATATAACATCACATCTTAGTTTGTAAAATCTAGTTTGTAAAACGTTACGTGATGCTGGTAACCAATGTTGTGTTTTTAAATACACAAAACATAATGGAACAGCATGTCATAACTCATGCTGCCCGACCGCAGTTAGCACTGAAAAAACACTTTAATGCCTTAACTCTCAACCTTTACATCGTACTGAGGCGGTGTCGGTTTTATGGATGTGTACTTCATATTATGAACAGAAAAGGCTCAAAGTGAGCTCAAGTAGTTATGAACCGGAAATATCCCGTTCTACAGAGGTTAAAAAAAATAAACACGCGAAGAAAGTGAACTTGGTTGCTTTGCTCCTTGCGTTTTGTGGTGTGATAATAAAGTAAATACATGTTGTTTTGTGGAGCAGGAGGAAGCAGCATCACGCTGATGGAGAACAATGTGTGTGGGGACATATTCTGTAATATCTTACCGTTACAATTAAATTAGCTTGTATATCCGTGAAAATAATAAAAAGTATTTTTTCCCCCCATAGTTAGACGTAACTGCTGGTTACTCGGTTCAAATGTATTGGTTGAAGATGGATGGATGAAGAACTCAAAAAAGAAAGACACACAACTCACCATGTGATGACGCGACGATCTTCTTCCTCTCCTCCACCGAGGCCAGTCTCCTCCATAAAGACGGGTAGCGTTTGTACAGAGAGCCTCTGAACATACGCAGGTAGTTTCCAACCTGGGAAGCAGGAATCAGGATGAATCAGCAGAAGGCAGACAGGAATCAGAAAGATTAAACTATTTTCATATTTGCACACAAGGCATCACAATTAACCATCCAAATGACAACAAATCAACAATATACACATAAACATTCGAAGCACCAAGTAAAATGTAGCTTTTCAAAGATTCCCAGTGCCCGATAAAGACCTTAAGACTTAATAATGTAAAGTGTTATGTAAAGTCAGCGAGCGGTCCAGCGCCTCACAGCAGAGGAGGTGAAGACTGAAGGCGTAAGTGGATTGTTTTGGAAGTTCTCACTGTGATTGATTTCTAGTCAGAAACGTGCCTTGTTCACAGAGACGGTTTCAACAGAGGACTGATGGACAAGCTTTGTCCCATGGTTTGAGTCTCCAGAGGACAGGAGGACATCCAGGGAGAGGAAGTGATGCACTCTTAAATCAGCATGTAGGTACAAAGCAGTACAAATCGGGACTGGCCGTCTCTCTGTGGGGTGTCCATCACCCTGTCCTAGCGAGTGGTCTCTTCTGACGAAACAGCCCGTGTCCGTCTTACAGGACAAGACACACGTGCATTATAATGTTCTTCACTTAAGAGCATTACGTTTCTACACAGCGTATATATGGGTTAGCTTTAGCTTTGTTACGTTCAAATACCAGGAGTGGATACAGACTGAGGGGATGACACTTTATAATGTGTTGATCGCGCGTGAGTCCGTTAACGTCTCCGCAGCAGCCTGCGATTCACGTTAGAACTCAATGCAACACACCAGCGGCCACACGTGTAATGATGGCGGTTACGAAATTGGCGTTGGCCATTAAGTTACATTTTACGCGTCATTTGCTGGCCTGACTTTTGTCCATAAGATCCCGCTCTTCGTTTGAGCTCTTTGTTCAAGAACCCATCAGTGGGACTCGTTAGCATGCTAGCATCAACCAGCCAGAAGAACAGAGAACTGAGGCTAACGTGGGGGTACCGAGCTTCCAAAGTGAATGCACAGATAGTCACATACCTCTGACCCAACCATGAAAAAGTCTCCATCTTGCTCTAGTTGAAATTTAACTGGTTTCTGGCCAAACGTTTTACTCAGAGCCAACTGCATCTTCACGCAGTCACTAACCAGCTAACGTTAACGCTATTCTTAGCAACCGTCTTCTCCGGATGCGTTTGAGAGTAAAAATGAAGATGGGAAATTAGTGTGTCTTCTTTCACAATGGGCTTCACTTTAGTTTTCTGCATTTGAAAACAACAGCTACGACAATATCGGAGAAAGAAGTGTAACGTTGTGCACGGGAATAAACCAAAACATACTGGGAGTACAACCACCGCTACACACGTCCCGCTTTAGAAGGTGTGGATATACAAGTTTTTGGAGAATATTTATTTCCGAAAATCACAAACGCTGCATTGGTTTGTTACTCTTCCTTTAGAAAGGTAGAAGAACCGCTTCCAAAGCTCACTAGCGCCGCTCCCGGTGAAAAGCGGCCACCAGCCACTACACACAAGGTTGAATTAATATGGCATTACCATTTCATTGGGAATTTATCAAATTTAAAACCCCACTTGCTATACTACCATATAAAACAAATGAACAAAACAGGCGAAGCACACACATAAGAATGATATGTAGGAACGTAAACATTAGAATGCGATACATTGAATAATGCCAATTATAACTTGTTAGGTCTCTGATCACAAAATCCAACTACATTTGTATTTCTTGAGATTAGAGAAGAAGTGCAAAACACCATAATTTGTGATTCATAAAAGAATACACAACAGTCCATTCTTACAGAGTATAGATTATCACCAACTCAAATTTGGACCATATCTTTTTAAGCACAATTAAACAAAGCTTTTCAATCCTCCTATTGATTTGACATATGCATGACACACATCTTATTAGCATTTTTTTTTATCTCCTTTCTAGAGCAACAGACATGCGCCAAATATTGTCAGCCAGGATTCATCATCCATTTCCTACAAACCCAATCAAATGGTAACATTTAAAGATAAACAAAATACAAAATGTGTGCAAACTGGAAAGTAACCAAAGGTGTTGTAACAAATAAATAGGCAAGACTCATCTTTTTTGTATATGACAGAACTACAGAAACGTGTAAAGGCCGTTTGTGTCAAATAAAACCCAAAAGGAGTGCGGTGGTGAAAACAACACGATAGAAGTTAAAACCTGAAGTTGAAGAAATAGCAAAGATCTTGATATTTTTATACGACTGTGACTGTGAGAATAGGGAATGCAGTTACAAGACCCTTTCTACAGACAATAATGTTATTTATATGCATCAATTCAAGAAATCAATATTTTTGGGGTTACAATTAATACTTCTTGCAACCGAGACCAAAGAGATGAAACCAAATTATAATTTTCCACACATTTATTTCTTTAAAAAGTGAAATGGGGAGAAAAAAATGCACTCACCATCTGAATAAATTCACTTAGATATTTTTCTGCTGTCATTTATTTCTCTTTAATATGACAGTTGTTTTCTATCCTTTTTTAGATTGGAAAAAAAACATCATGGGATCCTGAGCTTCGTGATCCAGAGTTCCATCAGAAGCTTGTGATCTCTCAAACTGTCTTAGAGCAAGGATCTCGCATCAAGAAGAGTTTCTGAGAATGATAGAGGCCCATTTACCATGACAACAGACGTTATCTCTATATTTGGCATTCTTCATCCAGAACTAAACAAACCAGTCAAAATCAAAGACCACGTTTGTCCCCTTCGTCTCTCTGAGGGAATGTCCTTCCACCGTCTGTGGGCATATTTAACCTCCGAGGCGCTGTCCCTCCCCCCAGGCAAACCCTCCCGGGCGCTCCTCGGGCAAAGGGTTGTAGTTGGCGTCTTCCTCTGGTGTGTCGAACAGCATCTTTCTGCAGGAGACACACAGAGGACATATTTCTGTTTGACCTCCCATGACTATGTGCAGCAACCAGGCCTAAATAAACCCTGAATCCACTAAATCTCAATGTGGATTGCCATGAAACTCCCCGAGCAGGTTCGTTCTCCCCAGAGGATGACCTCTTTCATTTAGCTTACTTCAATTAACATCAAGGACAAAAAAAACTACAGTTAAAGGTTGAAGAATTCATTCATTCATTCCTACACTTTCAAATTGTAGTCTATTGCATCTTACAGGTTTTGGCTTTCAGCCTTGTTTTATTCAGCCGAAGTTAGAAGAAAGCAGACTCACATGATAGATGGGGTCTTGAGCCATCTTCCACCCCCCGGCTGGTTGGGGAAAACATCCTCCAGAAAGAAGTACACATGGCCCACAGCGATGCCTGAAGAACGGTAGAAAACATTTTTAACACAAGTACGATTCGTACGAACCACACCAGCAAAGTTAGAAGTGAGGACTGCGGATGGCAGGACAGGTACCTAAAAGATCAACAATGATGGAGTTCCCCAGCAGAAGTGAGAACCCCATCAGCACCCAGGGCAGGAAGGGCGCCTGGAAATTCAGCAGGCCAAAGAAATTCATGCGGACGTTGGGATTTCGCCGGCTCCACACGTACACCAGCATGATGGTGAAGGCTTGGCCCAGAAACACCAGACTTACGAAGGTGCCGAATATCTGACGCCTTGTTAAAGAACACGTCTTGGACAAGCAGAACGTGGTGAGGACCACAAACAAGTAGAGCCACTCCTCAAAGACACAAACCCTCTCAGTCTGGATAAAAACTATTGATGGTCACTGGTAGCAAAGCGTACGGGAAGGAGGCTCAGCGCCGTTAAGCCACATGTTTTTAATGCAACATTGATGGGAAGGATACGGTCATCAGAAGCCCCCCAAAGAGGAACATGAAGACAAAGTCGGCCGTGCGTCCCCTGAAGGAGCCCTCCTCCAGCATCCGACAGTATCTATACCTGAGAGCAAAGGGTTAAAGAAATCTACACAGACGCTTTAGCCACACGCGGCCTCCCTCCAACGGAAAGTATGCAAACGCAAGTGAAACATGGAACCGAGAAGGATACAGAAATATCATGTTGAACAGGAAATTGAAGCCAACGGGACCGAAAAACAGGAAGTTGGTTATTAATCTCCATACCTACAGTAAGAAGAAGAGAGACAACAGTCAGCCGTACACAGAGTAGCATACGGAGGGACGACCGTACATGCAAGATTCAACTGAAAGTTTCCACATAAGGTCACCATATACGTATACAGACGTGTGTTTTGTCAATTTAATGCTAAATGAGGGGCTCCATCATGAAACCAAAATGTGAAAAATAAATCCCTCTTGTTTTTATTCAAAAGAAGGACACGGCACAGGGGACACACATATGTTCACATGTAGCTGAAGCAGACAAATGAAAGCGACTTTATTTACAGTGTGCGTCCTGAACGAACACTGGGTCAGATGCCATACCTGGTAATTCCTTAGAATCAGATCCGGATTGAAGTATAGCTGAAAGGGTGTGATGATCTCCAGTTGCTGTGACAGAAGACAAAACAAACTTTTCAAAGATGATCCTTATCGTTGGCATTATTACGACTACAGCAACGTGACACACTCCGAGGAGCTGCATCTGAATCCAAGCTCCGGACTGCAGGCATGAAGCATCCAGACGATGTACAGGGACACTCGTCTGAACTGCGCCCAGTGACCCGGCCGTGCTATTCGCTCAGCCAAGGACAGTCTGTGTTGTTCCAATCGGCCACTGCTAAACGCCGCTAATCCTCCACACGCAGTGCGTTTCTGTAAAGTGTCATCAGTTGTTCCCTGTAAATATCAATAACGTATTCTTCCACCAAAATAAAAGCAAGTAGGGGTGGGGCGACATCCAGGAAGGAAAAGCATCTTAACGTTCTCACGTTATATCCATTATCGCAACAAGACGGATTCATTGATTGGCTGATAAATAGACAATATCTGTCCAATACCAGATGAGATCCTGAGGCAGCTGAAGAATTTCAACCTGCCAAAGACGATGATGGTCCACTTCTACACGGCCACCATGGAGTCCGTCCACTGCTCCTCCATCAGCGTCTGGTACGCTGCAGCCACAGCCAAGAACGAGGGCAGGCTGCAGCGTGTCCTCCGCTCTGCAGAGAGGGTGATCGGCTGCAACCTGCCGTCCCTGCAGGACTTGTTCGCTTCCAGGTCTCTGAAGCAGCTAAAAAGATCGTGGCCGACCCCTCTCACCCCGGACAAAACCGGTTTGTGCCCCTTCCATCTGGCAGGAGGCTGAGATCCATCAGGACTAAGACCTCCCGACACACCGACAGCTTCTTCGCCCGGTCCCCCACTGACTGACATTCTACCGGTCACTTTCTTTCATTCTGCACACGTCACTTTCACTCGTCACTTTTGTCACTTCCTGTTCGCAGGTGCACTTTATTTTTTAATATTTTTAACTTTAACTTATATTTTATTTTAAACTAACCCACAGCCTTATTCTACTAACCCATAGCATTAGCATTTTATTTTATTCCGCGTGCACTGCTGTCTTGTCTGCTGTCACACTGTCTGCTGTCACGCACCAACCGCCAAGTCAAATTCCTTGTATGACATATTATGGAAATAAATATTTCCCGATTCCCGATGTGTGAAACGAAAATAAATTGGTTTACGAATTATATTTGATGGAATACAAACACAAACGCAGTGTTACACAAGTTATGCTGAGGCTGCGATCGGATCCGTTTCAAGCAGCTCGCTGGATGTTGAAGCTGTAGAAGCAACCGGCAAAGGATGAGCGAGCGCCCGCGAGCTCCACCAACGGCCACCCTCGGGACCCAGCGACCCTCTACAGCCCCGCACCCCTGCTCACTGTCAGCTAAAGTCGGCTACGCCACCGACTTCTGATAACTCGATTAAATGAGTCGGCATCCCGCACAACCAGCTTCCGACACGTCTCCTTCTCACAGGCGCTAGCGGCTAGCCGCTAACGGCTAGCGACGTGGCGTCAGTTGCCTTCGAGCGACACCGAGCTGAGCGCACGACGACGAGGCGGGAGTGAGTCTTACCACTGCCGCCGTGGTGAGGACACACGCGGTCGTGTAGGCCCGGGTAACGACGGGGATCTGCAGGTACTCTTGTTGTAGTGTCTGGTAAGCCATTTTGCTCAGACTGGAGGCTTCCGGCACTTCGTTGACACGTCATCGCACAGGGCGGGGGGGCGTGTTGCGTTCAAGGACCAAAACATAGATGTGCACGTTCAACTCATCGCAACGTGCTGCCTTCGCCAAATGGATTTCTTTACATGGACGATTACGTGTCCTGCAAATGGCATGTTTACGTGCATCAGTTGTATGTTCATTTTAAGCGCTATTGATGAACACAAACAAACTAAAACGGTGTCAGACTTCATGAAATTTGTTTTGGTTCTCACATATTCCTACAAATGTTTCCCCAAATATCCTTTATTTCCCCTTTACCCCAGCCAAAGGGTAATTACACAAAATGAAATTCAAAACAAAAGAGAAAAGCACCTAACACCTAACAATATAACACCAATCAGCAGTTAAGAGGATGTACCGGGGAAGATTATAATGTATTAATTATTGGTTCCAATTCATCTCGGTTGAATATGACTTAATTTTACTTTAGAAACTGATTCAATTGTTTGGCCCAGAAACATCAAACACCACATTTGAAGATGGCAGATGTGAGGGAAGCTCGGTTCCTTCTGGCATCTTGGATCTTTGGATCGCATCGATGTCTCCGGTGAAAGTTTGTTCAGTTTTCTCTGGTATCTTTCAGACCTGGTTGTCTACTGGCTTTAAGTTGTGCTTGTCTCCATCTTCCTCTCAGCTGGATGCTGTATTATGTTGCCACCCAGCTTCCTAGTCGGGTCATTATAACCCGTGGGCCAATTTTGAAATGTTTCAAAATGTTAATCTTTACTTCCTGTTTTATTGTGTCTGTCACTCGCATGATTCCTCGGCTACTTTACTTTCTCTGTTTAGTTTCAAACTCATAGACAAAATCCAATGTCTATGGAAAAGCTACATTATATGATAAAAGAAGGTAGTATATTATTGTATATTCATTAATACACTATAACAGCTGCAGCATGCTCTAGAATCTATCCCAACAATTAAAGGAAGGAAAGGGAAAGGTGGAACAATACTTTTTAAGAGGTAATTAGACATAGAAACTGGGTAATAGAGGTAATTAGAAATAGAAACTGGGTAATAAAGGTAATTAGAAATAGAAACTGGGTAATAGAGGTAATTAGAAAGAGAAACTGGGCATTTAAGTTAGTGAAAAGCAAATGATACAAATAAAAAGCTCTTAGGCTCCAGGGAGAAAGACAATAAAACAGGCAAAAAGGAAATAGTTGGAAATAAAATACAAATGTTGCTGATGATTAGAAAGAAGGGAGGGGAAGAGATGAAGAAGTTGGCTAATAAAGAGAAAGTCAAATCATTGGTTACTTTTGTAAAGGTACACAGCACTAACTAAACTCGACTTCTCTTAGACCCCGTCCTCATATTGCTGATGAAATAAGTTGTAGCAATAGTTAGCATCTCTTTACTAGATTTACAAAGAGCTGTGTACCACAGTCCTTTAAAGTATCTGTAGTAAACCTCTTTAAAAATATACATCTATATATAATCTTCACATCCTCTATAAGATCCTTGGGAAATGTGTGAATAGTGCTCGTTCGTAAGGCGTGGGTACGATAGGACATCGCCGGTGGCTCATGAGATTAAAAGTAATAAGCTGCTTTACGTTAAAAATAGAAACAATAAGAAGTGGAGCAGTCTGAGGCGCACAAGCAGTACGTCTGTGTGTGAGAAGCAGCCGCTGCTCTGTTGCTCTTCTTCATACATTGATAGAAACTTCAGGATTTCACAGCAAGACGTAAGTGACCTCTTCTTATAGATTCTGCGGGTTCATACAGCCTATAAAAAAAAAATATATATATAGTATTTCAAGATTGTTTCGAATAACCTCTTATATTTTGGTTTCTATAATGACATATTGCTATTTACACATTTTTATGAAACACATTTTCTGTGTTTTACGAAGAACTATGAAGATGTTTGATGTGTATAATAATAAAAATCATAATTTTTCCTTATTATCATTCGTATCATAGTTTTGTTGTCATCGATGTTGTCTAAGTTAGGTTACGTTCATATCCTGGTGAAATTGTGGACATTGCCCTTTCCACTAAATCTCAGAAATCCCTTTCTACCAATACACAAGATATCTGTACCCCAAAACAATGTGGAAAATATGGGTTGAAGTTTGTGTTGAAATGTTGAACACATGCGTTTTCTCTTGTTTTGCAGTGAATGTGAGACGGTGGTGCCTCAGGAATGAGTAAAAGGGGGAGGAGGAGGAGCAGCAGGTGGAGGAAGAGGTCCAGCAGCAGTAAACGTGAGTTGGAGCTTTGGGCCGAGGGTGCAACAAGGTCAATCGTGTGCTTAGCTGAGTCACATTTTTCCAACACCTGCGCGGTTCGCCAATATCTTGACTTCTTCGGACGAGGTTTAAGGTTTCCGTCAGGCTTCATGAAGTAGACAACGTGTAAGGAACACTATTGCCGACCTTCGTACTCAGTAAAAACCACGTGGGTCGTCATGAAAAGACTCACATTCACACTATTTCAGCCAACTGACACTTTAGCTGTTTTAAAATCTACATATAAGAGCGGGAAACATTTCAACATAACCTCCTACAAGGTTCCCTTCGTTGGGAATAAAATAACCAGAGTGGTGTTAGGGAATTACGCAAGTCACAGAACTTCTGATTTCACACATACAAAAGCAATTAAGATGATCTACCGATTGTGAAGCATTCCCCCTAACAAGCATCAGTTCTTTGTAGGCACATGCGATTGTTTAGGGGGGTCTGTTAAGGATGAATGAAATATGTATATGTAGTTTTTCTTGCAGGCATCATCTAGTGAAAATAAGAATCAAGGAGTCTTAGTTTAGAGCAGTGGTTCTCAGCTGGTCTGGCTCCGGGACCCACCATCACCCCTTAACGACAAGCCGTGACCCAAATCCAGGAACATTCTCAACTTCTCAAATTTATTTAATGAAAATATGGTGCAGTCTGAACCTGAGATAGTGTGGAGACAGAATACGTATGCCAACACAAAAACAAGTTTAATGAAAAAACAAAACAGCCAGCTGTTAATTCTAATTTTTATTTTCCCAGGCAAAGGCCCATTAAAAACGGGTCCAACCCACCAGTTGAGAATCACTGGCTTAGAATGAGCCGTTCGTACCTACATATGGAAGGGGTCCTTTTCACAGAGCCGGTGTTCATGTTTCTATGTTGCATTTACAGCAATACTGATATCTGGCCTATACTGACACAAATAGCTGTATTGTGACGGTGCTGATCTATTCAATATAATTCCAAATTCTTGTTACAGATGAAAGGATTTGAAAAAAAATCTGACCTGAGAAGAAGTCACACTGTGTGTTGTACTTCGAGCTTCTCTGTTCTTTGTGAACATAGCGGGTCTGTAAGCGCACGTGAGCGTGTTTTATTTTGATACAATCCAATATGTGTATTCGATTGTGTTTAGTTTTTACTTGTATATGTAAAAATCTGTGACCTGTCAAAGCTATTTAAATATCCTACTACATTGTAGACATTCTCTTACCTCATTTTGTGTGTATTTTTTACTTTCAGAGGGCGTCTCAGCTTGTGGCGTTCAAAAGCAGAACAAAACTAACACTGTGAGCTGCAGAAAGGACAATGTTGAAATGGGTGAGACAGACTTACTTCGAAAGGAAAATGTCCTGTCAGGATCGGAAGATGAGGAAAAATACGACAGTGCTTCACCCAAGGACAAAAGAGCCAAACGGGATCATCACGGGAATTCATTTTCAAAACAAAGGAGTATTTATACCAAAACGACAGAGGAAAAAGAGAAAGGAGTGAGGACATTGTCTGTCAACGACGCGGAGGATTTCCTCCCAAATATCATTGTCCAGCAGTCACGTGTGCCCTCATGTGAGGATGCAACCCACTCACCAGCACTAGTTACTAACATCATGAACATCGCAATGAAATGCAACAGGTCACATGGTAAATATGAAATTCAAGAAAGTTTTCAATTGAATACTTCTGGCAACAAGACCTCGTATGTTTTAATAAACGAAAAAGGGGACTGTGCTGATGTGTTTTTTAAGAGTAAATGTGAGCCATTGTTACCAAAAAATACGTCATGTGAGCAGTCATCCCAACATGTGACTAATCACAATGGCGATCAAAGCTCAAATTACAGGTTTACCTTTGGCGACGTGAGTGAACACACAGAGTCTCATCGTGATTCCAAATATGTCCGTCCATCAAGCGCATGGGACAACACACAGTATTCACAATGCTGCAGGGATCACAAACAAACACCAACAGACTCAATGTGGACAAATCATCCATCTAGACCAAGACCACCGTCAAATATCACATCTCAAGGGGAGAGGAAGAACTTTGACAAAAGCATCAGAAGTGGTCAGTTTGCAGACCTTAGAAATAATACTTTAGAGGAATTAACCCACTGCCTGGATTCCTGTAAAATTGCTGCTCAAAGTCCTGCAGATAAAAAGCAAATGGAATTTCACGCTAACATTACTAATAATGAAGAATCTCAATGGCAATTTTCTTTAGAAGCAGGAGAAACAGCACAACTGGCACCTTGTTTCCAGCGATTATCAGAATCAGCCAGCTCTGAGCCAATGCTCATGAGACCCTTCTTGTCTAGGTCCAACTTAAGAGATTTCATCAACTGTCAAAAGGAAAAATCCTGGATTAGAAACAACGGTATTGTCACTGAGGAGCACAGAGCTCGTTTGTCTCCAAACACGAGACACCAAACATATCCTGGGATGTCAGAGGGTCCAGGATCGATGCAGGAAGATCCTCTGTCCCGCTGTACTAAATCCTTTCCCTCTCTAGTCACGCGCTCACAGTTTCTGCAAACTGAAAGGCTGGGAAGGATCCCCCTGGACACAGACGAGTTCTCTGCATTCGGAATAGAAAATTATAATTTTCCACAAACAAAGGCACAATCCAGACGTGCCTCAGAAGTCCTAAACAGTGGCGATGGAAAGCAATTCATCCTTAGTCCATTCTGTATGACCAGCTCTGAAGATACACCTGAGTTCATGGTGAATGACCGGTGTCGAAGGCCAATCAGTTACCCCCCTCAAGAGCTCAGACAACAGGATGCAGGCATAGAACAGAGCTTACCAATGGATGTGGGAAGTCAGGACTATATTGACCAAAGTGAGGTGACAGACAGTGATTTTGGTAAAGATATGGAGGAAGTTGAATTTCACAGCCCAGAGCTCCTCACAGGGAAGTTGAGTCAAAGAGCCCTTACCATAGAAGTCACCCCTCCATCCTGCAGAGGATCTGTGGAACAAATATTAAAGAGGCATCCTGCAACATCACTCCTCAAGGACGAGGTTGAAAGTGAAAGCCAAAAGGATCTAGTGTCAGTTTCCCCCAAACATAGTAAGTCCTCAGTCACAGTACATGTTAATGCACTCAAGCAAACATCCCTGCCAATGCACTCAAGATCATCACCGGGTAGTTTCATGGAAACACCAGGTACAACTGACCTGGGAGTCCCTTGCATGTTCCCTTTGCAGGAGGGGAAATTCTTTTCGATAACCACAATGGCGGTTGCAGAGATTGAATCCAAACCATTTGGTGAAAAAACAGGAAATATCAGCCATTCTTTACCACTAATGACTGAGCCAAGCAATGATGAGCAATTAAATGCAGCAAGAAGGACAATACACGATTCTGACCAACCTGCAGTCACTGCATCATGTCCTGCCAACTGTTCTAGTGATGCAAAAATCAATGTGACAAAGCAGCTCAGTAAAACAACCGGGGCAGATGAACACATAGTATCCGGATGTGAGTACACCAAAGTTTGTCAGATGATTTGGTTATTTGAAATAATAACTAAACAACTCATTTTAGGTCATTTTGTAAATAAAACTGACCTATTGTGTCTTTTTTATCACCATTTCCAGCCTCCTTAGAGGCCAAGGAGCATCAGAAACCCATGGTTCATAGAGACCCAGACAGCAGTGGCTCCGACCACTGGGTCAGGAGGCGAAAACTCTTCAAGGAGAGCAAGGAACGGAGCTCTGCTGGAGGAAGCTCAATGACCAGTGATATCACACAGGAATCAGGTAACTCTCGGGTTGAGTTTGGGTCAATAGGTGTTGTATCCAAATAATCATGGCTGTACAAGAGCTGAAATTTAGTGAAGAGACACAGCAGTCAGTGGTGATCAAACTTCATCAAAGTATGATACTTTTACCACCAGATTTGTACAAGTCAGGAATCAGGAACATTTATTACCAAAATATGTTAGACATACAAGGAATTTGACTTGGCGATTGGTGAATAACATCAGACAGTAAGACAATGGACAAAAAGACAGATAAGACGACATAGAGCATGAACAACATAGTGCAAGAGGAATTTGATTTGAGGTCTGGCCTGGGTGATGATGAGCCCAGAAAACAGAAGGAATCCACAGCGGTGACGGGGGAATCACACAGTATGATGGGGGAAGATGGGACTGAATTCTTCCTGAAATCCACAACCATCTCCACTGTCTTCAGAGCGTTGAGCTCCATGTTGTTATGATTGCACCATATGGTCAATCTTCAACCTGTAGGCGGACTCGTCCCCACCAGACACCAGACTCCCCACCAGAGATCAGTCCAATGAGGGTGGTGTCGTCCGCAAACTTCAGGAGCTTGACGGACTGGTGACTGGAGGTGCAGCTGTTGGTGTACAGGGAGAAGAGCAGAGGGGAAAGAACGCAGCCTTGGGGGGAACCGGTGCTGATGGTCCGAGAGGCTGAGACATGTTTCCCCAGCTTCATGTGCTGCTTCCTATCGGACAGGAAGTCAGTGATCCACCTGGTTTGAACCGGGTTTGTCGTTGTTATAACTCACCCTGGTGCATGATGGTACACCGCTGTCCTCACAGAAGTCGATGTAAGAAGTTGCAGCCTCTGTGAACTCATCCAGACTGTTAGTATCAGTCCTGAAAACATCCCAGTCTGTGCAGTGCAAGCAGATCGATCAACCGAAGATCCTCCAGCGCCTCACTGGTCCACTTCTTGAATTCCCTCACCACAGGTTTGCAGAGCTTTAGTTTCTGCCTGTATGCAGGAATCAAGTGGACCATGACGTGGTCAGAGTGTCCCAGTGCAGCACGAGGGACGGCGTGATAAGTCCTGCTTACTGTCGTGTAACAGTGATCCAGCGTGTTCTCCTCCCTGGCTGGGCATTTAATAAACTATTTGTACTTCGGACGTTAATGGCTAAGATTTTCTTTGTTAAAGTCCCCAAGGACAGTAACTAAGGAGTCAGGGCTATTCAACTAAAATGTGATGAGGTCCAGTTAGAGAAAATGTATAGAAGCAAAGGTCCGGGAGATCATAATGTGACTACTTAGTGTGAATAAATAGAGGAATAGATTATTAAACTGTTCAATTTTTAAAATGTGTGCATGTTTTATTTATAATTTGCTGAGACTGTCAAGTCCAAATGTGAATTTTCACATTTTATTTTTTTTATCCACTCTCCCATGTTTTTGGTTAGTGGGAGATTTAAGATCTAGTTTGTCCTGCCAGGATTTTAAACCTGGGCCTGAACACACTTTTCTCTTTTTGGATAGCGCCATTTGTTCCTCAAGTTTCGCTATCTTTCTCCCTATCGTCTTTTTAGTTGTAATTTGACGCTACCTGTCTCGTCTGCAGTATTGAGACGATATCATCCTGCCTGCAATGCAAAGACTCGATGTCAGGGATGTTGCGTGGGGAAAAAGGCAGGACTCAAACGCAGAGTTTGCGGGAAACAAAAAGGACTTTAATAGTTAAAACGGGCAAAAACACACACAGGGGGCAAAAAGGCAGGCAGGAACGAGGAACATCCAGGACGATAGACAATGACGCGACAAGTGACACAAGAGACACACGGCTTAAATACACTAGGGAGGTGCAGGTGATTGGACACAGGTGGAAACAATCAGATGATCACAGGGGATGACAGGACAAGGCAGGAAGTGAAGTTACTCTGGGACACAAGTGGCAGAAAACTGCCGTCGGCAGCTCGGGGACACGGAACACCTCCGCAGTCGTCGGCGGCTCGGGGACACGGAACACCTCCGCAGTCGGTGGCGGCTCGGGGACACGGAACACCTCGGGAGTCGTCGCCGGCTCGGGGACACCGAACACCTCGGGAGTCGTTGCCAGCTCGGGGATGCAGGAAGCCGGATTTGCCAGCCACTGTCGCAACCCCTGCCAGGACCCCCCCCTCAAGGGCCCTCAACTCACCAACGGGAGGGTGGGAGAGGACCACGGGATGGGAGGGAACCTGAGTCGGGGAGCGGGGACTGGAGGCGTTGGAGTCATGAGTCTCGGGGCCGGGACTGGAGGGGTCGGGGTCTGGAGTCTCGGGGCCGGCACCGGCGGTGTCGGGGTCATGAGTCTCGGAGCGGGGACTGGAGGCGTCGGGGTCATGAGTCTCGGAGCCGGTACTGGCCGAGTCGGGGTCGGGGCCGAGAGTCTCGGGACCGGTACTGGCCGAGTCGGGGTCGGGGCTGAGAGTCTCGGGGCCGGTGCTGGCCGAGTCGGGGTCGGGGCTGAGAGTCTCGGGGCCGGTGCTGGTGGAGTCGGGGTCGGGGCTGGTACTGGCCGAGTCGGGGTCGGGGCTGGTACTGGCCGAGTCGGGGTCGGGGCTGGTACTGGCCGAGTCGGGATCGGGGATGGTACTGGCCGAGTCGGGGTCGGGGCTGAGAGTCTCGGGGTCGGAGCTGCGAGTCGGGGAACGGGAGATCGCTGTGGCGGCCCAGCGGGAAGGGAGTAGGTGGCCTGGAGCCGGACCGCAAGGTCCATCACACGCTCCCAGTGACTATCCCAGTGAGAACCACACCGTGACACTCGATTGGTCGAGTAGTATCACGTGGGATGGTTTAACTTGAATGCAATTGGTCTGTTTCTTTAAGGCGCTACCGTAAAGACGACCAAAGCTGCGCCAGCCGAAAGTGCGCTGTCACTTTTAAATCATAACCGTCTTTTTTTTAGCTGTTGGTCCGGGTCCGATCCGCGGTCCGCCAGTTAGTGACTTCTGCTCTAAATCATGTTCAATAAAATATGGAAAGATCTTCAGTAATATATTTAATCACTATAAAAGAAAAAAATGATGGTGTGGATGAATACATTTAAAAATAACTTACAATAAGATCTAGTGAGTATTAGTTAAAAGGTTCTAAACAGTCAAGAATGGGTGTTATTTTAGACAGCATTAGGTTTTTCCTGACTGTGGGCTGAAACACAGATGCGGGAGTACTGAGCCAGATGGTGACGCATGTGTACAACAGTCTAAATGACTATTGTCAAATTCTGTAAACGTATCATTTCAACCACTGACACCTTCTACAGAGTACACTGTACTGAACCATGCAATGTTTTGTACTCCCTTTTTTAATTTTTTCTAGTCTCAGAGGGTTCTCATTCTATGGAAATGGCAATTCAAGACGATAAAGACAGGGGCTTTTACACCGAGACTTTCCATTCTTCACCATGGATTTACCAAGGAGATGATGCAGACTCAGTTTCTATTCCACCCAACCCCAAAACCAAAACTCGAGCAGTCTCAAGTAAGTTTGTGATTATGGTAAAAAGAAAAAAATTCAAACACAATGCAGAGGCTGTACTGTATACTGAACCAAGCAAATGACTACATAAATATCCTCCTGCTCTGACCTTTCTCCTCCTGTTCAGTACGGGAGAGGACTGTCAAGATCAGCAGAGGGGAAGGAGAGTATCCTTGGGGCTTTCGAATACAGTTTTGTAAACCCATTGTGGTTACAGAGGTTGACACAAGTAAGTGAATTCCTCGCCTACAGTGCAATCTCATCCATGTAGGTGACCGAGACGATTGCTTTTAACATTTAACAAACAGATGAAATGAGTGTGGACTTTACAGAGTCAGAGACAGGACAGTTTAAATGCCAAAATACGTTGCATGATAATAAAGAAACAATATGCAATAATCAAGACATCATTTTTCAAAGTGCAAATAAACTATCGTAGACAAACAAAAAGATAACATTGTGTTAAAAAATATGTCATAAAAGTAGTATATTTTAATGTAGAAAAGGATGTGCAAGAGTGTGGATCAGTTGGAACGTTTTTGTTGCGTTACGACTTAACGTCTAAGAGTTCTGGTCCAGGGTGAGAACAGTCGGCTGCAATCTGTCTTGCCCGCTTCAGGGTCCTGGAAGCAAATATGTCATGGAGAGATGGCTGATTGCAGCCAATCACTGTCTCGCTGCAGTCTGTCCTTGGCTTGTCCTCGGCTGTGGCTGCGGCGTACCGGGCGGTGATGGTGGAGCAGAGGATGGACTCAATGATGGCCATGCATTGTCTTTGGCAGGTTGAACTTCTTCAGCTGCCTCAGGAAGTGCATCCTCTGCTGAACCTTCTTGGTGATGAAGCTGATATTCTTTGTCACGATCCACTGCAAACAGTGCAGAGTCCAGTATCGATCAAGTTTGTTGGACAGTGAGCGCGCATTGAGTAAAAGTGAGCGCACTGTTGTGTAGTAAGCAAGAATGTAAAAGAAAAGTTTAAACTAGGTCTGCTGGAGTTGTTCTCGTGATACAATTTCAACAAAAACAGTACAAAACAATGTGCACCAACACACCAAGGCAGCCATCTAGATTTAGCCTACAAACAGAATCCTGATGATAAGTTAACCAATGGGAGGCAGTCACATGACCTGGATAATAACATGGCAGTTACTTAAACGCATCAAAAAGCTTCTCTCTGGTTAACTTAATGTGTTCATTTTATGGCTACTATTTACTCTTTTAAAGGGTTGTGCTTTCAATTGAGTACGATGTAAGTTATTATGTTATTTGAAATTAATACCGTTAACCAAATTAATGCAATTTCGATGGCTTGTACGCCGTTGCACCTACACGCAACACACAGTGGCCCCAGTTTGTCTTTGTGTTTTCTCTGCATTGTTCTGTCGTTTTAGATGGGGCTGCTGAGGAAGCAGGGTTGATGGTAGGAGACCTGGTCCTAACTGTCAATGGAACTGATGTAACCAGCAATTCCCACTCAGAAGCTACGGATTTGGCCAGGCAAGGTATGCTGTTACCAGGCCTGATAATGGGGTGCGAGAAAATACTTGATCAAAGAAACAAGTTTTGAGTAAGGTATAAACCTGTAACAGTTTACCTGGTCAACTAACCCTGAAGGAGAAAAGTAAATACGCTCAATTCAATTGAACGGCTGAGTTGATATCTGAAGGCAACGGATCATTAGTGATTATAATCACATATAATATATTAAATCATATATGAAAGACAGAGGTTAGTTGCATATGACAACATATTGTTGCAAATCAAATTCAAACCGGCGTATGTTCCCCTTCACAACTGCTGTTCTCAATGGCAGACCCAGGCCATCATTGCAAACTTACATTTCAACACATTTTGAATGTTGGGTCTAGAGGTTAGGTGAATGTAGCGGCGTATTTGACTATTTAGTCAGAACACTCAGGAGTGTGTTATTTAAAAGAAAAACATTTCTATTTTTTAGGTCCAGATGTTCTAACGCTGACTATTGGGTCAGACATTGCTCGTGGTCCAAACACCCCCAGACCAGCATGTCGCGGTTATCTTCACAAGCAAACGCATTCTGGTCTGTTTAAAGGCTGGAGGAGGAGGTGGTTTGTGCTCACACATGACTGCTGCCTTTTCTACTACAGACATAAACGGGTGAGCAGGAAGGAGTCATCATCGCATACCCTCGTTTCCCAAAACAATAGTGATACCAGAAGTGTCTGTTTAACATTACCTTATGATCATTACAGGATGAATGCAAAAAGCGGGCTTTGTTTGCAGTAAAGCTGGAAGGGGCTGAAGTGGGACCAGATATTTCCCTGGGAAAACCCTTTGTGTTCAAGTGCCGCCCTCAATCCAGTAACCGGGTTTACTTCCTCTGTGCCACTTCCAGCCAGGAGAGGAAACGGTACTGTAGACTTGGAACTTTCTAAACCAACTACTTTTTAACAATAACATGTTTTCATGTCTGTTTTTATCTGTATTTTATATTTTCAAAAAAGCTCAATGGGAATGTTACAAATCCTTATGAAGTTGTGTCTTGGTGATTTCAGGTGGCTTGAGGCTATGGAGAAAGCTATTCATCCCATCACACAGGTAACAATTGGACAATGGTGGGCAGTAGCTGCATCTACTACATGGTATCAATATACAAAAGTGCACTATGCTATCATTGCAAAGCAGCTGGATCTTGACATGGTCGTCCGGTGCATAGTTGTCATTCTCATTACATTATGACAGTATTTTATAAATCAAATGCTCTGCTTCTCCAGACTTGAATGGATTCAAAGAAGTGTATCGGGCAGTATTTGACAATAGCTTCTTAACTAATACATTTAGCCGCCGTGCTAACACTAATCTCCTCAATTACCTCTCATGTTTCAGAACCACGTGTGGGTGGATGTCACCAGACACAACTCTAATCTGCCCCCGCTGGCTGTGAAAACCCCTGAGTGTCTTGGACTGCTTCATAAAATGGACAAAAACAAGGAAGTGTGGGTTCAGCACTACTGCGTTCTGAAGGATGGTTGCCTCTACTTCTACAGTGGGATCCGTGCAACTCATGCACATGGTATGATATGTGTAGTCTGTCAATTGTTTCAAAATAGCTAAGAAAAGTGAGTCTAACATGGTTCAAGGTGCATTCAAATTTTAACATTTTTAATTGTAACATTAATAATGACCACCCATCCTTGCCAGAAATGTTAGCCATAGCCTACTAAATATTGGGATAACTCTAAAGTGGAGAATGGAGGTCTGATGGATGTCTACTTGTGAAGATTTCTTTTGAGGGTTTTTTATCTCACCCAAAACTTATTCCTTCCCCCTACCTTCCTATCTATTTGACTTAGAAACCATAACCAAAGTGATATTTAGTTGTGATGGCCTTAATTATGAATGGTAACAATCATCAGGCTGTATGAATAGCCAAATTACAATTTTGGGGATCTGGACCCTCTTGCCACATTGCATTGTTTACGAGTTATTTTATGTTAATGTCATTAGGTGAGTGGTATATTATCTTCTGCATTTAACAAATAATATACACCCTCAACCCAACATTCAATACCTATCCCCTGATTGTTAACTAGAACACAGCAAAAATGTCCACCATAAGCCAACAGAGGGCAGCAGTGTATAATGGGACACCTGAAGAACAGGACTCTCTTATGGCGCGTTTCCACCGAGCGGTACGGTACGGGTCGGGTCGGGTCGGTACGGGTCGGGTCTGTTAACCATGATTTGGCGAGCGTTTCCACCGCCAACAGTACCCTCACTTGATAAGCGTGGTGTATTCCAGAAAGTAGTGATGACGTCACTTGATAGGCGTGGTATATGACGGAAAGTAGATTGACGTCATTCGATCGCGCGAAAACTGAAAGCTAACCGCAAACAACAATGGAGGACATACTGTACAGCCGATCCTGTTCTTGCTTCTCGATATGTGGCTGTTTGTCACAAGGAGACGACAATCTTTGTTTGTTTGCAAAGGCTACATGCTGCAATGAAAAACACAGCGTAAAAATACGTGTATTGTCTTTCCCCTTGCGGCACGCGCAAATGATGACCAATCAACGCTCTGCAGTGAGTCTAGCTCCCCCCTAAAGTACCAAACAACTGTGCCAGGTACCCCAACGGAAGGGTACCCAAAAAGTGGTACGGTACGGTTCGGATTTTTGGTACTATTCTCAACTTTTGGCAGTGGAGACACAAATAAAAGGGTACCGACCCGTACCGTACCGCTCGGTGTAAACGCGCCATTAGAGCCACGGTCAAGAGTTGACACTTTAGAAAATGGGCTCAAAGAGGCGGTAGATACCCACACTCGATCGGGAAGAGGCAATCAAAGCTGCAACCAGGGTGATGGCTGAGGAGGCTGCAGGGTTCATCAGGCCGCCAGGGCTTCCATCCCAGCTATTGGGGCCTTGTTTTGAAAGCGTGATGACAAGAAGTAAGGAGGGCCCTTGATAAACATAATTTCTCTTGTCGACTAGGTAGTTTTTTCACTCCCACAGGGAAGGAGTGTGTGACTGAGGAAGATACCACTTTGACAGCTCCACCTGCAGCTCCAGCCAAGCTACCAATTGGGATACATTTTTTCACAGTTTGGTCAATCCAGGAGTTCAATCCATGTGTCAGATTTTGTTGATCATTGCGAGAATGTTCTCAAAAGCCTGTTAGCCTTTCTGACTATCTGTCCAAGATTGCGCACAACTGTATAACCACCCACCCAAATTTCCATATCCGCCTGAAATGGAGACCTTATATGTCGGAGGACGCGATGGTGCGGCATATGCTCAGGCCATGTAACCCGAGGTTGGCTAATGGGCGTTGTCACCACTGTTGACCGGGTGGTTATGGTGGCCCCCCTATAGAGAAAGACTGGAGCAACTCCAAAGAATACTGGAATCAAGCACATCAGATTGTTCTTGTTTGAAACGATTAGATTGTCAGGTGAATCCTTACATTAAATCGTTGGTATATAGTCAACTGTTTAGTGTCTGATCTGTTATGGTTTTCAGGGCAATGAATTTGCATGCTATATGTCAACAAGCAATATGGGAGCATAACAACAATAACTACAATAACCACTGATACTTGGATGGTACATGTACCAGATTTCTCTATAGTAGAGACCTCTACTTCTTCTGTCCTACTGTCACCATCCCAGTGGTACCTCTCAACTATGGCCTGCAACAATTTCTCGTTCTAATAATCTTGTTTCTTTTTTCTTGGGTCTATTGAGCTTCTATATCACCCTGACGCATGGCAGAGAAAATTTAATGACATTTTGATGTTTACGGATTAGTTTATTTTCAATTGACACTTTTCCTGCACTTTATGGAGTTTTGTGTCATGAGATTATAGTTTCATCTTTTTCAGATATCCTTTTCCTGACTTACTTTTATTTGTCTGACCACAATTTTTTCAGACACTGTTAAAGGCAATGTTACACTCTGTCTTCAGGTGGGATCTACCTTCAGGGATACATGGTGCGAGAGCATTCCTATGGATCCAAGAAATCCACCATTGAGCTGAGACCTCCAACTGATGAGTTGAATGTTTTCCACCTCTGTGCTGAAAATCCTCATGAGAATAAAAGGTGAGGAGCTGACTTTGAGTTAATTCAGGGGCTTTTGCAGTTTAGGACCAAATCTCTGTGTTTTGGAGTTCAGTTTCACACATTCCTTTTTGGATTTCTTACTTGAAATCGAACATTTACTTCTTACAGACACATTTGGGGTATCATCTAATGCCAAATATGGACTCTTTTTGCGCTCTGCGTTAAGTTGCTATATCAGAGCTAACTATTATCTCACACTACTGGTCTTCTCCACTACACCAACCACGTTAAGAACTACAGTATCTAATTAAAAGTATAGGGAACCATTGGCTGACTTTTATTGTAATGGAGAGACAGCAGATGCAATGTCTCTGAATGTAGCTATCTTTTAAAACAACAAGATGTGCACGAGGTGCCATGTGGTAAGCGGGTCTGTATAATTATTTAAGGGATGGAGCAACAATAGAAGGAGCCACAGTGAGCTGTTAGATATGCTCAGGTGACTCCCTGCTATTACTGAGGCCTTGTGCAAACCTGCATCAATTTCTGAGAAGCACAATGCCACCCGAATCACAATGAGAACATTTGCAATCAACCTAAAGGGATAATAATTAACATGTTGCCGTGGGTTATATCAACTTGAGTATTGAGCCTTTCTTTATAATCCCCAGACCTACTTAAGTTATATGTTATATGAGTTATATTAGGGTCCTGGAGTGGGAAATGGTGTTGATGCTTCTGGTTCTCTTCACAGATGGATCATAGCTATCAACGCTTCAATAATGAGGTGGCAACCTTCGCGTTCAGCATTCCGGGGGTTCATGAATCGGCCATCAGAAGAGACCAGAATGTGAGTGAGATGCACCCTGTGGATTGCTGGACGCTGGATGCTCTTCCTGTTTGTAGCTGGCAGCACTTTGCTCCCTCTGCTGCTTACTCTTTACGGAACACAAATTTACTTGGGGTCCTGAGAGAATTAGGCCACAGTTTTAGTAGCCATACAGCTCAAGTGCAAAAGGGAGGGACGAAAACCGAATATTAAAAATAGTACTTAATTTAAGCTCACATCTGAATTCACAGACGGAATATGTTAATTTGCAAATGTATCTAGGACCGTGGATCTGGGAAATTTAATATTGTTGCTTCTTTTCCATAGTTTTTCTTAGAGAAATGATCCTAAATGCCTACCTTCTCACTCGGCAATGCTCCTAAATGCTTAAGATAGGTTGAATGCAGAGGTCATATTTTTGGTACGTAACTACGGTATGTGTATGACGATTTAAAAAGAATTGAAATTGAACGCAATAAATGGTCATTGGAATGTATTAAGATCTTTTGGGTCACTAACTTGCTTTTATACAGATCCTGTGTTAATGTTTTTTGTTTTTTATTGCTCCATTGCAAATGAATATGAATGTGAATATTTATGTTTTGATACTGCTGTTAAGTCACTTTATGACAGCTAGTAGTAATGCAATGTGTTTGCCAAATAAATTCTATAATCAAATCGTTTTGAGTCTTTGTCTGCTACTTAATCTGAAAAATTGTTATTGAGTGTTCAGCAAATGCTAAAATGTAAGGGTTGATTCACTCAAATCCCAAATTGATTAGCAAGTGAACAATATCCAGTCAGAATCTTTGTTGTTAGCCCATTGAACTGCTAATTTACATTTAATGGGGACATGCTTTTTTAGTGCTTCTACACGTTAATTTGGTATCTGACACGTCTACCGACCCAAGAAAATAACTCCCGCGATTTGTTTGGTTCTTGTACGTCAGAAACGTCACGCTTGAGTGACTGCGAATGAGCTTCCTTATCATTCTGTCGTCACTATGAAATGGGAGTTTCTACGTGGCCTCGCCCCCCCATCTCATCCCCTCATATCCCCCCCGCACCCCTACACTCACTACAGATACGATATTTGCCAAAGCACGTCACCTCGGATACACTTGGAATAGCTAGCTAGCTGAGGGGGGGGCTGGCTCATTAGCGTTACTACTGTGGAGGGCTGTTTTAGACGGTAAAAAAACAATCCTAGTGGTATTTTGACCAAAGTATGTTACAGACGTTTCAATAGGACCCCAAGGAACCATATGAACTTGTGGTAAAATGGGCATACGATGGATCCTTTAATGTTACAATCTGTAGCATTTAGGGGTTATATTAGCAGAACTGAAAGTAAACTATATAAAGTGTATTATAATCACCAGGAAATAAAAAAGTTTTAAAAAATTATTTTCGTGTTTAGCTTATACACGTGTTTTGGCATCTGCCAATCCAAGCAGAGCGGAGTGAGTGTCAGGGACGTGAGGTTTGACCATGTTCTGGATGTAGGCTGGACCCGATCTGTTTACCAATGTTCTGAAACAGATCCTTGCAGCCACTGCAAACCAGTGAAGTAATGTGGAGTAATGTGGGTGAATTCAGGTTAAAGACCAGTGGAGCTGCTGCATTTTGGATGAGCTGCCGAGGTTGGATGGCGCTGGCAGGTAGACCTGCTAGGAGGGAGTTACAGTAGTCAAGGCGTGAGATGATCACAGCATGTACGTCGACTGTTGAGTGTCACACCGCGATTCAAGGATGGGGTTAGGGCAGAGTTGTCAAAGGTTACAGTCAGGTCGTTAGTGGGAGAGTCTTTCCCTGGAAGGAAAAGAAGTTCAGTCTCGTCAAGGTTAATCTTCAGGTGGTCTGCTGCCATTCACTGAGATATGCCCTCTAACATGAGATATGAGATATGTCAACAGACATGTCTGCTGCTGCCTGTGTCGCAAATTGGGGAAAAGACAGATTAGTTGGGTGTCGTTAGCATAGCTATGGTAGGAGAAGCCATGTTATTGATGAGCTGAGATAGTTGGTGTACAGTGAGAAGAGGAGAGAACCCAATAGGGACTCTTGGGGGACCCTAGTGGTAAGAGGACATGGTTCAGACACAGATCGTGTCCAAGTTAAGAGTGGCGCATCTTTACACACCGTTGTGTCGACGCACTCGTTTCATGGTTCTGAAAGTCTTGCGTGTGTTGCAGAGCGATTCACCTCCAGAACAGCAGGTGGAGTAACGTGTTTTGTTGAAGACGACCTGGAGAGTCACGTCATTGTGTGTGGAAGTCGTTGGTTGGTTTATTTATTTATCATAGACTTTATTGCCCCGTGCATCCACACTGCTGCTTTTCATCAAGGACACATTTGTCCCGTATTTTCCTCCACAACTTTGTTCCCCTCGACCGGCTAACCGACGTTTGCGGAGATCTCCCTCCGTGAATCAGAGGCCATCCGTGCGTCCTTATGGTCCGTCAATGACGGCTTGTAAATGTGGTCATATTTACGCATTTCTTCCCACAAATGCTCTCGATTAGATTAGAAAATTAAGTTGAGACAGTGTTGTAGTTCCCTCTCTCGGTTTGTGTCTCTGTTCAAGTAAACGAGGATTTAGCCAGAAGTATTATGTTGTGTTCCGTTGTAGAGTCTTATTGCTCTCGGCAGGAATGTTTTCCTGTATCTGCCCTTGTGACAGCGGAGCTGGATCAGCATGTTGGAGAAAGTGCTCTGCAGTAGCAGTAGTAGATGAAGAGGGTTGTCCGAGTTGTCCAATATGGACAACAGTTTTTTTCACTGTCCTCCTTTCCACCACCTGTTCAGGATGCTCTTGTTGACAGACAATGAAGGAGCTGGCCTTCTTCACCAGCGTCTTAAGTCTATTGGTGTTACCAGCTCCAATGCTGTTCCACCAGCAGACAATGGCAAGGTACAGAGCACTGGCCACAACAGACTGGTAGAACATCTCCAACATCTTGCTGCATGCATTAAAGGATCCAAGTTTCCTAAAGAAAAAGAGTCAACTCATCGCCTTCTTGTACACAGCGTTGATCTTGGCATTTCGGTTAAGTCTGTTGTCGATGGAGACACCCAGGTACTTGTATTCCACCACTATGTCCAGTTCCTCACCCAGAACTCTCAATGGTTGTGTTGACCGGCAAAACGACGTTTGCGGTAATCTCCCTCCATGAATCGGAGGCCACCAGTGCGTCCTTATGGTCCGTCAATGACGGCTTGTAGATGTCGTCATATTCTCTCGTAAAAAATCTTTGTTTTATTAATGGCGGTATTGTGCTATGAAAGCAGAAATGTGAGACTTGGAAAGGATATAGTTAGCAGACCAATCGCAGCCTTGCGGGCTGCAGGAGGCTTGCGCAGCTTTATCAAATATATTTCTTGGGGGTCTCACAATATCTTTATGTTTTGGGCTGGATTTACAGTCTTGTGTCTATAGAAACTTGTTTGAGGTGTGGGTTCTGGGTAAATCTGTTATCCTCGCCATCCTCTCCTCAGCTCGGTAACGATCGCAGCTGCACCGTCACCACGGCAACCGCACAGACATGGACCACTCAGTCTCTCACACAGGTGATTGGTATTAGCTGAATAGTGAAGTCACATGATGGAGCTATTGAGCCCATCATCACTCATTCTCACTCTATTTGTATCTTTCTCTCTCTCTTATTCCGTTTTTCTTTGTCATTCACTTCCAGTCTTCGGCTCTCTCTCTCTCATTCTTACTCACTCATTAACTCTCTCTCTCTGTCCATCTCTCTCTCCCTCTCTCTTTTATTCTTACTCACTCATTAACTCGCCCCCTTGGAGGAAATTTTTTACTTACCCTGTATTTTTCCATTGCACATTTTTCAATGTGCTTTTATTCATAAACCAACTTTTTTCCAAATATCCAGCATTTCCTCTCCGTTTTTATTGAGCCTTAAGTACAAATGCACAAATAAGGTGGGCTCAAAGTAACACATACTGCACCCATTCTACTCAGATTAGTTGATTTTCTATATTAGAACAATTTGAAGCATGGCAGTGTCACATACACATTTGAGGTTTGATACATATACACATGTTCAGGAAATTAATAAAAATTTTAATGTTTTACAAAAAAATTGAAAGAAATCAAAATTTCCCTACAAAGCAACGCAACAACATGTGTAAAACCTGAAGGAAGTGTTCAGATGGCTTACTTGTCTTCAATATGACTATAAACTGTGAATGCCTAATTCTTGCCGTAATGTTGAAGTTTCAACAGTGTGATGAAGACATCCATCAGTGCAATCAGGTGCAAATAACACATTTTCTGCAATATGGCAAAACACATCCAATACCAGCTGTAAATGGAACATACACACTCGTTAAAAAGACACACTTCAAAATACTTTTGTGTACCCATGTACATAGAAAGCAACAAGGAAACGTTTGCGTATTCTGATGGCTAGTCATCTAAGGAGCTGGTAATTGAAAATTCCCTGGTATTACAAGTTCCAAATTACTTCAATATATTAAAATGAGGAAGTGATTAACTCAGCACAAGTATAGACGGAGGGTCAAACACAACGATTAAAAACTCTTTAAATGTACATGGGGCATGTGACTATTGTATTATATTTCTTTATGTTTTTTAAAGATGCCGATCTTCTGAGAAAAGAGATTTAAAAACACATTGATATTGACTTACAGTAATAAATCAATATGTGTTTACAGTTGTATGCACTGCCATACAATGAAAAGAAAATCTAAACTTCCACTAACAAAAGTCCTCATAAATGAACAATTAAATTATGATTGGACTAATTGAAATGTTGCATTTTCAGTTAGTAGAGAAGGGGATATGTGCTTTCATCAGCTGTAAGCTGATGTATCAGTGCATCTCTGACCAGTAAACAGCCACAACTCTATCAATAAATAGGTTCACCAGTTATTGCTAAGTTTATATAATTTACATGTTTTAACCTCAACAACCTCATTACAATGTGAGGAGTGTCCCAACTGTATGTGTCCAAGGTGATACCCCCAGTTAATCATGTAACAAGATTTCAGACTGTCTTGTTAAAGACCAAGCTTGAAATGACGCCGGAAAAGGGCGTTCAACTGTGCTTTCATGTCTTGTTTCTGGTAAACATGCGCTCCCCTCGCAGGGTGAGGTGCTGCAGTTGGTACTGTAACACCTCAGTGTCTGATGATTCTTTGATAGTTATTTTGTCCAGATTAAGGTAGTCCAGAGACTTGGACTGGGCCCTCTTCCCTTTAAGCAGACAGAGGGGTAGTGGAGCATTCAGACCCTTTGCAGGCTCCCCGTGGGTCAGGGACCTCAGGAAGGTGTCACTCGAGCTGGGCATGCGCCTCCTTCTCCGGCCATTGGCAGCAGGAATGTCGTAGGGTTGGTAGTGGCGACTTTTACCTTTGCAGATGCGTGAAGATCGGTGGAGGCCCAAGTCCACCGACTTTGGCACGGCGCTCTCAACAGAGCTGGTCATGGCCTCTGGTACAGAACCCTTCTCTGGTGTTCCTTCTGACCACTTGTGGGCAAGCTTGAGTAGATCTTCACCAGTGGTGAAGCTGACCAGATAGTTTGAGTCCATGTGGAGGATCTGGTATCCTGAAACAGTACCTCTGATGGGTGAACATGGGGTGCTGGCACAGCGAGGTCTATCTGCTTCTGGTTTTAATGTCGCTTTGATTTCCGATGCAGGGATGATGGAGACATGTGCTCTTGACACTCCATTGATATCCATTTCCATCCTTACAGACATGCCCTGACTGGTGGAGAAAAAACATCACTTGAGTCAGTCAGGGAGCAAAAGAGCTGTTTCACAAAATACGATCACTCAGGGACGTTGTTCACTAAAGATCTTAAAGGCAATGAAGTAGAGTTCTATGAGGTACTTATTCATAATCAGTCTTTTACCTATTAGACAGGGAATAGTTCTGACATAAACGGCTGTTGACAGGTCCAGCAGAAAGTTACACTTTATCTTCTCAAAAGAAAAGAGTGGAGGCTATATTTAGAATAATTCCCCTGCTTTATTTTTGTACAGCGACAGTAAACTGAACTGAAAGTGAAACACATTATTACTACTAGATAAAGCCCTTAATCTTAAAGACAAAATTGGCTATTTCTGATTTTATTACTTTCACACCCTTTATTTGAACATTTGTATTTGAACATTGCTGTCATAGACATGTAACACACTTTTCATTCAAACGAATCAAACCTAACTCTCAGATTGAGATTGAAATGATTTATGGAGGATGACTGAACCTGGCCAACTCCCCAAGACAGGCGGCGAGACATGAAATGGCCACAGAGTGGCTTGGGGCAGTTTTGATGTAGAGCTGTGTGTCGTCAGCATAACAGTGGAAGGACATCCAGGTCTCCTGATGACATGACCGAGTGGGAGCATATAAATAATGTACTGAGAAGACAAACGGGAGGTGTGTATGTGAAAAGTAGCCCTATCCAATCCAATGGAATATGAATTGTTTAATTGTTTCAAACCTCCCCTTTATACATAGTTTACTCTGGTATTTCACAATATATATATACAGTGGGGAGATTGCATGACATAAGTATTTGATCTACCAACCAGTAAGAAATCTGGCTCTCACAGACCTGTTAGTTTGTCTTTAGGAAGCCCTCCTGTTCTAAACTCGTTACCTGTATAAAAGACACCTGTCCACACACTCAATCAGACAGACTCCAACATCTCCATAATGGCGGAGGCCAGAGAGCTGTGTAAGGGCATCAGGGATACAATTGTAGACCTGCACAAGGCATGGATGGGCTACAGGACAACAGACAAGCAGCTTGCTGAGAAGCAACAGAAACAACTGTTGGCGCAAGTATTAGAAAATGGAAGAAGTTCAAGATGGCGGTCGATCTCCCTCTGTCTGGGGCTCCATGAGGGATCAGCCCAGAACTACACGGCAGGACCTGGTCAATGACCTGAAGAGAGCTGGAACCACAGTCTCAACAAAAACCCATTAGTACCACTACGCCGTCATGGATTGCAGCGCACGCAAGGTCCCCCTGCTCCAGCCAGCGCGTGTCCAGGCCCGTCTGCCAATGACCATCTGGATGATCCAGAGGAGATATGGGTCATGTGGTCTGATGAGATGAAAATAGAGCTTTTTGGTCTAAACTCCACATGCCGTGTTTGGAGAAGAAGGATGGAGTACAACCCCAAGAACACCATCCCAACCGTAAAGCATGGAGGTGGAAACCTCGTTCTTTGGGGATTTTTTTTCTGCAAAGGGAACAGGCTGACTGTATTGAGGGGAGGATGGATGTATCACAAGATCTTTGCCAACAACCTCCTTCCCTCAGTAAGAGCTTGGCCGGGTCTTCTAGCATGACAATGACCTGAAACACACAGCCAGGGCAGCTCAGGAGCGGCTCCGTAAGAAGCATCTCAAGGTCCTGGAGTGGCCAGTCTCCAGACCTGAAGCCAATGGACAATCTTTGGAGGGAGCTGAAAGGCTGTGTTGCCCAGCGACAGCCCCCCCCCCCAGTGTGTGCAAACCTGGTCAACTACAGAAAACGTATGAGGTCTATAATTGCAAACAGGTTTGTGTACCAAATGTTAAGCTTGGCTTTTCTGATGTATCAAATTCTTACGTCATGTAAAATATTTTTAGGATCATACGATGTTATTTTCTGGATTTGTTTTAGCTTCCATCACTCATAGTTGAATAGTACCAATGATAAAAATTAGTCTCTGCTTTGTAAGTGGGAAAACCTGCAAAACCTGCAGTGTATCAAATACTTGTTCTCCTCACTGTATAAAATACGCCTGTGTCTTTATACATACATGTATGTATTTTATAATGATTGAATGGAAATATAAGCATGGTTTTAATCTCAACAACTGCATTTAATTAATTAGCAAGACCAGGTGACGTCATCAAGTCCTCCCGTCCCACGTCCATCCCTCAAGAACACAAACCCGTACTTGTCGCATCTGGTGTTGAGAAACTGACCTTGTGTGACTGTATCACGCGCACAGAGCCGCTGGTGAAGGGAGCGCCGCGCACTACTTCAGTCTTTAGACATGACTTTAATCTGAGCTGTAAAACCCGTTTGTGCCAAAGAGAACGATTCGTTTTCACTGCCGTGATTATCGAGAGGAGGTCGTGTTGAACACACACGGCCCAGTGCGGCGGCAGATGGAAGCGTCGGCAGCACGCGCAGGGCGCCATGGCGCAGCGACCCGACGCACGGACGAGCAGACAATAGTGACGAATGGTACCAACTCCGACATTACTCCGACAGACCGCTTATACAACCGACGGCAGCGTCTTTAAACGCGCGAGAAGCGCACGCAGGCAAAGATGGCTGTTTCCCGGCGGCTCCTCCGCGCCGCCGCTCGCGAGGGTTACACCCATGGATCGATCTGTAACGGCCGCTCGGTCGCAGCGGATGGGTTCGCGGGCGCGCGAGGCCGCCGTGCGGATCAAACGTCTGTTGGTTTCGAGGCCCGCGACCGTACAGACGGATTTACACGAGAAAGAAATGGATGCGAACCTGTTTGACTGCGCGGAGAATCCGATGTGCAGCCTTCCCGTCTGCGGATGCTGCTGCTCGCGCTGTGTTCCGTCAACAGAAGCCAAATCCACACTTCCGGTCCCACTTTCAGGAAAAAAAAAATCACTTGTACATTTATTTTTGATTAATTGTTGACAATATTTGCGTAGTAACTACACGTCATTCCTTACTGTCTTTGTAATGAGACCAATAAACAAACGGATCTGCTCCACATTCCCTGCAGGTTATTTTGTTTACATCGTTACACCATTTCCATGGTTACCACCCTCTTTGTTCATGGACTCCATCAGTGGGATTTAAAAGAAGAAAAATCAGTCATGTTCTTAAAAAAAATACAAAAATAAGTGTTTTACAATAGGTTTGGCACTGTGGCTTCACTGCTTCAAAACTAATTTGAATGTCTAACTAAGCTGTGTTTTACGTGTGTAGCTCTAAATGATGATTTCAAGTGTCAGAAAAGCACTTTATGAATAAAAGGTATTATGTGGTGGTAAGAAACATTCAACTTCTCAGGGTGCATAATGGGACCTTTTAGTAGTAGTTTTACTTGTTGGTGCAGTGTATTAGACTGCACTGTAACCCTCAATAAGAATTGATTCGTACATGAATGAATGAATTTTAGGAGGCTGTATTGTCATATCTGGTACCTGGGGGCCACCTCAGAGGTCTGATGAGTAAATGCTTAATGTTGACTTTGAGTGACAGGTGGCTCCTGTCTGTCTTGCCGCTGTGTTTAGTGGTGTATACTGAAGTCAGGGGTGGTTTGCCACTGTTCCAATGGCATATTCCCTAAACACAGGTGGCGCATTGTCAGACAGGCACACCGGTACCGCTTCCTGATCCATATGTACATTTATACATACACTGATATAAACGGCGTACCGCTATGATGCAAAGGTTCAACATCTACCACTGAGATAAATATACATTTCAGGCTTATTTCTTATTTCTAAAGCCTTGCATGTATTCCGACAAGAAAATGGACACGTTAAAATAGATGCGCTCCCCTATTTAATAAGATGCTGGGTTTCGCTAATCACAAAATCACATTCTTATGTGGATCAGGAAGCTGGAATAGTGTGACTATCTGACACTGTACCTCGACTTTCAGGCACCCGCCTTTAGGAAACGGTGCACAGCGTTAGGAAATGGATACGGCTCCTGGCATCGCCTGAGTCACAGTGGCACAACACCTGCCGCCTTTCCATGGTGCTGCTTTCAGACCAGGGAGTTTAGAACATGTTACATTAAGGAAGACAATTGTGTCATTTAAATGAACTGACCGGAGTGTAGGGCACATTATATGTATATACTAGAACAATAGAATGATACGTAGCATTAATAACATTATGCATGAATGAGTGAAAGCTTTCTTCTCGATGAGACAAATTAAATGCAAGAAAACTACGTAAAAATTACCTCTATTTGTGTGGAAGGATTTAAAAGATGTGGTTCCATAGGAGAAAAATATACAAGTGCATGATTGTAAGGGGAAAAAGCACCTGAGTTTTGTCAGCATCCAACGGCAAATAGAAAGATAAAAGGCCGCCTGCATTGGGTAACTGGAAGAGGTGATTTAATAATACCTTTCAGAAATAATTTGGTTCCCAAATTATCAAACAAAGTTGAATTATAACCATAATCCAATATAAAGTTTAAAAAAACGTCAATCAATTTTCAAATATATGGAGGTGTAAAATGGCCTCGAACCTCAATGCAGTAACAAATGAACAGGTAACTGTTTGAAGAGGGCGGCCTGGTGGCGTGGTGGTCAGCACCGTCGCCTCACAGCAAGAAGGTCCTGGTTCCACTCCGCCCAGCGGCCTTCCTGTGTGCAGTCTGCATGTTCTCCCCGTGTCTGCGTGGGTTCTCTCCGGTGTGAAGATGGATGGATGGTTTAAGAGGGATGCTGAGAGAAACACAAAGCCTTTCCCAGTCTAGCTGTAAAGAGTGGGGTATGTGGAATGTTTGGTAAATGTTGTTGGGCATTCATCACCGAGAAAAGATGCACTTAATGGGGGAATGTAGAGTTTGAGCGGAGGGCTAGTTTTGGAAAAATGGGGGTGTGATGATTGGACGACGCAGCCCACCTGACCACAGGACTAGGAGGCATTTGAGAGAAGACATTTTGACCCACCTACACACACCTAAACAACAAATATCAAGGTTGCTGTGCAAAAGGGTGTTATACTATAAATTGAAGGATTATAGGGTCAGCTTATATCTGTCATCTTTAATACGCTATCGGTTTTGTTCAAATCCATTTGACATTCATTTGTGAACCCGTTCCTCAATTTCAAACAATTGTTACTACTTTACTCTCATGTTCACGCAAAACTCAAATTTGTGAATCTCAAACTTTCTCAATGAAAATGCGTGTCCAAACTTCAGTGTAGCGTCAGCTACACCAGCTCCTACAACGTGTAGAATCAAGTGCAGCCACGCTTGTGATATTAAATAAATCGCACCAGCACAAATAATTAACATGAAAATACAGAAAGACGTCTCTTTGTTCCAAACCCAGTAACGTTTATTAAACTGCACAACATTTCAAAACTGTAGCTTGAATCTCTATTGCACCTTACTGGTCTTTTGTAAGTGACTCCGTTATGGAGACACGTATTCTACAGCATGTCTCTAAAGCCAGCATTGTCCCGCACCATGCTACCGTACACGGATCGGTACACATTCAAAACATCCAGTGCTGAAGGACGAAGTTTGGGATCTTCCTTCTTACACTTCTCGTGAATCTGAAAAAGATGAAAGTGGACCACATCCCCTCCCGGTACCCGTCCCATCAGGAACCATGTCACGTCTGGGATCTTCCAGATGTCTGTTCTCTCATCATACCCAGGCATGAGGTTATCTGCAAACGGCTTCCCTTTGGTTCTGAATGGCCAAAGCTGCTCTGGGGCCACAAAGTCCCCAGTGAGCTCTCGGTGTCCGCATTTCACCAGCAAGCCTCTGGACGGGTCCACCTCAGGCAGCGCATCGAGATCGTTTACTACCAGGCGAAAGTCACTAGTCAGCAGAAACTGGGTGAGAGTTTTCTCCAAGCTGCTGGAATCGCACATAACCCGCCGCCCGGCTGGGCCGCCATGAAGATAATGAAGGATGGAGACGTAATCCATGGCCAGCCTCAGTCGCATCTGCCATGTGTTGTGCTGCTGGTGCTGCTCTTGAGCCAGAATGCTATCCAGGTTAAGCAAAGAGCCAAGTGGGTGGTACTCTGTGACCTGGGTGTGGTTATCAAGGCAAAAGCCCACCAGCTGCACCACGTGGGGGCCCTGAAGGGCCTGTAACATAGAAACTCCATGGAGAAAGTCTTCCAGGTAATCCAGAGAGGACAGTTGGGACAAAGCTACCTTCTGACCCCTCCACTCTGCCAGGTGGACCTGTGGAAGATGAGGTCAGTAAGTCAGGAGGAAAGGTCGCACACCGGCAATAGTAACCACTACCCATGCAAATGGGCCTGATGGATATATTTTCAAAATCCTTAAACCAAAGTCCTACTTATTAAAACTTTCCTGAGATGTTATGGAGAAAATAATTATTTGTGTTATATTTTCCTAAATTATATTATACCTCTTTCATAGATGAGGTTTCGGACTTCATCATTGCTTTTCTACCCTGAATAAAATTGGAAAGTTTAACAAAGCAATCCTTACAAGCAGAGCAACCTTTGGAGATTTATACAAGCCTTAAACCCTGCGGGGTTATTGCCATGTAGCTGGACACTATCGCAATACAAGTTGGGTTGCAGACTAAAAGGGTGTTGCCAAAGGTTGCGGATTGATGTAGCTACTTTTTTATTTGCTTTATTGTGTCATAATGACTAAAACCAGTTAATCCGGTGCTCGTAAAACCCAAATGGTTCAAGCTCTTACACCAGATCCGACTGGGAAGACTGGGTTTTAACCCAAATCTAACGTGGAATTGTCACAGCTTGATTATTTTTGCATCTACACGCTCTGGTTTAGTTGACACAAGATACAGTATATAACAAATGAAAGACCCTCTACCTTCTTAACCGCTCCCTGGCCAATCAGTTTCAGCTTGCGTACTTCAGCGTTTATCTGTGAACACTGGAGCCAGGGGATGCAGTTCTTCATGGTGGCCATTTTAAAATGTCGAGGTTCACAGCCGACATGGGAGGACAGCAGCAGCTCATCGGTCGGATACAAAGACTCCAGGTAGAGGTAAAGTAAGGCATTGCTGAGTAGCAAAGCAGCAAGGCACAAGCCCACTGCTGGGAAGCCATGGGACATGGAACTCATGGTGCCCTCCACCTTCAAAAGAAAACACAATGGGAGAGGTTGGTATAGGAATACTTGGTTGCCTTTTCCGGTTAAAAGTTGTAAGTCTCTTTCCAGAGCACATAGAGAAATGTGTTGCACCTGTAACCACACCTGTAACCACACACGACAACGCCACAGGAAGTGTGCTTCTCCATTATGTAGCAACATAAGAAGCCAAACCAATGGAGACCAGAAAAAAACCTTTCAGGAAGGATGCAAGGCACAAGGTGACAATTATTATTGCACAATCGGCCATTAAGTTAAGTGCAGTACTTTTCTTTTCTATTATTTCCATATAGTTTGCACTAAATGTCTTGCCCTCTGCCACTGGAGGGCAAAACGACACCGGCTTCTGCTGCCTACCAGCTTACAAGTTTCTGTTATTTCGCCAAAATCCCAGACAGCTGTGCGATTGGATGTACAGACCAACAAAGAGTCAAGCCTGAGTTGTGTAACTAAAGTATCACTTCCTGCAGAGAAAATCCTGAAAGAATGTTATTGTGGATTTGTGCCATAAAACTTGTCTGTCAAAAGGGAAGCGCAAAGATTGGCAGCCTTCAACCCTTCATCAAAAGGTAAAGTCCAGTAAACACCGGCGATGTCAATTGTTTTAACGTGAATCACATTGTTGCAGAATTGTTGTGACGTGGTTTCCTGTGATGGACCGAGGCAAACAACTCCAATGGCCTTAATGAGTCACACCAACGGTTAGCAAAGGAGCTAGCAGGCTATGCTAAACATATATTAAATTGAAATCCAATGATTTGTAAAACCTTTTGCATCCACTTTAAAATAAATACATTACAAAAAACATGTTGAGCTAATGTTCGGACTTAAACTTCACAGAATCAAAACTTTAGGAATTTAAGTTTTAAGTGGTAGTTAAGACCAGTCAGTCTGTTTAAGGGAGGAAGGGTTCAACCACTTTGAAGAAATTACATCATGTCATTTTAAAGTTGAGGGACGTAAACTCTCTTATAGGCGTAAAATCTGGTGACCAACTGTCCCCTAATTTGGATTAATTTGGCTTCTCTCACAGAACAGTCCCCTTAAAGAGAAAAAGGAAGAACAGGGTTGAGCTAAAAGAGTCAGTCCTTAAACTGCCATCAGCTTTAAAGGCCTCTGATATCTCGCAGTTGCCTTGTCTTATGACACCTGCAGTTAGTATGAACTAAGTAGTGATTCTTCCATAATCATTCTGCTTTCAACCCTCTAAGTATGAATAATATCTTGTATAAGCTTTGAACAGATTGATCTTTTGACCTTTGGAACTCGAGTGGACAGTTAATGGGCCTCCCGTTGGACCGTAACAGCGGGATGTACTACGCCATTTTAAGCGAGGCAAACCCTTCAGAGGGGACCAGAGACCCCCACAAAGGAACGACACATTACGGGTGTCTGCGGTGTTTCGCCATAAGTTAACGTTAGATAAGCAAGTACGCAATAGAGCGACCATGGACGGCGTTACAAAGAAGACGCGTCGTACGTTTAGACACAGCGAGCGTAACTTACGTCAATGTAAGACGACAACGTTAATCGATAAAACAAGCTTTTTAACAACATTTCGCGTATTTTATTGGCGTACCTGTAGTTACGTGGGGTTACATGGTGCCATGAAAACAACTCGTGTACTGCTAACGCGGTTTAACAGCAACACGCGACGTGTGCTTGAAATCCGCCAGCAGCCAGAATGAGAAGAACAACTTCCTGTGAGATTTTCAGAATAAAGGCGCTATATTTAAGGACATTGTTTAACGACGCGATTGCAGTAACTAGTGTCTTTAAAGGTCCAGCCTACGTGGGCGAGTGCGTGGGGTTTCCTTTAGTTTCACCTTTGTAGAGATGAGGCTTTTATTCTGAAATGTGGAAGGGTGCTTGTCACCGAATATTACCAACGTCTTTATAACGTTCGGCGATTGAAAGACTTGGAGCGGCAGCGAGCAGGTACCCGTTTTGTCTACAAACATCTCTTTATATCTGCCGTCGAGCCAAATCGAAGGCGAACAGTTACTTCGACACGTGAAATTGATTAAAACTCTGATTCGATGTTTAACGTGTCAACACGCAACGCACTAGATAGCGTTAGCTAACGTTAGCTCCCGTGGAATGCATTTCTCTGATTGCTGAAGTAGTTCACTTCATAACAGCAGCACACAGCGGTGTATAACGTGTACGCTGTGTGTACTTAGATGGACGGCTCTGCTACGGGTTGCGTACATAGACCGCCAGCCAGCTCAGTGCCCGTCAAAGATGGCTATTTGCATTTGACGCCTCCTGCTTTACGGAAGTTTAGGCGTGACATCTGTGTGTTCGTGTGTCAACGTTAATTATGTTGTTACGGGTTTAACGACATCAATCGTGAGCATATCGAAATGTATTTAATCAAATAAATAGGGAATTAGATATATTTGTACTACCATCCTGATGTTCCTTTAACTTATCACATTAGCGAACTCGACATCCTGTCATGAGCTCTTGCCTTAAAAATAGAACCAACAACAGCATCAGGAAGATACTTAGAAATAAGGGTTTAGCGGGCTTTAAATGTACATGAACGTGGACCTTTTCCTATTATGTTTTTCTGGTGCAATACGTCCATAAGGGGGATGTGCCTTGTTTCCATAGTTTCCCCCATCTTCTCAGGCGGTGGTCTGTGACGTCATCGCAGCCCCGCCCCTCCACGCTCCTCTCCCGTTAGGTCCACCTGACTCTCTGAGCAGCGATGAGTCACTCAGCGAGCTGAATACCTCGCGGATTATTCCTTTGCCGTACATACGCGTCCTCTGGGTTTTAAGGTAGGACACAAGAAACGCTAAAACACGCTGGTCCGCAGGCCGGGAAGACATGAGCAGTAGGATTTGTCAACTGTATTGCCTTAGTATTTATGCTGTTCTTTGCTCACAGTTTGTGTGTACTGTATTAAAGCATTCATACGTTGTATGAATCATTGAGCACTACTGACATAGGTTTGATTTTACTGGACCTTTTGCATTAAGTGAGGAAGTTGTTACTTGTTATGTTTGATGTGAGACAAGGAAATATTCCCTTGTGGTTGTTTTTCTCCACAAATAACATTAATGTTATTTGCTAAGTTACTGTGTAACAATTCATATCACAATGCAAAATTCAGCAAAAACCCTCTTAACATTGTGCGTTATTAGGAATATTTAAGTTGACATTGAGAATTGGTCCAAAGCAGTTAAATGAATGTAAAAACGAATGTGTATGTGTTTGTAACTGTATTGGAATTGGTATATATGGCTTTTAAATAGGGATGGGTCATGATTGTCCAATAGTCATTAACTCTTAAAACAATAGTTGTTTTGCTAAATTAACCGTTAAATACTTTACAATTACAGGTATTGATGTTGTGAAATTGTTTTGTTGTTGTAATATGTAGTTGTTATCTTCATATGTGCATGTTATCGGCCTACACATGCATATGACATAAGCAACCACATTTATTCAACTTCCTCAGCAAAAACACCTTTGACAAGATTCTATTGATAAAGTCTTTAGTAACTGAAATTGTGTGAACAGGTACACATCATGTGGTAGCTCAATGGAACCGTTAATAGCTGTTTGACTGATGCACTATTCACTCTGATGCTGTTAAACTGCACATTTCCCACTGTGGACTTTTTAAGGATAGTCTTCTCCTAATTTAGCTGCACTGGCCAGTGGCTGCTAACAGCTGACGTTTGGTAGCTCTCTTCCTGCAGATTTCAACCTGGATTGGTTGATCTGATTTTTACAGGGAAATGACATGGTATACATACGTATTTAACCAAATCCACTGGAAGTAGCATAGCTAAATGTCCCCTTTATGTAACAGTGATAAGTAGTTAATGTATTTGTTGCATAAAATGTGTTGAAATGCAAAAAGCGGAAGTGATTCATCAAAAATAGCTGAAAATACAGAAATGGGGAAACTATCTGATTAAAAAAAATGATGGCCAAAAGCCTTGAACTTGAACTGGGTTACTGGCAGAGTTCACCCGCATTATCAGAAGAAGCTGAGAGATGAAATGCAATACAGGAAAAGATGGAAGCTCAATGATTTTATTGTTATAGGTAATGGTAGTATTTGGAGCCATATTAGTATTATTGGTAGTAGTAGTTGTAGTCAAACCACTAGTAGGAGTTTTAGTAGAAGTAGTAGTGGTCGAAGTAGTACGGTTTCTATAATCAGTTCAATTGCACTATATCCACTATCAGCATTTTATCCCATATAGAAAGTTACTAGTCTACACGAATTCATATATATATATATATATATATATATATATAAATATATATATATATATATAATTTTGGATATATAGTTCTATTCATATTCTATAATTGTTAAATAATTCTTTTGTTGTTTTTATTTTTATATATACCCTTTTCTTAATTTCTTTTGTACATTCCTTGTCATTGTGTACTGTGTTTTTTATAATAGAGAGCACATGTAACCCGGAGTCCAATTAATAATAATAGTAGATGTTGCAATAGCTGGTAAGCAGTTAAAATAACAGTTGTATTTATAAAATAAGCAGTAGTAACAGTTGTTGCAATATTAGAAGAAGCATCTCAACAAAAAGCTTCATTCTGTGCTGCACGTTAAAATACAGTTAATCCTTGCAGCTTTTATTTTGAAAGGGTGGAACTGAGCGGGTGAGAGAGGAGAAAGAATCAGGATGTTTTGCTTTTTACAGACACAAGGGGAGGAGGGGGTCTGCAAGACGTCAGTATCTGAGGTATGCAGACAGCTGTGAAAGATAAATACGTTTTACGAGGATTTGAGAATTTTCTCCATCGAGAATCATTGTAAATATGAACATTGCTTTTGATTTACAACTTAACCTGGTGGCGGAGTTTGAGTGGCTGAGGGATCCTGTCAGCAATGTCGTCTGGGACATCGGCTCCCGGTAGGGTTTCCCAATGCTAACCGGTCCATGGGCCCAGAAGAAGAGCGGTCAAAAACCCAGATGTCTATTAGATGTAATATCGCCGGAGCAAAGATCAGCTCTGGGATGTGCATCGAAGGTGGAGCGGTACCAGCTAGAGACAATCCCCCCCCACCCTGATCGTGGGAACCTTGAGTCCATTTATAAATGCTGCAATAAACCAAACCTAATAAACTGTGGGAATATTTACTTATTTTAGAAAGAAAAACTATTACATTTTATATACGAATAGCTTTCGGTTTAAACGCATTCTTTTTCAGGTGGCGCTTCCACTAAGTTTGCAATCACACTTATCAAAGTTGAGCAAGGCAACAGGTGTGCCGGCCACGGTCTTGTGCAATTGACCCGCCTGTTCTTCCCCCACAGGATCCCGAGCGTCGGCCAGCAGGAGGCACGATGGGAGTCTCTGTGGTCTGTGTGGTGGTGCTGGCGTTCATCCGTCACAGCCACAGCCTGACGTTACAAAACACCGTCTACAGGTCAACAAGGTAAGACATGCTTTTGGGAAATTATTGAATTTATTCCAATCCCTCCCTAGGTACACACCCTTGGGGGGTCGAGCTCACCCGCCGTCGGGGGGAGGGTTGTAGGTGTGCGCTTGTGTCAGTGCAGAACCGCAGCAAAAATAATTGTAGAAGAATCTATTCTTTTATTTTTTTTTTAAATGAAAGACTTTTTCTCCGCCACTCCTGTTGCCTAGCAACCTGCTGCCCTTGACGGTGAAAGTTTTAAAACCTGAATAATGCAGAAAGAGACGGTAACCTTCTTCTTATTCAATTAAATGTCGGAGGATACGCTTCACCTCCGCAGCATGTTATGTCTTATGTGTGTTCACGTCTTATGTGAATTTAAAAACACGTGTAACTTGAACGATTTTATAAACTAAAACGTGATCTTATATATTTCAACATATTCAAGTGAATTCTAGTACTTACTTTTAAAAATAAACTCACTAAATAAAACGCTGTTGGATCACCATCTTCCGTCCTGAAGAAATGAAATCTTTATCGGCCTGCAATGCATGATGGGATATGCTCGGGCCACAAAAGAAACATCAGATATGTTTTCCAAATCCTCGCCTAGAGGGCTCCACTCAGAGGAGGCGACGCAACGGGACGGCCGACGTATGCGGAAGCCCAAGTCCATTTGTGGGGTTCACTTTGTATAGTATGTCCTTTTTTATTTTCATACCTTCCATCTTTGTGTCACGGCCCCACGGTGTGAGCGGAAGCTCCCATTTCCTTCTGCCAGCTAAGGTTGTCTGGAACTAAGCGCATCAGTGTGAAGGAGGCTGGCGCCGCCGCCGCTACGCTGCCAGTCATTCAAACCCGCTACCCCCTCGCCACCCGAGGCTAGCAGTAGCAAGCCGCTAATAACCCTTCACAGCTAATAACCCCTGCTAGTGACCGCGTTTGCTATTAAGGCCAATGACGACGCGTATTGAGCTGGGACACTCCCCAGATGTGTGCGAGGTGTCTTTGTCTAAAACGTGCCTTTGAGGATTCAACGTTCTCCCGCGGGGTCGTCAGACAAATACAGGAGGAAGCATCCGGTGACAGGCGGTTCCATGCGAGCCGGTGAAGGAAAGGAGAGTCACGGCTTTCCCAACATGCTCCCAGTAGGGCCTGTGCTAGCCCCCCCCCTCACTCATCCACAGTGGAACGTTTCCATTGAAGTCTGGCAGATAAGTCGTGTTAGACCACTGCACTGGTCCGGCCATCGCAGCCACATTTCTCCTAAAGCTCAACCGATCCGAGCCGGAGGAGCAGATGGTCCTTCCAGGGGACAAGTCCTTCGGTACGTTACCTTGGGCGGGGCCCTGCGTCTCTGTGGTCGCATTTTCTATAAAGCGGCAGATCACATCAGAGGCTGACGGGAAACGCTGAATGCACTCACAGACTGCTTGGTTCTCGTCACAGAGGCACACTGTGGTGTTGAGTATCTTCCCACAGAGCAGACCCACGTCTCCATGGCTCTCAGATGGTGGGAGGGCTTTCTGACTCCGTCCCGTGGGGGTTATTTGGTACAGTCATCACCATAGATGCCTCCCAATCAGGCTGTGATAAGGTCTCCACCATCAAAGTTAACTTTTTGCTACTTCTGCCTGTCCTACTGTTTTTTAGGGGGTGGGCTATGGGACTATTTTCACACAGTCTAAAAAAGGCTTCGGCTCACTGTCTGAACTTCTTTGTCTGTTGCTGTTTGCCGGCATGCTTCAATGAATTCATACCACCACAGTAACTTCTGGACTGAATTTGAATAATATTTCTTCAACAATACGATTGTTAATTGTTCTAAAAGAAGTTCTGGTTACTGGCGTGTGAGGATCACGAGTCACCCTCCCTGCTCTCCTTTATAAAAGCGGAGGGCCTCCACTCTCCTCGACGTTTATGTGACTAGTTCCATTCAACCCGGGCAGGCAGAATGCAGGAGAAGTCTTGGGTGTTCTGAATGAAAAAGTCCCTCAAGCTACTCCGAGAACTCTGCGTTTCCCAAGTCATCTTATTACTTCATGCTATGTAGATGAATAGATTGACCTATCCAGTGATATTATTGTTCTGTTATGAATTCCAAGCTCAAATAGCAGACTGTGTTTCTTCCTTCCAACGAACCACATAACTGCCTCGTCAAAGGTAGAAGCGAGTGAAGTGAATCAAGTATTAATTCTTTCTCCTGCTTGTATTATTTAACACGAACCGAAACTCAAATTAAGCTCCCAATGTAAAGAAAAAGGCCCAACAAATGCAATGAATGCAGCTGTGATTGGTATTTTATCAGTAGGTTGCTGTAGATATTGCAAATAAATATTGACTTATACATTGTCGTTTATGGACGTTTCCTCGTCCCCCTTGTTTGTCGACTGCATCTATTTAAAATCCTCTCACGTCACTTTTGAGAAACCGCTTTACTGATCGTGTTCCTGCTCACCTCTTCCCACATATTGTGTTTCAATGCACATTTGGAAGTATCAGGTTAATACGTTGTGCTTTCTGTAGTGAAGTGTAGCAAGGCCTCAGGGCTGCTGTCGTTACCTGTGGTCTAACAGAATGTAACCGCTATTGTTCCTTTGTTCCCCCTGAAGGTCTCAGGAAATAGTCGATCCCAGCGATTGTGTGTCCAGGACCAAGCCGATGGTCTTTACAAACTCCCACAACTTCTCTCTGGACATTCAGATGCCTGGTGTCGTCCCAACTGCGGTCAGTCTGTGTCTTGAAACCTACTACTTTCACTTTTATTAGACAATGTTAGAGCATCAGCATGAAACAAAAGGGGTTTGTAGATTTAATACTTACGATTTATGTCCTAAGGATTGTTATTTAGTCATTGACAGGATGAGTTAGTTGTTACTCAGTCAATCAGGGTCTTTTTTAATTGATTTTAAATGTCACAAATCCTTTTCCTTGTCTATTTCTTACACTTTTGCCAGAAATGAGAAGTCTAGCATTTTTCCTTTGGGGCAAACTGACCTCGACTTTGTCGATTGGAAAGTAGCTTGCGAGCCAAAAAGTTTTGGGTACACAAGAATATTAATGTACACATTTGCTGGGTTTCTTTTTTTATTCCAGTCGGATACTTACCTGTGCACGGCAATCGCTCTGCCAACCACTCGAGAGGCGTATATTGGTGAGTATTTCTTTAAAATATGTAGTTGACTGCTAACAGTATTTAGGCCTAACCTTAAAGTCACTGATATGCCGATTTCTCTGACTAGATGACACTTTAGAGGGAGATGTACGCTGCACTATAAGAGGGCAGAGTAATAATAGTTGTTGAAGTAGCAGCAACAATCGTAGCAGACATATTTAATGAAGTAGTAATAGCGTAAAGCCATTACCTGTGATATAAAATCACATGATGGGTTTTATTAAGCCTTTTATTAGGGTGTTTTAGGGATGTAGTCCATTTTCTTTTTTGCTGTCCCAAGCTCGGCTCTGGTGTCTAAACCTCCGTCCGTTTGCACAATGAAAGGCCTTCAACGTGTTTTTAATCTGCCGCGAACTTTGATAATCCGCGGGTCACCGATCACAGCAGTCGTGTCATTTAGTTTACTGCACAAAAGCATTTGTAAGTGTGCGGTGCCTCTTTAAATGTTTTAACGCACTGCGTTTCTTCCTCAGTGGACTTCATGCCTCACGCCAGTATGGACACAGTTCATCACATGCTTCTGTTCGGCTGCCAGACTCCTGTGTCCTCCAGCAGCTACTGGTAATTCCCATTTCAGCGCCTGGTACAAAGTCTGTTCCATCATCTTTAATAACCGTTGCACCTTGACAGGGAGCAAAAGAAGCTAGAATAAGACCCGTCTCACATATACATCTATACTATCCAGTAACAACCCTTTAGCTTTGATCCTGTCGAACACAAGGTTGGTGATCTCAATTATGGAATGCCGTTTTAGTCAAAATTAAATAAATTAATAAATACGTAAATACATGAAATATGCATTTGAAATACATCATGAAATAAATAAATGAGGCAATAAATACATAAATATTAAATACATTTAATTATTTTATGGTACTTTTATTTCATAATTCCACTTTTCATTTCCAGAGTCTTTTATTTCATAATGCCGCTTTTCATTTCCAGAGACTTTTATTTCATAATGCCGCTTTTCATTTCCAGAGACTTTCACGTTCTTATATGCAAATCGGGGGGCGTGGCTACATCTAACATTCAGAACAGACAACAGAGCCGTGTGCAAAAGAAGGCTGGCTAGAAATGCAGGCTGGAAATGAAAAAATAAAAGTACCATGAAATAATTAAATGTTTTTAATATTTATGTATTTATTGCCATATTTATTTCATGATGTATTTCAAATGTATATTTCATGTATTTATGTATTTATTCATTTATTTAATTTTGACTAAAACGCCATTCCTTACTCAATATGATGTCTTCATTATCCTAGTACAGTTTATTGTTGATGTCAAACAGAAGTGTTTCAGCTCCCACAAAGAGCCTTAAGTTGCCCTCATGTCACCTTCAAGTCCCCAGAGCAGTGATCAGCCTCCTGAGGTGAGCTGGATAACTCAGCAGCTAATCAACACTCGCCTCTAGCAAACCCTTTCTCGCCTCTTCTTTGTCCCTTATGTTAATACAAGACATGTTTAATATTGTTTTGTTTTAGTCGCTGGATGGAACATTGCTCAATCTCAATTAGAATTGTTTGTGTACATCTGGGTGTGTCGCTTCCTCTGATCCCCTTTAGAGCCTACAAGCGTATGAGCTCTGCCCTTAGCTGCCAAAGGAGAAGATCCTGTGTAGCAGGATTCATTGGCAGGAATGCAATATGATAATTACAACTTTGGGCTCAGTCTGCAACCTCACAGCTAAATGTGACTGGGTGACGTTAACGGATAAAAAATAATTTATTGCGTTAACCCAATATTGTGTTGGGATGTGCCCACGGCCTGTTTGGTTATGAGCAAATATGTATATATTGACAAAGCAATGACACACTATGGCTACAGCCGGCAGCGCTGTTGCTAGGAGGCCGTGTTTGTTGACCACGGGTGCTCCTAATGTGGTTGAACCTGTCTCTATGTGGGGAAGGACATTTAGTTAGCAGGTTAGTAAATGGTAAAACAAAAGAAAGACTCAAAGCCAAGCAGATCCTCAGTGAGACACAGTAGCAGAAAACACCATTACAGGTCACGAAACTTAGAAACGTAGCGCTCTGAATAGAAACAAGTTCCAAATACCGGCCTCATTCGTGGGGAAGGGTCTAGTAAAACCAACAGAATATGACAGCAGCAAACACCGGGCGTTGGATACGTCCCCAATAACGCGTCATACCACAGAGTCATCGCCCGGCAGATCAGAAACAGGCACGATTGCTTCTTAAACAATACAGTAAACATCAACACAAAAATAACAACACAAAGCGGAAGAGAGCGTTTCCTGGAGATACTGGCGCCTTAACCTCTCACCAACGAGTCGCTTCAGAAAGAAGTCGCCTGGAGGGGAATCTCTGATCTCCTCCCAGCCCGGAGCAAAGCGCCCCCTGTGGTGTCTGCGGCTCGACCAATCAGATCCCAGGGCTCCTCCACCAAGAGCGAAGTCGCACATCGTCCTGTAGCCGCACCGCAGGCCAAAACTCAGCCTCGGTTTGGTGCCGTGGTGGCAGCACACGGGGATAATGTGCTAATATCAACCTTTTATAGGGTTCCCCAAGACGCAAAAAAAAAAAAATATATATATATATAAATATACTGATGGATTCTATTGAATCGTGTCCTTCTGCCGTTTGCTAAAAATCTTTACTTCCGAAGTCTTTCAATTAGCCCACGGCCTGCAGAAGTGTGAGTTCCTACAGATCTCAATCATCTGTGATTGACCCCGTTTTGCTATTTGATCATTGAAAGTTGTATTGATTGGTTGTTTCTCTCCCTCAAGGGACTGTGGGAGTGTAAAAGGCACTTGTGAAGATGAACCCTCCATTATGTACGCCTGGGCTCGGAACGCACCGCCCACTAGATTACCCAAAGGTATGTCTCTCAAAGGTGGAGCTGTGGTCCACTAAACATGTTTGCCTAAGTGGCAAAATAGCCACAATGCACTAAGAATAAAACAGATTTAATTATTCTAAATTATTTAATACCACAACATTTAAAGTCAACATTTCCATCTATACCACACCCAGCCAACTTTATGCAAGAGTTATTCTGCACTGCACATCTTCCACAAATATACACCAATCAACACCCCACCCCCCAAAAAATGGATTAATAAGAAGTTTCTTTGTAATGTAACAGCAGCTATTGTCCAACCAACCGACCAGAAGGTGTTGGCTCGACTCAAAGGGTTGATTTACAATTACTAGCAGTCATATTTATGAACTGACCTCCATCTGTATCTAATCCTCTGTGGAGTTTTAAAGATGTTTGTCTCAAATATACTAAGCAGGATATCTTTGGTAAACAGCACCAGTCAAACGTTCGGACACATTCTCTCATTCAATTCAATGAGAAAGTGTCCAAAGCTTTAACGGTTGCTGTATGAGGCTGACACTGTTGTTTTAATTAATTCACACTGATGTTTCATCAGCTAACAGATACTGACAGACCTGCATTAGGCTGATGTTGGAAGATCTGTCTGTCCACCACAATCCACAGACCTCACTGTTTACAGTTATCATGTGGACTATTTCTTTAGTCAAACACGGTGTATGAAAACTCTTATAAAGTATTGTTTTTATTTACATGTCTCCATCTTTTTCCATTCTTCTCTCTATCAGATGTTGGTTTTAAAGTCGGAAGAAATTCTGGAATGTCCCACCTTGTGCTGCAGATCCATTATGGAGATGCCAGTGCTTTCAAAGGTGAGTCCTAACGGATGTCTAATAAGTTATGATGGTTTTATCCACCGCTATCATCACGCCAATGCTTTGATTTATGACAAAATGCCCTCCAAATAATACATATAGCACCACTACTGGGGCGGCACGGTGGTGTGGTGGTCAGCACTGTCGCCTCAAGGCAAGAAGGTTCTGACTCACCTGACTGACCACTGCTTTATATGTCATCTTTGCTTATTCTACTCATTCAGATGAATAAAGTAGAACTGTTTTTGTTCTGCAGACCGTCATAAAGACTGCTCAGGAGTTACCTTAAGAATGACATCCAAGCCGTAAGTCATTTCTCAAAAGTATACGTTTTTTATGATACTGATTTTAAAAGGGCCATCCTTGTATGAATACCAGTACGTACGGCCTTGAAAAGAAATAAAAGCTCAAGCAAAACATGATTGTACAGCCTCCAGTCCTCTGACTGTGACAGTTTGTTCCCTCCTTAAAGGCAGCCATTCATTGCTGGCATTTACCTGCTCATGTCTGTGGACACAGTGATCCTTCCAGGAAAAAGAGGTATGTCTGATGGATGTTGTCATAGATTTAAATATGCATCACTCCGAGCATCAATGCAGGCAGTGTTTCCCCTATCATTATATTAGCACTTCTATTAGTTTCTAGTTTTGCACTTCATTGTTAAGGATCTTAACCCTCGCCGGCACCAAGTGACCAAAACCAGCAACCAAGGACGCCAGGAAAAACAGAAACGCCACTTAACATTTGAAAAGCGAGCACTCACCACGTCAAGAATAAGGTGTCCTGCTCCCCAGCGCAGAGAGCAGTGGAGACAAGTAAACGTAAAAGATTAGTTGATCTAAGGGCTGGTCCCGGGATAACCTGAGCCAGCCCTAACTATAAGCGTTATCAAAGAGGAAAGTCTCATGCTGCGTTCACACCAAAAGCAAAGCGTTGATCAGCAGCCTCAGCTGTGGGTCAATGCTTTCACTGGTAGCCCTACATTTCTTAATGTTACCGAGGCTGCCCTTGAAGTTAGTTTCATCTGGGAGTCAAAGGGCGTGTCCTGATTGTCGTGTAAATAAGACAAACAACATAAAGCTGTGGAGTTTGTTTGAGAAATGAACAATGTACCTGTTGTATAGAAACGGTAACCTGAATAGACTCCTGCTGTGATGGTGCTATTTAGAGAACAAAAAGCAATCGTAACTTTCAGGTGTAGAGACCATGGTGACTGGCTCCGCCCCCTTACTGTCAAAGAACAACAGCGAGCGCGAAGAAAACACCTTCGAGCGCGAGACAAACCTTTGCGCTCGAATTTTGACAGTGATTTGCCGCCATAACTAGACTGACAGATGATGGAGAAAGATGAGAGAAAGTACAGCCAAGTAACAAAGGCTTTTCCTTTAACGGCCCGTAATAAATCATTGAAAAAATCTCCAGCATTTAATGAAAGCACAAAGTATTAACAACTCCGGATTGCAGCAATTGAAGCACATCGAGTTAAATCTCCAGGAGGAGTTTGTTAATTATTATGTGGAAAGGGCCAAAACTACACAACAGCTGCATTACCGGTCTGCTGCCAGTGGGGGCGTTATGACCAGGAGGGAATATTTCAATGCAGACGTTGTCGAATTTTGATCAGATTTCCAAAAGGTCCTCAGCTCTGACTTATAAAACCAGAATGGTAACTTTATCACCCCTACAAGCCTAATGCCAATATGTGTACAACACACTTGCCGTCCACACTGTCTGAGTGGAATAGTGGAATGCGTAATAATAGGACAGAAATGGGGGTTTGCTGATTGGATCTCCGTTGACTTCAAATCATCTTTCTTTTTTAAGTTACAAATGCCGACATCGCTTGTGACTACACGTCATATCCCATCTACCCGTTTGCCTTCAGGACTCACACACACCACCTCGGTAAGTCCTGCCAGATCATTTAGCAGTCGGTCCCACAGTGATCGCTCCAGGTATGACCTGGATAAGTGTTTGTGTCACAGGTCAAGTGGTCAGTGGCTACAGGATCCGAGAGGGAAGGTGGAACCTGATTGGAAGACAGTCCCCTCAGCGACCACAGGTAAGCTGGTGTGTGAACACGCTGTTGGATGTGCAGTAATTAGGCGAGTTGCAGATTGCGACTGTTGTGAGGTCCAGTTAGAGAAAATTGCTGGAAGCAAAGGTCCGGAGATCATAATGTGACTACTTAGTGTGATTAAATAGAGGAATAGAGTTGTATCAACATTTGCATGTAATCAATACACATCAAATGAAACTTTTTTTGACAATATTTATTATCAAACTGATGTTTGATAATCACATCTGCACAATTTGCAGATGTGACTGCAAATATAAATAATGTTCTCTCAATTAACGCAATAAAAGTAGGGCTGCATTTAAAAAATAATAATAATAAAATGTGAACATTTCTGTTCAAATAAAGTGCTTCAATTCAGAACAAATAAAATAACGGGATGATAAGTTTGAATTCACCCTTTTCGGCTTCACATTTGCGCTTGGCAGTCTCAGCAAATTATAAATAATAAATACACATTTTAACAATTTAACAGTTTTAATAGAATATATATATCGACTCTCCCACTTCTTTGGTAAGTTGGAGAATTACAATCTAGTTTTTCCTGCCAGGATGTTAAACGTGGTCACGTGGAGGAGCTCATTGCGCCTCGTGATGGCGCTTCAACGGGTTCTGAGCATATTAGACCATAGCTGCCAACTCTCGCGGTTTCACACGCACTCACGCCACACATTTCTCACGCAAAAATAAGACTTTTGACCGAGCCGCGTTGATTATTCTATTAAAATGTAATATTTATCTTGTTTATCCCAAAATCGCAAAAAAACCTGCCTTAGAGCTTCACAGTCTATACACAGGCGACAATCTATCATGTATATTTGTATATGTATATTTAATTAATCAGAGTTCAACCAAGAATCTGTCCATCAGCACAGTTTTCAGCGCTGCGCATTGCTCAACCGTGCACGTCTTTCCTCTCCAGGCTTTCTATCCGGCCAACAAGGAGATGAACGTGAAGTATGGGGACACAATTGCAGCCAGATGTGTGTTTACGGGGGAGGGCAGAACCTCCAAAACATATATTGGGTGAGTTCCGTTGTATAATCTCATGCATTTTTACCACAGATTGTAGTTTATAAATGACTCAAGTACATTTCAGTTTCTTTGGTTTATGTTCGGTTGTGCTTTCAGACTGCTTGAATAACAGATGAGCTGTTGTGTCCCCATTTGGACTGTTTGTATTGAAACATACTGCACCTCATAGACAGTCACTGTCTATTCAAGTCATTGTTCTCCCCTCCAACACCTCGCTGTCCGATTGACTGACTGATAAACATTCATCTTATATCTTATTTTTTGTGTTAAACTATTTCAAATTTCAAACGGATTTCTTTTTTAGTTTTTTCTGTCTGATATCTCATTCACGTTCCAATTCACAGATACGACAGTTCTATTTCATTAATCATTTTGACTCATTTCATATCATTCTTATGCAAAAAGGAAGTTTAGAGAATGTGGATTAGATTTGCAATTTTTGAGGCAGAAGAGCATCATTGAAGGTCAAAGGTTAACCCTATATATTGAGCATCATTTAACGATACTGTGCTCGTTTGTCAATAAATATTGAGGATTTCAATCAACTTATTGACAGGGTAGATTGGAATTATAAAGATATTGCAATTTTCCTTCATTTGCATCACCATGAGTGAAGTATTCTCTGTATTTTCTGCAGCGGTACCTCTGACGATGAAATGTGCAACTTCTATATAATGTACTACATGGAGAGCAAACATGCCATCCCCTACATGAACTGCATGGGTTCCGGCTCCAAGGATCTGTTCCAGCACATTCCAGCTGAGGCCAATGTTCCCATCACTGTCAGTTCAGGTCATATGAACTCGATGATGCATATGGGACACTCAACAGGTACAGAGGCATCAAATGCTGCATGCTGCTAAGCCGTTGTTATTCAGTTCAGAATCTAATGTTTAGCTTTTTTGTTGGACATGAAATGAAGGTGTACTTGTGTAAGGTTCACACTTGCTATTTAACTTGCCTAATTAAACTCTATTTTCCCTACAAACACCATCAAGATGACAAATTGGCGTTGGATAAAGACAAAGCAGAGCAGGTTCCGGATCAGGGTAAGTTCAAGGACAAAATACTCCAGTGTGATAATCCGGCTGAGATCCAAGTTCAGTTTGGCACTGTATAATGAGACAAGTGTGCAGAAAGAAACACTATACAGACTAGAACAGTGGTTCTCAACTGGTCTGGCTCCGGGACACAGCATCACCCCTTAATGACAAGCCGCGACCCAAATACTACCTGAGACAGTATGGAGACAGAATACGTACCAACACAAAAACAAGTTTAATGAAGAAACAAAACAGCCAGCTGGTAGCGATGCTAGAGAGGGAACTATTCCCTTTTACAGTCAATTAGCTAAAAACCCCAAAGTGTATCTAAGGACACGAGGTATTACAACATGCATAACAATTAAGAATCTTCTGCCATTTCAAACAAGCTCAACAGCTTTCATGCACAAACAAAAAAGTGGAAAAAAGACACAAATGACCCAACTTTACAGATCTATGACAAACACTATGTCTTGAGGAGCAGCTTTTGCACAAATTCAAAATAAATTAAATAAACCAGTCACACGCTGCTGAAAACATGGACGGACGAAAAAAAACGACACTCCGCTGCATTAAAAAAGTCCCTTCAAAATATAATCACAGGATGAATTTCTTTTTTTTTTTTTATTCTAATTTTTATTTTCCCACAATATTATACAATAACAGAAAAAATCTGTAAAATTCTAAATTACACTGGATTTACTTATTATGACCATTGTATTATTCAGTTAGAATTCACCCTCCTTTTTTCCTTTACTCCATTGTTTTCTTCATGCCTCAAATGACTGTTACAAAACAGACCCTTTGAAAAGCATCAAATAGGAGCCTTGTTTGATTACATTTCATACAAATAACCGAGTTAAAAAGGAATTATAGAAGACTTGTCTTACATGGTTACAAGTTTCAAGGTTATTCATTTTCATTGTTTCAGGGATGCGCAACAAAAAATGCATTTTGTGGTGTGATTTGGCTTCAAAATAATTGCTATAGAGCACACATAACGGGTGTTCTGAAGGTCTTCTGCATCTCTGGCCGTTCAGCAGACCGAAGGCAAACAGGCTCACAGGACTTCAGTAATTGGTATTGTGCCTGAGTATATTTTGTCAACTGACCACTTATCACTCCTCTTCTGGATCATGTATAGGCTTATATGCTCCGCTTTGTTTGCTCCTCTCAATGTGTATATGTAAGAAAATGATCTTTCACGCCAAAATACAACAAAACTTTGAGACCATTTATTCAAGGCACAGTCTATATGTGCGAATCGGAGATGAAGTTATAGTTAAATAGTATCATCCTCAGTGGGGGCTGTATACTGGACATCAGGCCACATGTTGTAAAGTTAAGGAGGTGCTTTGTCTGTGTTACAACAGACAATACGCTTTTATCCCCATGGCATGCAACATGTGCATATATGTGCATATAACAAGAGGTTATGTGTACAAGTAGTGCACAGATTCTCTCCCAACTACATGCGTCTGTCCCTCCTGACGAAGTTGGAGTAGCTATGCCTCTCCTACGGCCTGGTTTCCAAAAGGACATGTGGCATCACACGGGGCCAAGCGGTAGATGCTGCTACTTCCCCTTTAAGGGGCAGCTGCCCCCCCTGCAAAAAGGCGGCCGGAGACGGAACTACAGCTCCCAGAAGGCCTCAAAACGCACACAGGTGTAAGTGTTTAGGCCACCTGATTAAGGCCAGACTTAAGGCGGGACAGAGGGAGGGAGGGAGGGAATGTGCGATGAGGAAACGGGAAGGAACCAGTGGCACTAAGAACTAAGCCCGGTTAAGCTGTGTTTGTTTGATTAATAAATCGTTATCTCCTCCGCGACACTTTAAGTTTTGTTTTTTTGGGGGGGGATATTTATGTTGCTGGAAACAAATTACCTTAGTTGTCTGTGATACAGGAGAGTATTTTTTTTGTAATTTATTTTCCTTCCTTTGCAACTCTCTGGGGCTTTTTGGTCAACTCGCATGCACGGCTCCACCTGGCCCTAAGGACCTTACAGATATTAAATAAGTATATAATTCAAATTCTCTTTCTCTTAAATATTTTCTGATGAGCCAAAATCAGAACAAACCCCAGTTAACAGGCCAATGAAGACGTCCTGCCCCTTAGACTACTACTCCCACAGTTGTATTTTCTATGTAAAACTCCATGGACCAATAACCAGGAGGAGAGTCAGCAATCAGATACGACTTATGATTCTTCTCTGAAGTAGATATCTGAAGTCCTCTGCCACGGGGGGGGTCAGCATTTCAATTCTTGATGTTGTCAGCTGTGACTTTTCGTGGGTTCTGTTCACCCATTGGCTGCACCGGGCTCCTCACGTCCCACCCGTCTCTCTCCGTCACCTGCCAAGTGTGTTAACCTCTTGGTCTGGAGCAGCTGACGACCCCTCCATCATAACTGGAAATGCTCGATGGGACTGGTATCTGTGTAGAACCTTTCTAGTCTTTCAACCACAGCTTTACGTCATTAACCCATTCACACAATGAGAGTAGGAGGCACCACACAAGGCGCTAAACTTCTAATATCCAGTGGCTTTGGTCTCTGGGCCTGATGGGAGGAATGCTGAATGGAGTGTTGCCGGGCAGTGGTCGTTCAGGCGGAGGGCTTTGTTCTTTTTGACTCACTAGATGTGAAGATATGTGTTATGGGTGGTTCTACTGGACCAAAGAGACGGCAGAGGAGGTGAAGGAATGAGGCCAACGCAGGAAGGGAGGTGACTCGGCTGCAGCATAGAGACCCTATAGGCACGGGGTCACACTTTCACACACGCTCCTTGTCTGCACGCGTTCTTCCAAAACAGGCTCACAGAAGGTTATGAAGGGGTCAGTGCAAACATATGACTTATCCCATGGAAATATTTCCGAGCTAGATTGATGTGTGAATCCAGACTTGGCCTACTGTCTCCTTGTCCTTCATCTCCGTTCTTTCCTGTCCTTCTCTGCCCTTGTCCATGCAGGTGACCTCTATTCTCTTATGTCCAAGTTGCTAGGCCAGAACAACAACGTAGCTCACATTCATAAGTACAGTCCGAGCAAGATGCGCAGCGTCCAGGCTGAGTTAATGTCTCAGATTGATAGCTTGATGCAAAAGAAAGATGTGGGCTTCCCCACGGTAGCCTTCCACACCAGGGAGGATCAGGTTTTAGTGAGGGACAGAGTCCACAAGTTCCATCAGCTTGGGGCCACAGCCAAGCCACCAAGAAGCAAGCTGCTAGCTGAAGGTTGGTCCTGAAAGCTAATTTATTATTGATGTTGATGCTGAAAACATCCACCTTGTTTTCTTTGTGCGTTCCAGTTCATAAACTGCATCATTAAATATAGTATAAGACCGTATGAATATCACCCTTTTTCTTTTTTAGAATGCATTTTGCTATGAAATTACTTTAAGATACGCATATTTAAGTTATTGGTTATTATTAAATAGATGTATTGAAATGGCAACGTAAACTCTGGGCTTATTGTGAGACCACTTTGTTTGTTGCTTTTATTTCCTTGTCCTCATCCTTTTTCTCGCTGTTACTTAAACTGGCCCCCAGAAATTGGCTAAAGAATAATGTGAAGGTCAACAACTTTGTAAATGTCAGTCTTAATGTTTTATAACTCATTCATTCTGCACCTTTGACCGATATGTGTTCAACGCAGAGAGGTGGCTTGTTTTGCATTTGTCCTTGTTGAGTTATGCTGACATTCAGTGATACCCAACAAACCTACACATTGATTTACATCCTTCAATGTTTGCACCCATGTTTATTAGTGTTGGGGGGAGAATTGTAACAAGATTGTATTGCTTTTTTTGCATGATGAATATTCCCCTTTTTTTAACTATTCACTTTGCAATTAGGGATTTAAAAAATAACGGATTTGGCCGTAGCTGCAGTTATGTGAGTCGTGGTTTCATAACAATAAGGATTGAAGAAGGTACAATGTCTATGGTGTACTGTTTACTGCATTGAGGCATTTTCAAAGTGTACTTTGTGAGGGACTTTGCATAAGTACAAAGTGGGTGTGCACAGCTTTGTTTGTGTTTTAGAGAGTTCGCCCTCACCTCAAGCAATTTTTGTAAAATGTCAGAGGGAAGCAATGTGCCTTAAATTGTCGGTGAGGCTCATTGGATATGAAACGAGAATGCAGCATGTGAACCATGGATTTGTTTAGCTGTAGTTTATTAGATACAACAAATTTGGGAAATCTGCATTCTTTGCTAATGAAAATAGGAAGCGTTGCAATATATTGCAAATCATACTAATATATCAGGCTTTTAATTTGCAGTTAACTGTGACTCGTCACGCTAAGGCATCGCGGTGGTTTTATGGGGTTTTAATTTCTATTGGAAGTCTCAATTCCCTTATATGTCCCTCTGTCTCATATGGAGATGCTCAGACAGTACACAGCAACACCTACATAAGTTCATGTATGATGATGCTCCGCTGCCTCTCCTGTGGATCCACTCGGCGTAGATCCCAGGGAACAGATCTTCCACAGTCGACCCGGGCTCACCTGCCGCTCAGCGTCTGTCCACCGAGACGACGTTGGCGAAGACACTGTCCAGAGTAGGACCTCTGTGTTCACTTGTCGACGCCTGTTTGAATCTGTGTGATTCAGTCGAGTTACTCCAACCAATCGGTCGGGGACCCTGGTCTCCGTGACCTCGGTAACTGTCGATATCGCGTGTTTTTTGTCTACCGTTACTTCGTGGGTGTGATCGATTCGGTGGAGACGTCTCGCTGTGTCGTGTCGGCCTGTGAAAAGGAGACCATGGTTGATGTTGATGAAAGTAGGGGATGAAGAGGAGGAGTACAGAACCTTGGGGGACACCTTGAAGGACTGTGGCTGTGAGAGACTTTATTTATTGATGGTAATCAACTGTTGGTGGTCGGCGAGTTATGACTAGAACCAAGAAAGCGCCGTGCCGGTAATGTGAAGGACCGAAGGAGTGATGAACGATGTCGAAGGCTGCACTGAGGCTGAGCTGTAGTCCATGAATACTCACACTGCTGCCAAACAACGGAAAAACCGCCTGGACTCCAAATCTATGAGCCAAATCGTCAGCGCATTCATTAACTAACACAGTTCTTCACTGAGATTCTCCAAAGGAAATCCAGTACAAACATGGACTTCACAGACCTAAAGGTTTCTGCCCAGTAAATCCCAGATGTGTAGTTGGTGCTGGACCACCTCACTCTAACAGGGGCCCTTGCTACTGAACATAATCTAGATTATTGATGCCTGTTCAGGCTGCTCCCTGATGAGTTTATGCTGGTACGTGATCAAAAAAGAAGAGATTTTGAAATCCCAACTTGGCTTTTGGGCTTTGTATCAACAAGAAAATATTCCTCACATATGAATAGGTTCACACATTAGGCCTGTGTATACTATAAAAGCAGAATATAGAATTAAAACCAGTTGTACACAGGTCATTAAAAATAAATGACAGAAAAATTAAATAAAACGTAAATGGTAAATCAATACAAAAGTGATCCGACATCTCTTAATCATAAACTCGCTACCCGACTGATAAATGAACACTGGCCTAGCCTAGCACTATGCTAGATAGCATCATTAGCATGTTAGCTAGCTTGCTCCACCCTAAAATACTCCAAGTATTTTGTTGCAAATTATTTTTTTAGGGGTCCTATCTAAAACAAATGACAAAATACTCAGAAGTAATTTAAATACACATTTCAAATACAAGGAATAGAAATGCCGCCCATCTCTGAGACGAGCAAATGGAAGAACCCGTAACCAGGACAGAAAAGAGCAGCTCGGAAGACGTTTCCTACACCGTCCTCTTCGCTGCCTAGACTACGTTTGCCTCATGAAAACCACAACACACAAACAACCACACACAGTCACGCAAGGTGGTGGTCAGTTGGCAGCCTTTATGACCCGTATCTCAGCGGCCAACCTTAAACCGCTAACATCATCCATTGTAGGGATTTCATCCAACGTGGGGAGGTACATTCTCACATTGATATGCGTGTTAATGTAACACGTCTTTTCCTGAAAACTCCACGTCATTTGTCTATTTCTAATTTAATGCAAATGCAAACCGCGTGACACCAACAGTATTATACACTTTTAATTCCTGCACGCTTTACATTTCCAAAGGAAAAGCTTTTCTGTCCTGTGTATTATTTCTGTCAATGATCACATACGTTATGAAGAAATTATATTAATTTATCTGTATAAATGTCAAATTATTGAGAAAGGTTTTGATCAGGTTCAAATAGTGTTTTATATCAAGTCGTTGTTAAGACTGTAAATAAATGGACCAACGAGGTAACACGTGTGTGTGTGTGTGTGTGTGTGTGTGTGTGTGTGTGTGTGTGTGTGTGTGTGTGTGTGTGTGTGTGTGTGTGTGTGTGTGGTAGACTACCATTTGGAGCAGATCCCAACGTGGCCTCAGAGTTCTCTCCAGCTGGGTCAGGTGTCAGGACTTGCCGTGGACTCGGATGCTAACTTGGTCATTTTCCACAGAGGGGACCACCGCTGGGGGGCGAGGTAAGTCTCTTCTGTTATGATGCATCATACATATGACACATTTACCACTTCATGAAACAGAAAAGGCATTATCTATGTTTTGGTCACACTACTTTTACTACACATTTGACATGTGACCACGCTTTTTAGTTTTAAAACGCTGCATGGATCCAAACCCTCAAACGGAGTAATTTGAAAACGGTTCAGCTGTCACGTTGGGGCCGTCCGCCCTTCGTCGCTGCTGGAGAGAACCAGCAATACAACGTTGAGTCATTTGTGATCAAACCAACGTGGATCACAAACGCAACTCATTTTATTCTTCACAACGATTGTGCATTTCCCAAAACACTGTAAACGCACAAAATAGATGCAGCTCTCGTGAACGATATGGAGTTCCAGCCTCACGGCAGAGCTGCGTGCACGAGAACAGACCCATAATCTCAATTATCTTATCTCATTTTGATGACTCCTGTCCAAGTTCAGAAAATAAAAACGTTTCATTCCCCAACTAAAATCTGTTTGATTGTCTGTAGAAAATATAGATCAACATCTGAAGTGTTTATATTCTAGGAAGTACAACAAATCTCTGTGATTTTCTGTAGCCAAGGAGCTAATCGGTCCATCACACCAGATGTAATCCATCACTGGCACACGCCACAGATCTGCTTTCAGCTGCCGTCCACATACACAGCAGAGGGTTCCGATATGTTTTGGGTTACAGCTCGATGGATTGAAGGAACACAAAGGAAGTTCAAATAAATGTGGCAAGATCTACAAAAAAAAATCTTTTTTGTTTGTAGTTCTTTTAACAGCCAGGCGAGATACCAGCAGAGGTCCCAAGGTCCTATTCAGCAGTCCACCATCCTGGTTGTGGACCCGGCCAAAGGCAACATTCTGAAGGCGTCGGGCAGAGATATGTACGTTATTGTGTTAAGTGCTCAGCCTCCACAGAGACAACTTTACCGTTTGTACTGTTGTACATACTGTGACGGAACCATTCATGCATAGTTCATATCTCTGGTGTCGCAGGTTTTTTTTGCCTCACGGAATAACAACAGACGAGAAGAATAATTACTGGGTGACTGATGTGGCTCTTCATCAGGTAACGTGCAGGCGGTGTTCCATCGGAACTCATGTGTTCAACAGCTTGAAGCCTTGAGATCATTTTAGAGGGAAAACTCAATACGTGTCGTGGAGAAATATATTACTTCAACCATTCATAGCGATGATCAGCGCACGGTGGCCTAATTGTTGACGGATTATTGTAGATTTAAAACTTGAACAGATGTCAACGTGTTCAGATGTAATAGATGGATGAAACGTATGAACGTGGAGTGAAGGAGCACCAATGAAGACTTTCTGTCCTCCCGTCAGGTGTTAAAAGTGAGCAGCGATGGCAGAGACCGAGTGTTGCTGACGCTTGGAGAGGCGTTCACGCCAGGAAGCGACAATAACCACTTCTGCAAGCCCACTGACGTGGCGGTAGAACCTGAGACCGGGAACATCTTCGTCTCTGACGGCTACTGCAATGCTCGGATAATGAAGTTCTCCGCTGAGGGAAAATACATGTTTCAGTGGGGAGCAGGTGAGCATCTGACTCTACACACACAAGGTTCACGAAGGCCGCAAAGCAGGTCTCAGAGGACAAGGGGTCATCCATCCATCCATCCATCCATCCATCTTCAACCGCTTTGTCAGGGTCGGGTCGCGGGGGCAACAGCTCCAGCAGGGGACCCCGAACTTCCCTTTCCCACATCTACCAGCTCTGACTGGGGGATCCAAGGCGTTCCCAGGCCAGTGCAGAGATATAATCTCTCCACCTAGTCCTGGATCTTCCCCGGGGCCTCTTCCCAGCTGGCCGTGCCTGAAACACCCTCCTAGGGAGGCGCCCAGGGGGCATCCTCACCAGATGCCCAAACCACCTCAACTGGCTCCTTTCGACGCAAAGGAGCAGCGGCTCTACTCCGAGCTCCTCAGGAATGGCTGAGCTTCTCACTCTATCCCTCAGGGAGACGCCAGCCACTCTCCTGAGGAAACCCATTTCGGCCGCTTGTACCCGTGACCTAGTTCTTTCGATCATGACCCATCCTTCATGACCATAGGTGAGGGTAGGAACGAAGATTGACCGGTAGATCGAGAGCTTTGCCTTCCGGCTCAGCTCTCTTTCCGTCACATCGGTGCGGTAAAGCGCGTGCAATACCGCCGCCGCTGCTCCGATTCTCCGGCCAAACTCACACTCCATCTTCCCCTCACTCGTGAACAAGACCCCGAGGTACTTGAACTCCTTCACTTGGGGTAAGGACACATTCCCTACCTGGAGTAGGCAACCCATCGGTTTCCTGCTGAGAACCACGGCCTCAGATTTAGAGGTGCTAATCCTCATCCCGACACTATTTCACTATTGTCAGATTTAATGACATATACAGTGTTTCCCACACACAGACTAATGTGTGTCGGTGTATTTTCCTTTATTCTTCAACGTTATTCAAATCACGCAGCGTCTTCGTCCTCCGTCTCGGTCACTCACGCGTCTCTCACACACACACACCCTCCCCTCCGTGCACACCGCGTCTCTCGCGGGTCTTTTTTTAGCGAGCTCCGCAAAATCCGTTGCTCCAGAAGGTGCAGACTTTGCGCATGTAGGCTGTAACAACAAGTAGCACAGGGGGTGATTAATACATTTATATTGAACTGCTTTCACACGTTATGACCCTCATTTTTTTTTCCAACCAAAGGCTCCACAGAAAGGAAGAGGCGCGTCCCGTTCCGAATCCCCCACAGCCTGGTGTTCCTTCCTGACAGACGGGAAGTGTGTGTGGCCGACCGGGAGAACGGGCGCATCCAGTGCTTCATCGCCCAAACCGGAGAGTTTGTCAAGGAAATTATGAAAGAGGAGTTTGGAGGGGAGGTGTTCGCCATCACCTACAGCCCCGCCGGAGGTGAGTTCACGGACACTCATCGCATGTTGCTAAGCTGTAGGGTTTTACCCCAGCATATTAGGGAAATCTTGCTTTATTGTCAGTGGCGGCTGGTCACTAGGGGGCATGTCGCCCCACCAGAGCGCCCCCCCTCCTCAAAAAAAGAAAAGAAAAGATCATATTAAATGATAAAATAAATGTCAATATGTGGAGTGTAAATTGACAATTATATGTGAAGGTCCCACATTCCAGCTTTAGTAAATGTTTTTAAGTCAAGCACAATTCTATTGATATGATTTAATCGGAGATGCCTTACAATTTTGTGTGTGTGTGTGTGTGTGTGTGTGTGTGTGTGTGTGTGTGTGCGCGTGTGCACATATGTATATGTATATATATTCGCAGAAATATATGACTCTATATATCGCTATAATCCACTCAGAGGTTTTGTAATAGATTATTCAACCATGGATATTTTGGACACCTTCAAACCAGAGATAAAGGTAATCGTGCACACACACACACACACACACACACAGACTCTCCACTAGACGGGACTAAGAGAGAAGGCTGGGGAGGATTTCATTTTGAGGACATTTTCCAATGTCTGAGAAAGAGGGCCATTGAGCGTGTAGACTATTCTACCTGATTTACCCCCCTTGCACAGTACCCAGACCACAGAACTTTTGGGTAAACCACTCCCCTTAACACCAGCTGTACAGTCCTTACGCTGCAGATGGTTTGCACTCTTGACCGTATGCAGTGTTTTCATCACGTAGAAGGATTCCTGTGTCCACTTCCCTCCGTTGGGGCTCCGAACCTCTGGTTGGACCGTGTCCTGCAGCAACAACACTAATGTCCCACAACGGGACCGGCTCTATTACATTTGAACCCTTTGGGAGGATTTCTATACCACTACACTGTGGATTGCTTTTGCTTTTTTCCTTTCCTGTATGTTGCCAGTTTGAATGACGGCTGATCCTTTAGAAGACGACAACAACAGGTCGCTATTAACGTTATTCTGTATTTTCCTTCATTCGCAGGAATTTAAAATGCCTCACGACATAGTTGAAACCAAGGGTGGAAGCGTCTTTGTCGGGGATGTCGGCAGTGGATCGGTCTTCAAGTTCACCAATGAGAGTAAGCTCAGCTTCATCAGGACCACAGAGAGCCTTCACATCTTCAGACTAAAGACACACCTCTTCACACTCTACCTCCACGAACACACCAACTAACTGTACCACTTACACTGTACTTGTAACACCACTTATCTATAGCAAATTATTTGAGGAAATTGCACTTTCTTGTGTCTTGCTGCTCTGAGTTTGTGTCCTTATGGTTGAAAGCACTTATTGTAAGTCGCTTTGGATCAAAGCGTCAGCTAAATTACATGAAATGTGATATTAACCAGCATCGACCACTGGATAGAAACAAAATATGTTTTTTTTCATTTCCATTTCAAGAGTCACATCGCTCTGTCAAGAAGGCTGGAATCGAGGTTGAAGAACTCGATGGTAAGTATTCAGTTGAGTTGTTCGTGTTCAGCCTGAACCTCGAAGCATCACGTCAGAACTTGTGTAGCGGTGTGGTCTCATTATTTAATCGTCCAAAAAGACACTTCCTTTTGGATAAAGCGCATGTATCTTTCTAGAAATTGAGACGTTTGTCCAAACCAAAGTGAGGCCGGAGTACAACGTGTCAAAGACAGCAGCCGTCCAGGAGAAGCAAACCGTGTCCCTTCAGCCTGAACCTCAGGACGAGGACGAGGAGGAGAAGAAGAAGAAGAAGAGTGCAGCCAAGCCCGGCAGAGAGCAGGCGGTTCTCCCAGCGGTCATCACCACCCTGCTGCTCATCCCGCTGCTGGTGGTCATCTTCGTCGGAGTCTTCATCTGCTGTAGAAAAAACCGTATGTATGAGCCATCAATGAATCCACGTTAGGCCACAAAAGGTCTTCAGCTGAGAATAGAAAGAAGGTCCTGAGCATTGAAACAGCCCAGCACACTGAAATGAGGGCTCGGTGTTGCTTCCCCACGTTGTGCGTTCACCCTACACACTACGCACACACTATCCAGCCCTCCCTGCTTCACTGCTGTTACTACGAGCTCGTCCCGCTGGGTGACAAGTAACAAGCAGGAGAGCTGCAGGAGTTACAGCAGGATGCTGTTTCACTCCAACCGGCTTTCGTCTGAGGTGCAGAATGACCACACGTCTTGTGCATTGAGCATATTTTGCCATTGAGACACTTGTTTAGTGTGAAATGCTTGGACGGCTTAAGTTGTTGTGTTGTGAGTCACAACACAACAAGTGTAGTCGTACTTATGAGGTTAAGCCGCGAGCAGCTTGGCTCAATGTGTCGTCACCGTAGCACCACTGGTTCCTCCGTTCTTCCACGATCACGTAACAACATTAACAATGTTTGCACATCACACCGTCCTCCCAACAATCCGACGAATGCCACGTAAACCAGCTGAGTGTGGTTCCTTTAATGGCAGCTGAGCGTTCTGGTCTCCAACAACAAGACGAGTCCTCAAGGACCTCGGAGAGGAAGGGAACATTAGATCTGCTAATAGATTTCTTAAAGAAAGCAGACGGTAAAAGTTTTCTTAAAAGCCATTTGATTCCTATTTCTGACCGAACTAAATTATCTTTAATGATTTATTTATATTTATATATTTATTATTAAATTCATTTGACTTAAATTGTACTCCATCGGCTATTAGTACTTTAACACTACTTCAAATGTTATTACTAGGAGTTCTACTGCTACTTCTAATTACTTCCATTACTGTACCACTGATACTACTACTACGTGTGTGTGTGTGTGTATGTATGTATATATATATATATATATATATAATATTGCCATGTCTCCACGCAGTAGCAACCACACCAGCTACAACTGGAAATGCAAAGTTTTGTAGTTATTAAATATTGTTTGTTTTCAGATGCGTTTGAGGTGAAAACGGAACCCGGTTCTGTGAGAGGGATCTTGGGAAAAATAAGAGGTATGTTATTTACCATTAAAAGTAAAGTGCCTTTTACCCAATGAATCCCTTTTTCACCCAGGCTGGGTCTCATTGCCCCTACACTCGTTGGTGACCTTAAGCTGTTTATTTTATTAATCTATATTATAAATATACTTTACCAACTTCAAGCCAGATTTTGTCAAAGAGAACAATATTATTATTAATAGTTTATATGAATTATTAACATATTAATATTAGTTTAAAGCCTTGAAACTAAATCTGCAAACACATTATATAAGTGTATATGTTGATTCTTTTGATTCATCTTTTTGAATTTCAATATTTACACGTTTGTATTTTATTCTTTCTATTTTATTTCTCATTGGCGTATGAATTAAGTCACTCGCACGTGTGTTTTGTACAATAAAATATACACTTGGTGCTTTACTATTCTGCTCGATAATCGAGAGAATGCTCTCAGGTTTTGACATTGATTTGCCTTCATAAGAAGCTGAACAGAAACATGACAATAGCGACGCGTATCTCGCTAAAACAACCCGGATGCGGTGGCTCCTGTCATCGGTTGATGGGCGGGTGGGAATGACTCCGTCATCTGCCTGATTTGATTTCAGGGGACGTGGATTGGACTTCTATTACCTAATAATAAATAATCCAGTAGGGCTGTGAATTTGCAAGCAAATCGCGATCCGATGTCCTTCTCCATCCCCTTGTGACGATACAGTACATGTGATGTAATGTGATACGATGGATATTCTAATTAGTGCTGGGCCAAGATGAAAAGATGTAATCCTTTGTGATTGTTAATTAATCACATTATAAATTGAATTATGAATTAAAAACAAGTGTATTGCAACATGCAAGTTAACATGCATGTAAATCAGGGAACAGCACAAAGCTTAATGCAGCATATGTTCAGCAGTGAGGATCTCTGAGCTTGCTTCTTTATCCACGTCCAATGTAGTTTGCTGAAGTCTGGCTCCACTGGTTGTTTGGGTAGATAGCGGCTGCATCAATGCTGCGTGGCGCCTTTAAGTGATTCATGATTTCTTAATAATATATTTCCAAAGAGCAATTGGATTGTGAACCCAATTTGCTTGGTAAACTTCCTGTTTTCATCGACCCGTTTCACGCCCGAGTGTCCGTGAGATTCCATTTGTGTTTTTGGAAACCGCAGACAATCGTCATTGATTGTGATGTGATCGTATTTCCCTCCTGCAAGGCAAAGCTGTCGCGGTCTGACCTGGGGAACTTCTTTGCGTCCCGCAAGGGTTACAGTCGCCAGGGCTTCGACCAGCTGAGCACCGAAGGCAGCGACCAGGAGAGGAACGAGGCGGGCAGCAGCGACTCGGAGAACGAGGAGTACTCCGCTCTGCCACCTCCTCCGCCCTCGTCTTAGGCGCCAATCTCCTGCTTACGCCGCCAAGATGTACGTTATTCATCATGTGTATTGCTGTTGTGTTGGCTGCCAATCTCGTTGTTTATATGATTAAAAATAGGTTGTATAAAAGAGCATAACTTCGATGTAACCTTCATGAGATTGACCGCAGACTTGATACAGCCTTGTTGACAAAATTCAGAAGTCGCTACGACAGGTTGTTTCCCCCAATCAAACTGCCTCTGGTGTAATTATCAGCACAAAGTCCTGGACAAATGTTAAAAATGTGTGCTGTCAGATTCCGCCGATGTTCAGGGATTTGAAAAATATCAATGAAATTCTCCAATCAAGTTATTTTTTTTATTTGAAGCAGATGAAAACAGATCTAAGCTGTATTTTTATTCATACGACTTCCCAAAATAACTTCATTAGACACAGAAGTATTTCAAAGTTACATTATTATCTGTAGTCAACGGTACCTGTTTCACAGCCTGAAGGGTTGTGTTGTCATGGCAACACCGTGAGCATCACACGGTCACAGTTTGCTTTCTCCTGGCGCTGAAATTCACTTTGTCTACCTGGTGCCCCTTCACATGAAATCCCCCTTAATCACTTATAACGTGCGTGTCAATATCGTCCAGATCTACGGTTGGATTTTAACGTCACAAGTCACCTGTCGGCTGTTTATTTTGCTGTTCAGGGTTTTAATTTGAGTCCGAACTAAACATGAAAATACTGTTTTTTTCATTTCAATATCTGAGTAGGAATTAAGTCGAGCAGGATTAACTGGATGCATTTTGATCTTAAATATAAGTGGTTTAATAACAACGCTGATATTGCATATTGTTCAGGCTGTTTGGTTTTACTCTATTAAAGCAACACAGCAATTTAGATCCACATGATTGTTTGCGCCAAGTTTTAGTTCAGTAACTATTCACTTGTATTTTGTGCCTTTTTACGTCTGTATTCTGCCTTTCTTAAGCACTTGCCATTACAAAATGTACCGGAGATGAGAACAGCTGCAGCTGCTAAAGCTACTACTGAATTTATTTCTCTTCCATTCAAGGGAACAGAAAATGGATATTATTATATGTATATTTATGTCTGTATATTTGTGTGTGCACAATGCCAATCAAACAGCCAAGTCTCAAGCACTGTAACTATTACATCGATCTTACAAACTTCCAACATTATAAAGAAACTTTACATTAATTAACCACATCGAAGTGGAAGTTTTAAACTCATTACTAAGAAATCATCGGTATTTTTGTGCTCTCTTTTGAAATGCAAGCACTGCGGTCAAAACTTACTATGGTGGAGTTGTTCATCACAAAGAACATTGTTCTTTAATGAACAAACATTGTAGTCATTTAAAAAAATCTGCACTACATGTCCTTAAATGATTTATTTCGCTGAATAATCTGGCAGTTTCTGGATTAATCATCTGCAAAATGTATTGATAATTATCCATCTGTGTTCCCTTTAGCTCAAACTGATCAATGGAAATATATTTTATTCAAAACCCAAAGCTACTAATGATACAGTGCCGATGAACCGGTGAGAAGTTCATGATATTCTTCCTTAAATTGTAATTTGTTAGTCAATCATTCGTGGGCACATCAAATGTCCCACTGTTTCTTTACAACACAAGTGAACTTCGATGGTAAGAAACATGCTTCACTCAAACCATCAGTCACAGGCCTCAAAGTGCATCGGAATCAAGGACATGAGTAACACCAATAATTATACAACAA